AGGAAAGTAGGTACTGAGATAACAGGAAAGTAGGTACTGAGATAACAGGAAAGTAGGTACTGAGATAACAGGAAAGTACCCAATATTTTATTTTTCATTTTTGAAAAATGCATAATGATCAGCTTTACAATTCATGAAAAACAAAATAGAACTAAAAATTGATCCATTCCTGAAACAGGCTCACAGCAAATTTAAACTTGAATTTTGAAAATTGTCTCGCTATGTAACAAAACCTTTTTTGTCCAACTAGTACATCAAAATACTTTCATATTTCTACGTTTGGTACGCCTGAACAAAAATCAGGGTACCAGTAATGTTCAACTACACATTGCATGATAGTGCGTGTATGGGCTGAGAGGAAGACCAAAACCACTTCTTGGATCCTTATTCTCATATAAATTAATGGCATTAAATTGAAGAATATGTCATGATTCAGCGCAATTGAGATAGCTCAGACAAATTTTGGAGCTTTACTTAGAAAATAAAACTTATTCCAGTTGTTAGATTTGAGCACTCTAACACACTGACATTGAGAAATGCGACAGAAATATTTTTTTCTTTTCTCAGTGTGCAAATGATATCTCTCAGGGGATTTCAACATTATGAACCATCATTCCTCAAACACCATTGGTTTCTAGGAAATGAACAAGTGGTTTCTTTTGCTAGTGCAGAGGAATTCGCCTAATTTTAAGAATGTCTGGCCAAATAATTATTGTTATCATTTATTTCAGTCTCTTGACAAGAAGAAAATGTGATGGAATACCATAAAAAAATATTTCGCATTTGATGAATAGGTTTGATGGATAGGATGCAGAAAATTGCTGGCAAAGAGAAGTTGCCTCTAGAATTGGATTCCTCTTGAATGCATAATGACTAATAGAAGATTTGTTCTTTTGTGGCAATATATTTATGATTCAATTTATTATTTAAAGTACTGAACTGATTCCTGAGGCTTAAAAGCGGGGGTTGACTCTGATCAAACAGGAGTAACACAGTATAGTTCATTATTCTTCAACTTTTTCATCATGAAGTGCACTTCTTGGTTTAATTTTTTTTACTTTTCAAAGGATAATGTTAGTCTTGAGTTGTTGAAATTCTGCATTCTATTATAGGAGGATTTTATCAAGAAAATTCTATCTTAACAAATGATTCATGATAATGACATTTTTAAAATGTTCTGATAGAAACTGTGAACATACAGTACAATACACTGTTGTTCTTATATGAATTGCACTGATTCAGTGTAACAAATTCGTTGTTTCCTGATTTTTTTCACATTTTATGCTACATTCATGCCATTATTTTGTTCTTCCCTTCCTGGTAGAAATTCAGAATCAAACTCAAGTTTTCTCACTTGATATTTGTTGACCCTTCATTAAAAGAGTCATCTATCAATCCTATTCCATTTTGACAAGGAATGGAAACCAGATTCATTTAGTCCAGTGCCTGTCACATAAACATCCCTCCAGGATGCCACTTATGGCCTTCATCAATCTTCAGAACAATCTATCCTGATCTCATCCAACCCATTCAAGTCTTACCTAATCTTTAGTAGGAAATATATCACAAAAATAAGTCCAAAAGTAAAAGGTGCATTTAATGTCACAATTTGTTACATACATTAAATTTCCTTTAATGAATTTTTACGCTAGAAAAAACAGGGAAATTCCTTTTTAACCACTGTTTTTTTTAAGCTCAGGTGACTATAGTTAAAAAGGTCATATTCTCATTTTGTGGATCTCTTCTTTTTTGTTTCCAAAAAATTCGGTACAGGTTCAAGAAAAGTATCAGCAAAGGCAAAGTTCCATTGGGGATTAAAATGATAGAAATGATGCACATAAATTGTATTTTGTACATTTGGTCAACACTTTGTTCTTTGTAACTGTGAAAGCTGATTGCTTTGTAATTTTGAAAGTGTTTTTTTAATCTCTGCTTAGAATGTATTTCATTCCTGGAGTTGAATTACATTGAGAATAAAAGGGCAGCTTTAACTTCCCATTCTCACTAATATGAGTTTATTCTTACTATTGGTAAAAGCTCTATGCTGCAATGAAACAACAAAGGTCCATTCTTGGCAATAGTGTAAAATCCATTTCTGAATCCCCCATTCAGCTCTTGCATCAATTATTGATGCAATTGAATGATTGAACAATTTCAGGAAAATAAAACACTTCAGTTTCAAATGCATATTCACTGGTGCCCAGAAAATTAAGATGAAGAAAAACTTTCAACTGTGTTTTACTTGAACATTATAGACCATATTAAAAAGTGTGAACCACAAAAAGGGTTACTTTATGATATGAACTTCAAAATTTCAGAACAATGCTAATTGAAGGTTTGCCCAAAAATCACCATATATGCATATGGTTACTTTTTTGAATAAAGGCATGAAAGCCAACCAGTGTATTAAAAAGAAAAAAATTTTACATTATATAGCACACTTTTCAATATTACATTATCTTAAACCAGTGTTCCCCAACCCATGGTCCACTGACCAGCACCAGTCTAAACAAGTTTTTTGCCATTCCTCAGGAAATTTTCTTTAGTACAGGTGGTACCTTGCAATTCAACCCTAATCCATTGCTGAACTAGGATCAAATTGTGAATTGGTTGAATTTCAAGTCAACCTCCCTGCAAATGCCACTGTTGAATTGTGGGATGGTGGAATTGCAGGAGGTCAAATTGCAAGGTACCATCTGCATAATAAATGTATCAAAAGTAGCAGTGCAGTTTTTTATCTTTACCAGAAATTTTGGAAAGACAGAGGCAGCTTGAATTATCTGATAAAAAAATAAAAGTTGGCTTTTCACCTAACAACAATTCAGACAATTTTCACCTGCTGATATAAATTATTTTAATTTTTAAATTTCTAGAAACCTTCCTTTGTTCCCACCTTTCTAATTTTTGAAAACATTCCACTAAAGCTGATTAATTTGCTTCTAACTCAATTTTTGCAAAAAGCGGTAAATACTGTACCTGCAATAAAGTGCTTCAAGCAAAACTTTTTGAGGCTGCAAAAACTTCTCTGGAAATTTGCTGGTCTGCAGGCCCAAAAAGGTTGGAGACACTGTTTTAAACCAAGTTCATGGAAGCTGTAGACACAAGATTCAGTTAATAGATTCCAAAGTAAAAACATTTGAAATTTGATAAGATGAACTGACAAAAGAGAGAATATGTTTACAGGAATTAATGAAAAACAAATACTAACAAAATTTATGAAGTGATGTACTTGAATGTGCATTGAGCTCACAGCCTTTTCGTTTTCTTAATTATGGGCCTGCTCAGCACAGCTCCCTAGCTTTAGCACAACTGGGGTCATTTGGCAGACAATGCTATTGTCAAATATTCTTGAATTGTGTAATACCAAACTTTCAGCAAAATATTTCAATCACTTCCAAACAATATCACCAAATCAAACAAAACATAGATGCATTCTGGCCATCGCCTGCATGAAGAGTTTCACTCAATCACGACTCACATCCCATAGACAAAGAAGGTCATCTGCCCCTTCTGAGTTTGACACTCTTTCCAAGCTGTCAAGTGGAACATGATTGTCTTTTACAAGGACAATATGCATCTTACACCATTCTAGAACATAGGCTTTCAATCTGCAAAGCCTTGATGGGCTGCACTGACACTGTAAAGGAGCCCCTTCCAGCACTTCAATTAAAGAAAAGGTATTTAATGAAATCAAAACAAGATAGAAAACATAAATCTATAAATTACATTAACAACTGCCAGTTGGTATATTGCCCTTTCTTTAGCAGGTGTTCAGAAGACCTTGTTTATTGCACCCAAATTACAATACTGTGCTTTAAGAAGTGCTGTACTTTTAGATCAAGACAGAACTCACTTAATCATTTGGAAAATTCTTTGCTGTAACAGATTTATCTCCTTTACATCTATACCCTTTGATTTCTAGATTCATATTTTTGGGGACACTGGGCGAGTTAAAATCCAATTTTAACTTGTTTCACATTATGGGGATTTCTAGTGTTTCTCAACATTGGCAACTCATAGAACCGAATTTTCGACGATGACATCTTGTTCACCAGCATTTCTTCGTGGATTAATTAACTTCCAAATGTTTAATTATTAATTGTTGCATCTATCCCTGAGATCAGTTTCCTATTCTATAAGACAACAATATTTTCTAAAATCAGCGCGATATCACCCCTCCGGTGGTTTTTAAACCTTGGCCCTATGAACGACGGATTCCACATTCAACTCGCAAAATTCCATACAGTTTGTTTTTTCAAGGACGTTTACGCGTACCATTTGGCAAGTACCCCGCGTGCACCATTACCCATGGTGGGTACGCGTGGTGGAACGCGGGGAAGAAATTCTGTAGTAAAACTTTGCTCATTACAGTGAAATATCCTTTAAAAAAAATTTTTGGGACTTCATAATAAGTTTGTAGCACTGAATAAATTTTTATAGCGAGACTTCTAAAATTAATGCCTATGAACGATTCCATCTTGCTTTTCTGGTATTTTCGGTTTTTTTTTTCAACTGAGTGAAATTCTGAAAGAAATTGACTTCAATCATGCATTCCACGAAATGCACCAGCAATCTCTTATTCATTCTGGAAGAATGATGTTAAAACCCTTTTTTTCTGTGAGGATGTTGTGTAGAACCACTTGGAAGCATTTTTTTCATTGATTACAGCTTCCATCAATATGCTACAAGAACCATTCAGCCACACTTGGGATCAGAGATTTCAGACTGTGCTTGTCTTATAGTCAGGAATTTTTAACCTTCAGAATATTATAAATTTCTCAAAAAAGTTTACCTTACAGTACTGATGGAATTAGGAATTTGGTGATAACGAGATTGTTTCAACAGATACTCTATATGGGTAACCTTCTGTCGGGACTTGAGAAAAATTTGAATTACAGAAAAGTTTGATTTAACACTGTTTCTTGTGACGACATTCTACTGTAGCACATCTTTGTTTTATGAATAAATTCATTTCACGTCTGTTAAGTGATAGGACTTACACCAATAGACAGCCACGTAGTCCTTTTCCTCGATTATTTTTTCCAGCTGTTTCCCGTTCACGTCCTCGATGACAGACTCTGATTTCCGGGCCGCCGCAACGCCTGCCTGGAGGACACAGAGTGCCATGAACAAGCCGACCGCCATCTTCAACACGGAATTACCACCACCACCACCACTTTTTGCACCAGCACTAGCACCAATACCACCACCACCACCACAACAACCGCCGCGGCGAAAATTTAAATTACTAGTACCACCAATTTTCGTAGTAGATGCAGAAGGAGGAAAAAGTGTCTGCCGTTCTACGATCGCATCCTCGTCATCGTCGTCGTTCGCGGTACAACATTCCAGCTCGTCCAGCCTTTCCGTCGCTTCCATCTTCTTCCTCCTCCAAATTCAAGCACAGGATCATCAATCAACCAATTCCACAATCTATGATTCGAGTGCACCGAAGTGAAGACGGAAAAGGGGGGCCGAACGCGACACCAAGGCCGAAAAAAATTGCAACATTTTTAAAACAGGAAGTGAAGCAAGTAAGGAAGATTACCGTTGGACGTGAGGACATCATCGGGATCCACCGTTGAACACAGGGGGGTGCATATTCAGACAGACTTCGCGATCGTCTCGGACGAGAAGAGACGAGACTATAGGACGGGAACCGGAACTCGCGGGGTTGCCTATTTCTTCTTCATCTTCTTCGTGTTCGTCCCTCCGCGCACGGCTCTCATCCTCGCCTCCGCTTCACCACCACCACCACCACGTGCAAAACTAGAATAAGAATGCCAATAATAATGAGGAGAGGAAGAGAGAAAGTAGGTTGTCCGGAAACGCGGGCCCGTGTGCCAAGAAAGCAAGCCGATCCTCTCTCTCTCTCTGTTGCTGCCAAGCCGAGGTTCCGGGCGTATCCGCATAGGTACGGTAAGGTATGGAGGGGTTGGAGTCAAGGCAAACGCACTCGTTTTCTTTCACGCCTGTTCCTCCTCGTGCTCTCCTCTCTTTCTTTCCTTTCGAAGCAGAGATAACTTCGTTGTTTCTCCTCTCCTCTCTTTTCTCGCCTTGTTCAATTCGTCCATCTGTCACTTTCACATACACAAACGCACAGACGAACTTACTTTCTCTCGCGCCCTCTCGCAGGGTTGTTTCTGACAGGGTCGTCGCGGGTCTTTCCGCATTCTAGAGCCACGTCATCGCTTGTTTGTTCGCAAAAGAAGTGGAACATTACAGAGTGAGGAAAGGAAATCAAATGAAGGAAGAGAGAGAGGGGAAATTTCAGATTTCTCTTTTTATTCCACGGATCTCGCTCAAAATCTTCCGTGTTTCTTAGCATACCTACACCTTGTTCATCCCGAAGGAAGAGACTTTTTGGAAGAACAAGCATAATGGATGATGAGATGTGATGGAAGGAACTGGTCCAGTGACATCAACGGGGCTTGAAGACCTCGTCCGCGGGTTCTTTTTTCCATCCATTTCCCTGAATGACATCTGACAACCGGAAGGCTTTCTGACGTAGAAACTTTCCATTTTGATGAAGAGCTTCAATTCCATCAAATACCGCATTTAGTTCAGTACCACACGCCCCCAACTGCCCGAAGTATGACGCCCACCTAAGTTTTTTGGCATGACATCTGCCCAAAAATGTTCCCTGCATAAGACACGCACACCAGTTTTACATTGCTGAAAATTTAATTTTTACCAAAAATTACGATGTTGAACAAAATAGTCCCATAAATGAAGAAAATGCATCATTTTAACTGAATTTGAGCCGAACAAAATTCCCTGTTCATTATTTGCCCCTACGACGTAATAACTTCTAGCTCCCACGAGTCAACGACTATAATGTCGTGCTCCAGAAAATGTATACCCGCATACCACGCCCCACCTTTCTGTCTTAATTTTGCGGGGAAAAAGGTGCGCGTGGTAGTCGAGTAAATTCGGGTAATGCAAGATTTGAGCGATGCTCGCACATTAAAAATGTTGTCTTGGAACAGTTGTAACTGGCTACGCTCGTTTGAAAACTGATCATCATGAGAGCATCTGTGTAAGGAGAAGACTTCCTGTCACGCTTTGTGCGAAGAAGGAGCACGGAGTAGCATAACTTCCTTTATTCATCATTTATTTCTGATATCTTCAAGAAAAGAGGGTGATTCGCATTCCCCATTACAGACACATATCAGCGAATAAGGCCCAGGATTTCAATCACGAACTGAATTCCACGTAACGCAACAGATCGGCTTCTCCCGTAAATTCCGGAGGGGTTACTTCGGAAATGAATGTGGATATCTTTACTGTACAGTATTTGAATCCTTGATATTCTCAACTTTTGGAGGCAAATATAGAACTGGTATATGAGATGCATACAGTACTTGTAAATGGAACCAAAATTTAATAATCTAATGATCGAGAAAATGAGACAACAATTTTGAAAACATTGAGCGCAAATGATGAATTCTGCATTTTTGCTTGCTGGCATAAATTCGTGGATTTAATTTTTCTGGATCAGACTTATGAAGATAAAAATAATTTAGAAAAGCGAAACGATTTCGGAAAGTATTTTAGCAATTTCCATCCCTTTTCTCTTTCATTCGACGGAACACAAATTATCCGATTGTATTTTCCCCCTCTGCAGTTCGACTGGAAATTTAGGATCTTCTGAGCTGAAATGGCAGTTATCACATAGATCCCCTGCTGTTCATCCATAGTACAGGGCAGCTATTCCTGCCCTCTGCGCAAACATTCGAAAAATTCCTCACAGCTTTCTGCTTTTCTTACGGCTCACAAAAATATATGGAACCTAGAGATTTAGCAGTCAGACGGAATTGGCTCGATCTCGCATTTCTTCAGCGGGCAATGCACCTACTTGAGAAGTCAGCCTCGCATACACGTCCCAATTGAGACCTGCTCTCATAAATTTTATGAATATTGGCATCAGCGCGAAGGAAGAATACCGAAGCTGCCGGGGTTTGTATGCATAATGGAGAACCTTTACAGAAAAAGGGAATAATAAACCAGAAGACCCTGTTTCAGCCGAAGCACCCGGGAAGATTCTTTTTTTCTACATTATCAAGGCACGGTTCACGATAGCACTTGACTGGAAACAACGACACCTGAACTCCGTAACAAAGAAACAACAACCCTGAACATTTCTCCTCGCGTGAAAAAAAAGCCCTGTACAAGAACACAAAGCTCTCCAATCCATGCACAAAAATTATCAACGTTTCGTAAGCAGTTTACACAACAAAACAAGAATTTTTCACATTTGAACAAAAAGGGAACTCGAGAAAAAACTTGCTGTACATCTCCGCAGTTTTTGTAAAAAATATTCGTCTGGAAAGTGCCAAAAGAGAGGAAAAGATTTGACGGGTCGTGTGCTCCGAAATAATCGTTTCGCTGAATGTTCCCATCTTTTGCCCAACATGGACGGTGGACGAGGCAGCGCGAAGCTTTGGTATCATGTCATCAGTGACCACAAAATCACCCGAACTTTGCTTTCCTCTATAGAACAAACTTTCTCCGGAACTGGCCCGGTTTTCCACAGATCAAAAACATAAACCAGGTACTTTTGTTTCTATACTTCCAACTTAAATACATTACTCTTTTAAACCCAAGTTTTGATCCCGTGCACCTTTCGAACGCCTCTTTCAATTCAATGTTCGATCAGGCGCAAAAAAATAAAAATAAATGCGCAAAACGAAATCAAAGATAACCTTGAAAAAATCGATTGTCGAAGAATCTAGTCCGAATCGCTGCCGGCTTTCTTCAACGACGATTTGATGATTTTCGGGGTGAGAGATTGATCGGGAAGATGCCCGTGTTCAATAAGGAACTTCATCACATCAGCAGCGCTGAAGTGATCGGATTTGAACTCATCACCGAGACGAACGAAGTTTCCAACTAGGTTTCCACCACGGTATATGAGCAAAGCGGGGACTCCCTGGGCTTGGAATATCTCCGTCATGTTCACGACACGCACATCCAACCTAGATACATGATTTTTTTTTAATTTTCAGGTTGAAAGTCATCCACTAGTGAAATAATCAAACGATTATGAGAGGTAGAACCAAAAAGATAATTCCTTTCCTTGGTTGCCAAATACCTGTATTGTAAGAAGCCGAGATCTTCCCTTTTCCTCCGTTCACACCATACTTGTTCTTCTGATTAAAATCTGACAATCCTATGATAATAACTTCCTAAAATACCGTATTCACATTTTCAGACGATCAAAAACGAGGGGATGCGTACATACGCAAATTTAATTAATTTGCGTAAATATGCGTCTACATCAGAAAATCTTCCTGTTCGCAATCCACAAAACAATACTATAAAGAACTTCTTCCTTTCAGTTCTTCTGGAATTCAAGTTGTAAATAATTAAGAAATGGTCAGATTTCAACACATGAAGATGCACAAGAAGGGTAAGGGCAAGGGTTATGTGACACCATTTTTCCTTCATCGGGGAACACCTGAATGTTGTCAGAAATGTTAGTTTCCTGGAAAGTCAGAACACCAGGAGAGTAAGTGCGCGCTCATATTTGCCTATTTACGGAATCTTAATTTTGTGCATGAAAAATCTAGGGGAGGGCCCTAATATTCGATTGAATACGGTATTTACATTTTGCGGGTCCAGTAGCTCTTGGATGAATACTGTACAAACATTTCTAGACGTCATTATCAAGCAGATACCCCCATTTAAATTTTCGGCATTTTATCTCCCGGTAAGTTATCAAGAAAATGTCAAAGAGAACTTACGTGCAGAACTTAAAGCCCCGCGAATAATTCGAGGTGAGCCCTTTAAGGCAATTGTTCAACACCGCGCAAGCTCGTTTCCCAGGATCGTATAAATGCACAAAAACAGTCACATCCTTGTGTTCATCGTCAACGGCTCGGAGGAACTCTGGGCCACTCTTCAGCTCCAACACTTCACCAAATACAGGAAGGCATTCGTAACTGGAACAAGATAGAATATTCGTTCAATTTAGATATTAGCTTCTGTGTTTTTTTTTTTTTTTTTACAAGGACGTACCGTGAAATCATCTCCTGCATTCGTTGCTTGACGTAGAAATCGAAAAACCCGTCTTCTTCTTCCAAAATTTTGTCGATGTCTTCATCCTCGTCAACGGGCTTCTTTTTCGACCGACCCCAACCTCTCTTTTTCTTCTCCTTTTCCGTCTTTTGTTTTTCCTTCTCCGACTCCGACGCGCAATTCAAAGAAAGCTTCTGGATAAGCTTCAGCTTTTCCGCCTCTTGCTCTTCCCTTTTTTCAGTTTCCAACTGCTTGAATCTGTAATTCAACATTCAAAAAGTTATGCATGAACGAAATCTCGATTAAAACCTACTGAAGTTCAAGTAAGTAATCATCGACATGCAATCGCGAAGAAAAAAATCCTTCTCATTAAAATCATTCCCTCGAAAAGAATTTCAAGAAAGTTTCTTTGCAAACCTAGTCCCAGAGACAAAATGTACATTTCAAACGGTGACGTGGATCTTGGATCAATGCGGAACGTTTTAGAGACGCCTCTCTTTCGTGTAGATCTTTGTTTTTGGTCGGTAAAATAATTTGTACACACTGAATGTGACAAAAAGAGAGGACAAAGATGCAAGGAAAATAAGAAATAAATAAGTGAAACTTTTTAAAAGCGAAACCTTCAGGACAAACGGGACAACCGTCTTGTAAATTGACTTGAAATTATAAAATTCAAGTTCTTACCATTGAAGCGGTAATCACGTTCTTTTTTGCGGCTCTAGTTGCATTAGTGTGGCCATTATGGCAACTAGGAAAAATGCTGATAAGAAAATGGTGCCACTTTATTTTTCTCCATTCGTATCTTGACCCGTTTTCTGAGCTCCAGAAGCTCAGCTCCAGTTTATAAACTTATCTTCAGCCCTTCAGGGATAGAAAAGGAGTTCAGTGTGTTCTTTTATCTTTTCCAACAACAGCTTGAAGTTGTTTCATCGATTAAAAAAAAAAGAGGAATGGCTCTGGCCTTCCCAATCCCCAGCGGAAGTTGCAGCTTTTGTCTCATTTTCTATATTTTCAAGTCATTCCACATTATACAAAACCGGCAGAAAACTGGAACTACTTGTAGATTTTTTTCAAAAGAAACTGTTTCAAATAACGCGCAGTTGCATTTGCAATGTAGCGTTTCGGTAAAACTGATGGGCTTCTTACTGAACGATGGGCAAGCTTGTTCACATGCTCCATTAGTCTTCGGGAAAAGCCACAAAAGGGATAAGCAAAACTCAAATCTTGGTAATTTCTTTGCAAAAAGCAAGCCTGTCAACCAAAAAGCGTCAGAAGAGCATCAAAAACTGTATTGCGTCTTGGACTCAAGACGCAATCTCTTAGAAAGAAAGCATTGAAAAACCTCCATAACTCGAATTATATACTGTAGAGGCCTTTTTTCATTATTTTTATTGACACAGGAAAGTGTTCAATCTAGACTTGGCGTCTACCATCACGGACAGCGTCTCTTCAGCATTTTTGAGACTAGAAATTTCGTTATACAGTACTAATCCAACCCAAAAGAAATATGATAGCTAACCTTTGCCAATCTTTAATGACACCTTTTGGCCCGGTGTTTGTGGTCATGCCTCGCCACGCGTTACTAGGCGGTGGAGGAGGCTCAGGGACTTCTGGAGCAGCAGCAGCTGTTGCTCCTTCATCCTCGTCGTCGTCCTTGCCTCGTTCACGCTCATCTTCGTCTTCACTACTGCAGTAATAATGCGTTTTCTCGCCCAGAAGTCGGTCGTCCAAAGTAGTCATCGTTGAATCACAAAAACACTTGAAAATATATTCCCTTGTACACCAGCAAATGTAAAAATTCCCGCGCGAACAGTGAGCCTGAAAAAAAAATTAGAGGAAACGACGATCAGAGACGAGCTTCTCGGCAAATCCGAATGAAGCGGATTGTTAAACAGGAAATAATGGAAGTAAACTGCAATAACTCCAAAAATTTTCCAACGAAACAAATCTCCGAAAGCGAAAATGGTACTCTCCAGTAGACAGTAACATTCCCCAAACGTTAAACAGTCTGCATTGCATCTGGATCATCACAAACAGTCTCATCTTTTGCTAATGCCTCAAGCTGCGCTCGCTTCACCTTCCGCATACGAATTTTATGGATAGATTTTGCGTCTCCGTCCCAGTTCCTCATGAATTCGAGTGATTCGGCATGAAAAAGATCTGGCAAATCTGTGGGAACACGAACGACGTCACACAAAACGAGTCATTAAATTCAGTATTTTGAGACTCTCACCAAGACCAGCTCCTTCGAAAAGCTCCGTCTCTCTTGCTACAGTTTCTTGAAGCTTTGAAAGTCTACCGCTTTTCTGTCTTCCTTTCCGAAAACCACCGATGCTATTCTTATCTGTTATTTCATCCATTTCGTCGTCATTGCGATGAAGATAGCTGAAAAAAGGACAAGGATTCATTGATCAAGTTTTGTCAGTCGTACGCTTCACTGTTTCTGTTCTGTTTTTTTTTTTTTTGCATGGATGGTCGCAACTTTTAAAGATAAATGCAAAATTTGATCAATTTTTGGCAGCAGTGCAATGCTTCGATCACCCAGGTAAGCACGCAGCTCATTACAATGCTTGAAAATTCTTCGACAGTCAACCATATCCCAATAAGTTTTCTGACCTTGGGAATTTCAGCACGTATTTTAGAACTGTATGTGCAGAAGCCAGAAGTTGCCCACGCCTGAGAAAACTCATAGAAAAGCTTCAAGGGATAAACGGAGACTCACTTCACCTATTTATCTTCCAATTTATGATTCAAAAAATTGGCCCAAAGAATTTAATATCCAACAAGAACTTTGAACCATACCTCGTACAAAACAGGTTCGGAACATCATTATAACCCCTTAGTCACTCACCATTCAATGAGATCCAAAAAATCCGATCCCGTGAAAGGATCGGAATAATCCTCCAGGAACTGAGCTAAAAAGCGAAGCATTTCTGTAGTGGCATTAACCTTGGCATTTCCAGCCCATTTTGCTTTCAGTTTCTTGCCCTGCCTGTTCTCAAAAACCAAAGAAAATTTGAAAAAATTCAGAATTCAACTGCTCCTTCATTTTACTCACTTATTGGCATTTTTGGAAATTCGTGTAGCCTTCCGACTGTTGGGATGCAGAAGTTTCAACGGATCTTTCTTGTGCAAATCCGTCTTTTTCTTAGTCTGGAAAAAAAAACTTTACAACAGATTCTGCTGAATAATACCGTAAATGATCGCTCACCATTTTAAATTATATTGCACCTGTCACTCAAGTTGCACACTCAATTCCGTTTGTTCTACAACAAAAAAGAGAAAACCTATAGGAAAAATTTGCAAGTAGCATCGAAACAATGAAAAGACAACTTGAATGGATCGAATCACGTAGAATATCCCAGCAGCAAATGAGATAACAAAATACAACGAACACTGAAAATATTGAGCAAATCTTAGAAACGTATACAAATTAGAACTTGAGTCGTCACATCTACATCAAGGGAAAACTTGCAAAAATATCTTGGTTGTCGCATGCCATCTATTCGTTCATTAGTTTGTGCAACTCGGCCGTACACTTTTCCACTTCTAGTACACGTCCTGAATTCATGAAGCAATCGAACAATTCATGACGCAGTTTCGGAAGTTTAGGAAGATATCCATTTTCTGGAAGATTCAGCAGCACTTTGAAAAGTTTTTTCCAGAATTCCGCTTGCAACGGCCTGAAAGGAAAACAAAGGCAAATTGAATTGAATTGGGTCCTCAGCTGAAAATAATTGATAACTATGCAACTCTTCCAGTCACAAATATGAACTAGAAAGGACTCGATCAACCCATATATTAAGCGTACAAAAAACATTCGATTCTGGGAAGGATGTAGTAAAATTATTCGTCCTATTATTATTAAAGGAAACTGTACTTGGCGATATTCTGATCCATCAATTGCTTCTCAAATGAGTTGAGAGAATGCTGAACTTGGAGGCAAGAGTTCATTTGCCCAATTAGTTGTTAAAACTTCCTTTCAAAGCACATCAAGTTACATTTTTATTGCTTTTCTCTTTCCTGCATCAATGATATAACAGTCAAAGGGCCTGCAGAAAATTCGAGTCATGGAGGTTCGAGTGAGAAACACTTCGAGTAAAGGAGGTTTTATTAATGCATTGTTTCTCAAGGAATTTAGCAGGGACTTGAACATTTTGGACATCGTGAGAAATTCAACTTAGGGAGGCTCGAGTTATCTAAGTTCAACTGTAATAAGTAATTCTGAGAAAAGTCCTCGATGTCTCAAGACAACCATCGACTCTGTGCCACAAGAAAAATCTCACCTTCGAAATGAAACATCAGCAGGAACCCATTCGTCCTTGACTTTGGCCAGTTTCATGTGCTTGCCGAAAAGCAACGTGTGGATAGTGGACGCGATCCCACAGTAGTCAATATGATACGTCCACGGCTGCTCGTCAGACATCGCAGGAATTCGGTACTCCTCGTTTTCAGAACAATAATTGAACTGAATCCTCGTCGGGAGGAACTTCATGTCAATCGAGCGTCCGAAATCTATCAACTGCAAACTGCGCCCTTCCACGCCAAAAACTTCTTCTTCCGTCTTCCCGTGTTTATCGATGCGCGGCCTAAAAATTGAAATTTCATGGCTCTCTTCACTGCCGGCATCTCAATGCTTTTCCAATTTACATTAATATTGCACTAAAATCATGCTTAAATTAGTACTGTAAATTAAAATTGGACGATAGATGTAAGATTGGGTCACTGAGGTAATATTCGGCGAACGTCATTTGGGATTGAACAAAATTCTTGTTAAGCTGTTAGCGAGTGTCATCTACCCGACACTGCAAAAAACATGGTCGAGAGTGGAAGATGTACAACATAAGAAATAACAATCGCAACCGTTGGCACTTCTGTAAAACTTCGTTACTCACATGCCAGCCAGGACGAAATTATCAACCTTTAGGTCAGCGTGGATAATACGACAGTCGTGAACGCCTTCAATTATTCGAAGAATTTCGTAGGCGAAGCAGAAGACGAGACATTCCGGCATCGCTTTGTGGGCCCTCAAAAAATTGTTCAAGACCGACAACAAACTTCCCCACGACTGAAAATTTGACACCAACAGACAACCGTCGCGGAAAAAGTAGGCTCTGTTGATTTTCATGATGGACGGGCGCTGTGAAAAAAAAAAAGGCGTATTAAACATTTTCCTAGCGTTTTTACCAACTACAACTCACAATATTGTACGCAGCAGAGGATCGCAGACGCTTGTGCAATTCGTTGCAAATATACAATTCCCACGGACACGGCGGCTTTTGCTCTTTGAACACAACATCGTCGTTCATCGGGAACATGGTATGCTCCATCGGATTTTTACGCAAAACCGCTGCTCGGAAAACTCTCCCATACGATCCTTCTCCTACAATCGTATCCACCTCGTAGGACTCCCCTTCATGAACAAACTCCACATCTAAACAGATTGCAGGCATTTTCTTGTCCAAATAGAAGACTCGATCTTTCGGAAAACCATCGCCGACACTATCCAGAAATGCAGTTCTGGCTTCGTCGGAAAATGGGTTGGCGGAGAAAAGCTGAGCTATGCTATCGTTCACGCGCACAATCAGCGATCGTTGTAGCTCTAAAAGCCTCGCATCCTCTTCGATTTTCGACGGAGATCCTGAGAATGGAAAACATATACAGTATTACACGATTGCGTAATCGAATACGAACTTCGCGCAGCGATTCCAAGGCGAACTACTGAAAGCCGCCGAATAGTTGCTAATTTTGAAAAGAAAAATACTTCATGCGCATGAAGAACGACATAAAAACATCGTATATCAATCTGCGAACTCCTACGACGGGTACTCAATTCTTGACAGAGTATCTTGGTTTAAATATCCAAATAAAAGTTGGCAGCGCCTAATTAAAAAATACTATTTTTTTGCAAAGCTTGGAAGAAAACATTTGTTCGATCTCGCAAATTTAACTCGGCACACTTGAGATTATCTTATTCATGGGCAGCATCCCTTTGTGAGTGATCTGCGAAGCCTATGCCGCAACCTGCATTTTGAGCAGTTTTCTTTATTTTTCGGGAGTGGACGGTGGTATGTGTGGCCTTCAGTTGAGGAAATGAGGCAATGAAAAGAAATAATAATATTGGATTAACTCACGAATCTCCCAACGCTTCTTGAAAACATATTCCTCCAAAGAAAGCCCTCCTTCGACGACGTCAACAGGTAAAACAAAACGAGTGTTTGCTGGAAGATCCTTGATGCCGAGTCCAGGTGATACCGTCCATAAGCCCATCCCAATCTCAAAGGATGAGGCTTTCATAAAACGTCTTCTACAAGCAACAATCGGCTCTAAAACGAAAAATAACTAATCAATGATTGAAACGATATTTTAACCAATGAATTCTTCCATTCTCACCGTGTGTTAGCACTGAATGCTTGTGAGCCATCGCAAGACGCTCTTCAACCGAAACGCTGTTTGATTTGTATATCATGTGGCAATTCGCGGCATCAGCTTCCTCCACCTTTGTTCCAGCTTCTGAATGCGGGGTTTCATTGAATATTCTTTCAGAAAATGAATCATTGAACTTACTATGAGTTGAGCCTTTTGGTGGCTCACGCAGGCCTATGTCTAGTTTCGGCATTTTCCACGTTCCTTCCTCCTCGCCATCATCACAGAAAACTGAGGAAAATGAACGTTGAGAGGACTTCAAATAAAATACCTCGAATATCAGTTAACTTACTTTGAAAAGAGGGCTTCGCTTTGACTTTAACTGGACCGCTGACCGCACCCCGAATCAATGGTATCACTTCTACACGATTTTCTCTGGACTTCCCTAGTTTCGCAAACGAAACGACATCCTCGTTCGTTTCAACAGGTTCACGATTGTCTGGATCGTCCTAAGTTGAAAGTAAAAAAAATTGCCCATTATTCACTTCCGGCAACCCTTAACAACTCATACGTTCACTCAAAAAAACGTGAATTTTCAACGTGCGAAGCCTGTTCATTACGGGCATTATTTAGAATGAAGAGCAACTGTATCAAAAAACTGGTTCGATAAGTTCGTAGAATCACACAACTGAAACGCTTCAATCTTTCGAGAACGAGAATGGGATAAAATCAGATAATAATTTCAGAAGAACGACTAGGAGCTCGAAAAACTTTTCGAAGAATGAACAACCTTTCTTTTCGGAATACTGTAAATAATTTAAAATATCACATCCAAGCCGCGATTAAGATACAGTGAAAATACTTTACGGCAGCTCCTTTACTTGAGCATAAATGAGTCTATTATCGTAAATATAGTCACACAACAATCAAAACTTCGATACCAGGTCAATTAATGATGAAATTTTTTTGCAGATACACTGTGCCTCCACATAACGGAAGACCCGCACAGCCAAAAATAAGCACAAAAAACGAAGGGTGAAAAATGTGATTGATTCAACGAAATTTTTCACAGAACAACATTTTTGATTAAAAAATAATCAAATTATAGCAAGTTTTGGACACGGACTTGGTCATTTTTGAAAAATTTGGGGAAAATGAAAATGAAGGCATACTTCGCCTCTTCCTGTTTTGAAAAATTCACGAAATTTAAAAATTCGAGTGCACAAGCTTGCCAGAATTTAATTTTAATTATTTCAGAGTTCACATTGTTATGCTGAAAACTACGAAAGAGATTGCATTCTACTGGTTTATAGCTGGAACGAATTAAATAATTTATAATTTAATCTCAGGGGAATACGCGTTTCGTTAAAGGAAAAGTCCGCATAACAAAATTCATCCTGGAACGGATTACTGGCTGTAGTTTCGTCATGAGGGTACAAACTGAGCAGTACTCTCAAAACTCACATAACATGCGAGTGGGTTATTTGGTGCAGTCGAGACAGGCGCTTGGTTGAGACACGAGAGACCAAGCACAGCCCTCCCTGTTCTTGCAACAGGAGCTCTGACGCGAGTTTTTCCAACTGGTCTCAGGCTCATCAATGGTTTTCGCTGGTTTTCTTCGTCCTCGGGAATTTCGGCTTGACAGGACACGGCTCGAGAAAGCATCGCCCTTCGTAATGAATGTAAACTTAGCTCCAATCCACTCAATCCATCATTACTTCAAGACAAACTTCAACATTCTCCACTGAAAGAACTGCGATCTTGAATGATATCCAAATGGAAACTCACTGATACTCTTCTTCCAGTTGTTGGGAAGGTTGGACTTTGTTTTCCAGCGCAAGCTTGAAAACATCTTGTGCCGCATTTATCCTGCCATTTCTTTCAAGCTCGAACGCCCAATCGATGTAGAAATCTGGATCACGAAGTCCAATCCTGGCTTTTTTCATGAATTCGTAAATCTCCAACGGGTCATTTGACATATGCGCCTAAACGATATAAATTACGACAACAATTAGCCTTTTTACAACGTAGAAAGGTCGTTGTACTTACGTAATGGAGCCAAATAGAAACGCAGTTCAAATCATTTCGAACGTCATCAGTCTTGAACTCTTCCTGGTCCATCAGCTTGCAAAAGCTCTCCACTGCTTCAAAAAGAAGGCCTCTTCTCTTCTCTTTAGCGCGGTAATGAATCTCAAGGAACTGGATAAAATCAATCCTGGGGCGAATCTGATCGATACCTTTGCAAGCTGCTATGCGTGCTTGGAAAGAACTGAAACATTCGATGGTAAAAAAAAATTATAACGATTTAGCATTCAGAATCTTTACATGGATAGAAAATTATTCTCAAATGCACATTTCATATTGTTCGCCACAAGCTGAATCAACACAAATTACGTTGTACAAATCAAGAATCAGCAGAAAATCTCAATCTGATTTTCAAACTGGCATTGCAAAAACTAGGAATGCTGAAAAGTTTAATATGACCTCGACTGAAAAGTACAAATAAGAACAGTAGAGTATTCTATGCGCGTGGATGTGTGCTTCATTTCCATCTTCAATATTATTCGTAAAAAAAATGTATGGTACCCCTAAAACGATACAATATACAGTAAACCAATCGTATTCCAAGTCAGCAAATTTTATGAATTCAAGAAATTCAGATTTTTCTTCGCAGCACAGCATCAACTCAACATGAAGAGAACCTTGCACAATTATCCTCCAAATTTAATCATCAATCCAACGAAGTTGTTTCGAAGTAAAACATCCTATCACAAAATAATTTTAACCAGGACAGGAAGACTAAGTAGCTGTCATGAGTATTGAAAAGCAAACGGAACATTCAAGCATAAATTCTTTTTATGTTACTGCAGATTCATTCAAAATTCACTCCTCAAGGGAGTTCAACTCGCAGATTTTTCTGAACAGCAATATGCTTCGGTTAAATAGCTCATCACATGGAAGACATTATTTCATCAGGACCTAAACTAACATTCCGTTTTAGCTTCACAGTAGAATTTTTACAATTTTGACGCTTGAAAATTATAGTTGAAATTTCCCAGTTCATACGCTTTCGAAAATGAATTTAAGCTATGGCCGAAAAAATCAGCCCGACTCTCGTGAATCAATCTTGATGAAAATTTCACCAATTCCCAATCAACACTCCACAGAAAACTGTGGAATAATTCAAACTATTATTCCAGAATCGCTGTGATCGCAGTCAAGGAACTTCGGAATAAGCCACCTCGGAGCTGAACCAGAGCAGCCAAAGAAAGGCTTCCCTTCGTCACCCCACTATTTTTACATACGACGACCAAAAAATGTTTTCTCTGCAAGTTTGCTCTTAGCACATATTTGTTGAGCGAACGACGGCCTCATGCGAAAAACAAATGTCTCTTGTAAATTTCCACCGCTGGAGTTACGTGACACAGTGGAACACATCTGATCATTCTGCTAATACTTACGCGACCATCGCATTGAACGTCGCATCATCCAGCTTAACTCCACGACCTTTCACAGCCGGCAGAATATTTTCTTTCGACTCCTCTTCCTAAGAAACATAAAAATCAGCATTTTTGCAACAAAAAAGTGCAATACCCGAATCTTACCACTTCGATCGCAGCTGCAGCCGACATGTTGATGGTTGCTCAAGTTAGCCACCAAAAATTTGCGAATACGCGATCTCAATACATGTCATACACTTGAACACACAACGGAAATCTGAAGATTAAACGAAAAATAATGTACTATCAAACGCTGAAGTCTTGATACTGCATGACGGAAAACCGTGTTCGGAACAAAACACTTGATTCATGAAACTTTCACAACACGATCATAAAAAACCAAATTTTTCGAATAAAATCTGGCAGAAGTAAAAAATGTTTCCCCGAAATTCATGAAGATCGGAGCTCACAGGTTATTCTCCGGTAATTTTTTCCGTAACTTCAGAATAACGTTGCCTCCTCTTGCGGATCAAACGTTTCTTCTTGGAAGCAACTCTCGACGCAGAAAGAACATCAGCGTGTTTACCACTGTATATGCTTCGAATGACTTTGAATGCTTCCGCATCGTAGTATGGAATCTAAAACGAAATTTCAAAATAAAAAACTTGATTACGAAATCCTTCAGGAAATAACTTTCTCGGCTAATTGGAACGATGAAGTCTAAACAGAAACGAATAAACGTTGGTATGGACCAAAATGAAAGGCATATTTGTTTACCTTACTTATCATACGGTAAATGACGAATTATTGCAATACAGAATTTAATCATTCAAAAAACTGGTCCGCCATTTCAAGTAGTAATTTAAATTTTTCAGCTTTATTATACAGTTCGCAGTTGTTCAGTAAAAGCATAACATCTTTTAAAGTTATTACCGTACCAACTTCGCAAAGATCCGAAAATATATACAGTACTGTACAGTATGTGAACTTGATTCGAGAATTACGATCATACGGAATTTGACCATCTACAAAATTTCGATTTACTGAAATAGTACGACGCGACATATAAAACGTTCTTCAGTCGCTCGACTTACAAAAGTTACAACTGATTGACTCCGGCAATTATCCGACTGTACATCGATTAATACTGTTTACTGTATTTGCGTGAACTCTGTAATACCTACAAAATGTGGTCGTAATTGACTGAATTTATACAGCATTAGACGTTCTTTCATCACATTTGAACCCGTCATTCGTCCGGATGACCGGAGTTCCAATCAAAATGTATTTCTTAGCGGCTTCCAAAATTTGATAATTAAGCCAAATTCGTTCACTGCCGTTTCTCTTGAATATAAAATTACGTAATGACATGCAATCGGTCTGCAGGATCTTTCAAAATAGATTGACTCGCCTTTGTCAACGGATCAACGTAGCGTGCCGGTAGAAGCGTGATCGGACACAAAGAACGAATGCGTTGCGCTTGTTTCGCAGGGAATACACGTCTGAACGATTCGTCATCCGGGAAGGTGAGAACGTTTAAATTCACCAATCGTTCACACGACTCCTCACTGTTTTCTGAAACTGAACTAGCACCAGCGCGACACACGCCAGTAACTGAGATTTCCGTCGGATTTTCCCCATGTTCGCTTTTAATCACGTTCAAATGGGTCTCATTCGCACCATTGACAAGACTAAAAGCTCGTTTCGCTGCAGCAGTTTCCGATTCACTGATTTCTTCCTTCACAGATGATTCCTTCTCACATTTAGGTTGTGCGATATCGGAAATAACGACCGTTTGGACTTGTTGAAAATTGTCGTTCATTGCGCGATTATCAGGTTCCGCCGATCCCTGGGTCGAACTCGATTCATCAACATCCGCTTTGTCTTCATCGAGGGGTTCCTCCTTAACTATGACATCATGCTTGCCCTTTCCTCCTCGAACAGTTTCCCGCACAGGTTCGACAACTGCAGTTTCCGGAATCAAACGCAGACTCATGCTACAAAAACGTATTGATCTGAAAGAAAAAAATATTTCACGAACTGTCGCGAATATGCGGCAACGGGAAACTTACGGTCGCATCCGTGCCTTCAATTGGGCAATCCTAATTTTTTGTTCTTCTCTACTCAATTTTGACTGCAATCTTTCCAAAATTCTTCTACTTTTTTCTTCTGAGATTTTACGAAACGGCATATTTCTACAAGACGACCGTTTTTCTTCCTCTCTTCCGGATTTTGAAGATTGTGATACGATTCTTTCCAGCTTCCGAAGACGTAGCTTTTCTCGCAGTTTACTAAACTTCTCTGCGTCACTTAGGAATTTCATTGACGATGCTGAAGATCCGCTTTCAACTGAGGAGCACAAAAAATTAACCTTTTTTGAATGGGGAATGAACGATTGATCAACTCACCCGTTGCATCGACGTCTAATAGTTGAATTGCTTTACGCGTGAGAACTTCAAATTTTTTAGCTCGCCCGAGATTTGGATGCTGCTCAAATTCTTCATGCTGTAATTTTTAAAAATGTTTTAAAAATAATGCGCAGAAATTACCGAATACTGTATCCGAACAAAGGACGCTAACTCACTTCGTCATCAGACCAATCCCTTAGGTAGCCATCAGCTCGTTCCAAATCGTCAAATCTGGAATCGCTTTCTTCTTCCAGGGACTTGAGAAAACTTCTGCGTAGCGATGTGTAATGGGAATCGAGTTTCATTTCTTAAAATCGGCTCGATGTTCACTCACGAAAATGTCTGATTCCCGCGTTCTTTCTCGCGGTTGTTCGAAAGCCAGTACATGCCTTCTTTGGCAGCAAGTTCATTCAGAAGAGATCCCATATTTCTACCGGCATTCTTTCGACGCGGTCTTCTCAACGCAACAGAGTGAGAAATGCTTTCCGGTGACGTCGAAGTTGTCTCAAGGGATGCTCCTTTGCCAGGAACCTGCTCATCATCCGTTGCCATCACAAAAACAAGTTCACACAGTCTCTTCACAGAACCTTCGGATCGGAAAGTCAGATGATGCTTCATCGAGCAAGACAGTTCATCACGAATAAATCGTAATAAAAATCCAAATAGGACCAAATTTTAAATATGGAGTGGCTTCCACTTATAGACTGACTTAGATTTACTGAGCAGCGAACATCATAAACACTTTCTAAAGCTCGAAAGAATGCTCAACAGCGATATGTACTAGTCCAACAAATTTCCCAACATTTAATGAAGACATAAGAAAATGTCCCATGCAAGGCTCATAAGGTTCGAACACCGAGAAATTGGTTTCATAAAAGCCCTAATTGAACACAAGAAAAGTTGACATCGAAATCATAGGTTTCAAAGGGTAAAAAAGTATGAGTGAAGGGAACGACGAAAACAAGAAAAAATATTTCCAAAAAAATCCTATTCTTGCACGAGATAATTTTTTTATCAAATACAAACATCAAATGACCCCAGAATGCCACGTATGCTCCAACTTGGCAAACATCAACCTCCTTTTACTACGGACTCCACCCCGAAACCAAGATTTCAAAAACGAACAAAAATATGACAAGGAAGACATGTTCTTGTTCGTCGATATCCTTCACTCGCGAACAGGCTTTGAAATGAGAGCACTGTTTTCAATGCCCGGTTGTTCCCACAGCGTCTTAGATAACTAGCAGCCGATTGCACTTCAGAAGGCACCAAAAAAAACCACTGTCGCTGCCTTCCTGCTATCAGTATTGGTGTTTAGCTTCCAGCTTTCCACTGTATCAGCTCGCAGAACAAACGTAACTGTCTTCCGTCAGCTTTTTCTTTCGTCGAGACGACCCAAATATTCACAATTTTTTTTTATAAATCACAGACAGGCAGCGGTCGTCGTTCAAATCACGTCGGATGAAAAAGGTTCTTCATCGCCTCGTAACTTGATATCATGATTGCACATGCTGGCATTACCTTCAATAACCGTGGGGTAATGCCAGTGAAGAGAGCACTAACGCCTTCGGCCCGATAGAGCTCTCGTAGGATTGTCATCATTTTTTTTGAATTTTTCGGTTTACCTGCGAAAAAACATATTGAAAAGATCAGCTTTGCGACCACACGTAACGCGAAAATTTTCAAACCAAGAAACATTTTGGGAATGTATCACGCATTTCACGGGGAAATCTCATTTTCGCAAGTGAACGCAAAGGCAACATATAAAATAAGATGGACAAAAACCCCGCAATGAGTGAAATCATATCATTTATCCAGTTCTCAACTTGCGCAAAGGCGTTAATTTGTAATCCTTGGAAACTTTCATTAAATAATTTTCGTTAAACCAAGAAATTTCACAGCTAATCACTCATTTCAACATACTTGAATAAAGTTCCGCATCTCCCAGGGATATTTGACGGTGCGTTTTCACGATGTCGAACGGCAAGGTTACAACTGCTGCTAGCTGGAAAATAAATAAAAATATCACGAATCACACAATACACACACTTCTAGTTTTAGGCAAATGGTTCATGACAACCAAGCTTCGCGAAAATAATTCAAGACATATTATCTTTCAACTTACTCCTCCCGACAAAGCTCCAGCGAAAAAGCTGAACGATGGGTTCGGTGTTCTCTGATCGAAGGCAGTCTTTAAACCTTCCAAACACGACCAATAGATAGCAGAAAAAGGAACGTCACGCATCAGCGTCGGAGGCAGACCCATCCAAAGGCCAGTGATGCCTTTTGCTTTCAGCAAAGATTCCACAGCACTTCTGATCTCTAAAACAAAGATAACCGGCAAAATCTAATCAGCGGCTAACGGAAAATAAAAAACTCGCTCGTAGAGAATTTTCGTAAATTATCGTGTGAAATCGCGTAGAACTTGATCAAACTAGAATACCTAACAGCACCTCCAGTTCATTCAAACGATTTCGAACGCTCAAAGATATACTGTACTTCATCGCAATCCCTAAGATATAATCAGGCATTCCGATGAAGAACGTCTGTTTGTATCAACATTGACATCACATTTGAAACTTTCTTTACTCATGAGCAGAGAGAATCTACCAAGTTTGATCAAGCATGACAATACATTACTTAAAATTCTTCAAGCAGCGTAAATTTGAAAGTTTAGCTTGAAATTTTTCCCGGAATGCCAAACTTTGATATGAATAATTCCAACATTCGAATAGCCGAAAAGCACCAAGTTATGCCTTATATTCAATATAATACGCATTCTTAATTCAAAAAATTGACTCAAAAGCTGATTCGTCTGAATTAGTCGTCTCTTACTTCATATTGAGAGTTACGGTTGATAGAATTCTGAAAAAAAAAATTCACTTGAAAATACAAAATGTTCAATTGAAAAAATCCTGAAAACTACTTTCAATTCAGTGATTCCACAGTTAACTCCTACTTCATACTGGAAATTTTCGGGGAAATCGAATTGGTAACATCTCCAACAAGAACATAAGAAGAATCAAAAGATGCATTCGTTTTGAATATCGTCTCTCAGAATCAAAAAGTGGCTTCCGATTTATGCTGAAGATGCTAAAATGCATGAACTGCAATTTGGGTAGTTCACTAACCTCTGTAACTCAACCGCTCCGACTGCAACTTCGTTCGGACAAGTTCGATCGGATTTGTACATGTGACGGCAACGGTTCGCGCAATACCGCCGGCGGTCAACGGAATCCAGAAGGGCAGTTCTCGATTTTCACGTCCGTTCTCCGCATGCTTAGCTGAAATTGAGTACCGCTTTTCAGTTGGCCTCGTCGCGGAGAAATCGCGCACGCTGTAAGCCAAACCGGTACCCCAAGGAGCACTCAGCGAATAACGCGAGATCAATCTCGCGACACCTTTATGTATTGCATCAACGGACAAGCTTAGTGAACTACCTAACCACAAGCCACACGCCAAGCACCACAAAAACCAACTTACCCACATGGAGATCGAAGAGCTTATCCCGCAAATACTCATACGTCGTAAAATACAGGACAACATTTGGGATTGAAATCACTAAGGTTGGTGGCAATCCACTCCAAAGAGAAGAAATCCCTTCTGTTCTGGCAATCGTCGAAAAGGCGTCCTGCAAAAAATTGAAGCTTCAAGAAATCTAAGATTTTTTATATCCTTCGGAATTCGCTTACAATGGTACCGTTGAATTTACTCGGTCGCATATACCAATCTTTCGGCGGCAGAAGTCGAACATGCCCAGCTCGAGTGTTGTACTTTTTTCTCGCTGGGACAGTCTCATGGGTATACCCACAAGCACATAAATGCTCAGTAATTCCATTGCAATATATGAAGCATTTATGGGACGTGAACTCTTTAGTCTGAGCTTGCATGCGTATTTTCACGACATCAAACGGCGTCACTGCAACAAAATTTCATTAGAGCATTCATACAACGGAGAGTATATGGCGCAGGATTCTAATTAACTTACTAAATATAGCGGTAAGTAAGCCACCGCTACCAGAAGCGATCATCTGTTGCCACGGCTTCAATGCATACTTCGCCGGAGTCGAACTATCAAGAGGTTCAGGATTCGAGGAAGGCATCGTTCACGGTATTTCCTCGACAGATATACCCCGAGCAATCATGACTCGTACGATCGGAAATTCTGCATGTCAGAGGTGGAAGATTCATAGTTCAATTAAAACCCAACTCGAACTACTTTCATAGAACGCCCGTCAATGACTTTCATTGGTGTAAACCCAGTTGGCACTCAGTAGAATCGCGGAAGAATTTATCACTATCTTCTCTTTTAAATACTCAGTTCTTAAACTATCTTTCGATGGGTTTCACAGCCGTTGTTCTGGCCCTCAATAGATTTTCCCACTAACTACCCCGCACGGTTTTCGCGCTCACTGCAATTTTTCATCATAGTCGGGAGTGGACGCGGCCATTTGTCATGCTTAACCGACGACATAGTACGTCTGGAATAGTGAATGAGATTGATTCTCTGCAGGCTGCTTTAGGTGAGGAGAGTCAAAACCTTCAACTCAGCCAGAACTTGAATACAATCGCACACAATACCTTGGAGAGAGCAAGGCGAGCGTTACTCCACAAGTCGAAATGTTTCGATGAATTAGAGATAGAATACAAGCTGGTGAAAATGGAGAACGAACGGCTGCGTCGGAAAATTGGTACTGACTCTCTTTCATTGAAAAAGAAAACCCTTCACTCAGAATGATGCGCATTTCCTGCTGATTCCAACAGATAACCTCCACAGAACTTTGGCAGCCACTGCTGGTTCCGCTGTTCAAAACTTGTCCTGCGACGTAGATGAAGGCTCACATGTGGAGAACACCGCGAAAGATTTAACGACTTCCCATGTTAATCGCGACAATCCAGCTGCAGGGAATCACGAGAAAATAACGAACAGCATGCGGCCTATCAAGAGGGAGCAACGAGACGTGAAGTTCCTGTATTCTTCCACGACTTCTTCGTAAAAAATGTAGAAATTTTTCAGAGGCTGGTCTTGAAGTTTCCACCAACAGTCGATTCTGTGGAGATGTGCATAACAGACGACTGTATCCAATCGGTGCATGTAGAACCTAGGCTGGCTGATCCACAATACATCTCGGCCCACCTTGAACCAGAAACGGACCATGGATCAGTCGCTGAAACATCCCTCACTGTCGCCTCAGATCAACATAGACCAACAACAGATTATGCACAGGATTCCGAAACCATGGCTCCAGTTCTATCACGGACTAGCGAAAATATTCCCCCAACTGCCGACAGTGTATCAATAGGAAATGCAGGGAAAGGGGTTGAAGATGCTGATTTGATCAACACGGTGAAAAATTTGGAAGAATGTCTTCGGCGGAAAGGTGAGCGCGTGAGCCATCTTTTCTTGATGTACACTTCGAAACCCGTTTGTTTGCTGTAAAATAAACTAATGCTACTTCATTAAGATGAAACCATGTTATTCCTTCCGCAAAAAAATCAACCCCAACGGACCTTGTCGGTAAACTTTCGAATTGCAGCATATCCCTGCAAGATGTGCTCCGAGATAAACGAGGATCTTGTTAGGAACCCTAATCACATTTCATATTTCCCAGATGAATGGGCAAGTGTATCTATATTACCAGCAATCCATTGAATTGAAAAAATGATTCATCTAAAAGTAACAAGCTGTAATATACTACAGTATCATCTTCATAAATTGAGTCCCTGATTCTGCTGCTTGATTGAACTATAAGTAGCAGATTATGTTTGAGCTGTCTTGATATGTTCTTGGTTCTTTCCCAGTCTTTTCATTTTCATACGGAGTATTTTTGCTTAGCATTTGGATTTTCAGCAGGGTGAACCAATATAATGTTCAGCATATTAATTTGTCATCATGTCTCTAAAATATGACTGAAACTTTGTGAGGTGAACTTCAAGAGGTACTAGCAAAAACATTGGAGTTGGGCAAGTTTTGAGTTAGTGAAAAAAGTATTTTTTAGGGGTAAAGAAAGAATTGTGGGACATCGCCTGCAATTGCTTCTTGAATGGGTTGACAGAATGCTGAACTTGGAGGCAAGGGGTCAACTGTTCAAGTATAGTCATTCACTTCCTTTCAAAACATTTCAATTTAAGTTTTGACAATTCTCTTCCCTGTGTGTGTACCACCGTAATTCGTTCCACAAGGTAAACGGCTCTCCATCACCAAGCTCTTGAAATGCTTACGTGACTCGCAAAGCGACGAGCCCGAATCAATTAGACCCTTCCACGCAGGCAATGAACCACAACCATCCTTGGACGAGAAACAAACTGCCGAAGATAAGCAGAAACCGCGAGGGAAGCGGTCGGAGTACTTTTCCCTCACCGAGGATGTTCGATTCCCACCCCAGCGCCTCGTTCCCATCGTGAACCGGCGGAAATCCGGTAAACAGGCGACAGAAACAAATGCCACATCCGTCAGGTCTCGGCAGCCGCCATCACACACTCCAGTAGACCGATGCATCAGCACGGATTCAGCATTTTCAACTCCACAGAAAGGAACGATTCCGCCTGCCCTGAGACAGGCTCCGCCACGGGACCCATTTACCAGCGATGAAGAGGAGAAAGCGGGAGAGCCGGTGTCCAGCACTTCATTCGTTATCCTCCGCAAGAACTCGAGAAGCTCCAGAGAATCCAAATCTCAGCAATGCTCAGTTAATCTCAGCAGTAACTTTGTCGAGAAGGAAACTCAAACTAACTTGGAAGACTGCAAATTGTCCAGGGTCAAACCTACGACAAAAAATTCTTTTCGATCGAGGGTTAAATAAACTTCAATTCCGCGCATTTCACTCAAGCTTCATGTGTTTATTTATATAATCCAATATTAAAATTTTTATTTCACATGTGCTCTTCCAGCGAATTCTTGGACGCAAAATTTAACCACTCATCGAAGAACATGGTAAGACCGAGATGTCCTATGACGCAACTTGATTTATCAGCCCTTCTAACTAAAAGAACCAAGAAGTTCCTCGCCATTCCGTTGAATCTTCCGTCAAGTCAGAATTTATCTTGCAAGCAATAATGCATGAATCATGTCAATTTGCATAGACTAATTCCGAAGAACGTAGCCGGAAACACTTAAGATTTGCTTTAAACTTTCCTGTACCGAGTCCAGACCATACTTCGCTATTTTCTAACTGTATTCAAACGATGAATGAGATAATTCCAATTAAGGCCAATTTCCACACAACCCAAAAAGTACAGTAGCTTGAAGCGCAGTGCTTTTGTGCGAAGATCAAATAGGTTCTAAAAAATCAGCTTGATTTTTCCATTTCGGCCAAAATTGCGTCATAACTTGGGGTCAATCCGGGGTAGCTGCAATCCGTGAAGTTCTAATGATACGTTTTACAGCATCAGATTTCGTAAAACATCTGTGACCAACATTCCATAAAGCTTGACTCGTGAACACGACAGCGGATTAAAACGAGAACGTACGCGCTTGAACAATCTTTCCGCATCGTTACTGGACGAAAATCTGTCAACGATGCATGAACACGGATGACTAGACACGTTATTGCAAAGGACATGAAGTCTTCTCCGTCGCTTCGTGCAGATTGAATCGAGAATGAAAAAAACCCTTCAACGGCAAGTCCGCAACGAATTATCCGGTGGTGCCATATGATCAGTAATCCGCGGCTTCTGGAACTTCCGATTGGTCAACGATCAGAGTATGAAGGATACCTTCTCGCCTCTTCCCACTGCTAACGGTCTTAACGTACGCAGCATGTCCTTCGATCTGGAAATGAGTCTCAGTTCCATCGTCCACGAATTCTCCCTAAGCATTAAACAGAGAGACACTCCTTTAAATGCAGTCACGCTTTCGACCGGGAAGTGATTCGTCACGCTACATTCGGGAGTACAGTTCACAACGAACCCCGAACAAGCCATTCCACGAGACTTATGGTAATGACAATTCTCAGAACTGAACTCACTGCGGTTTCTTGTCGCTGGCCATTCACCCAGACGTCCAACGTGTCCTTTTCTGTTGAGAAAAAAAAACTATCTTCATTCAAATAGCGAAGGAGATACGTTCGAATACGCACGACTTTATTTTCAGATACAGTACTGTACTGAACAGTCGAACCTTTCTAAGTCGAGTTTCAAGAGACTAGCAAAAAAAATATTCGACTAAGGAAGCTTTCGACTTCGGGAGGTTTTCAGTTAGGGAAACTAGCACTTTAGTTGGTGAAATAAAAATAAAAATTACAGGAAATTGCAATTGGCGATATTCTGGGACTTGAACTGCTTCCTAAATGATTTGTCAGGATGCTGAACTTGGAGAAAAGGGTTCATTTGCCCAATTAATCAATCACTTACCTTAAAAACACACTAAGTTACTTTTTTATTGCTTTCTCTTTCCTGAGTCAATAAAATAGTGCACGAAAAGCATCAGAAAATTCGAGTCACGGAGGTTTGGGAGGAAAAGCCTTCGACTTGAAAAAAAATTCGAGGTTGAACGGCATTTGTATTTATGAAGATGAATTATTGACTGAAAGTACGCTTCAAAACTGTTCCTTTCGTTAAGAATTGAAATGCTTAATTCGCTCCGTTAGCGTCCGACTCTGAAGGTATATCAAGCCATTAAGAAGATCTATATTTCACACGATCAGAAAAATCGTTCTTCTCAATAGACTTCCATCTCTGAAGAATTATCTAGGTAGAATTCTTGAGGTTTCAGAACGAAAATTTTTATAAAAAAAAAAAAGAAATCTGTTCCAACTTCCAAGTCACGCACAAATAGGAGCATTGAAAGGTAACGTTTTTGGAAAAACAGGCAAATTCTTGTATTTTCACATGGAATATAAGCTTCACTCATCTTCTTGCTCGAATTTAACGCTTGAAGATTCTGAAATCTTCGATTTTCTCGTCAGATATTGTGCTTATATTCAAACGTAAACAGAAAAACCTTCAAAAATATGGTATTTCAAGTTTCAAGTCTAGAATTCGGTGCTTTGTGAATTCGAACTCCTAAATTGTAACCAAAAAATAACTCACCCAGAACAACTCTGTACATTTGCCCCTCCAAAGGGACGATCCACGTTTGCAACACACGACTCTGACGCTCGGTGAACTTTTTGTAGCTCTTTCCATCGACTTCCAACGTATACTTGTAGGCAAAAGAACCCATTGGAGAAATCCTGATGGTGCAAGGATGTTCACTGATGTCAAATTGCTCCGCGCCAACCAACTTGAACATCCAGTCCTTCCGAATAACTTCCTGCCGTTCAGTTTTCATACGTTCAGGAAGGGTGGAATCGATGAATTCAAGGTGCGTGGTGCAAAATTCGACGTATTTCCGGTGCAGCGCGCCTTTTTACGTGCATCTACGAAACGAATGCCACAAAACGGATTTTTCTTGGAAAGCTGTTCGCTTCCGCATACAAATTTGATAACGAAGCTCACGTGAACTTACTGTGCCGTCAACCCTTATGATCCTCTTGCCGGATGTGGTTCCGTGCTCGAAGTCAACAATATGTACACCATCGGACAAGGGTACATCCCAGGAACCTACATGATCCGACATGTTGACCGCGTTGCCACTCATTACACAAAAGCAACAGCTGAAATGCCTGCGGGACACCAAGGAAAACCTATGAATGTATTTCTGACGTTCATTCAACGAAAATGCGAAACTCCGTTCGATTTCATTTTTATTATTCGTCGAACAGAAGGAATAAGAAATCGAATGAAAAAAGTTGACGGAGCCAATTTCATCCAGAATCGCCAGAATCAGGACATATCCACTGATGTTTCCATATCGGAGAACGAATCAAGTGCCATCAATGCATCAGACGTGGCACCGAAGGTTCCTTTCTTCTCATCATCCGACAATTTCGATGAGCATCTCGCCTGACCCTATAAACACGATCTCAAGTCAATCGATCTAGTTGGAAAACTCAAGCTTGTCCGCAGAAAAGCTCAAGTTGAATACAATTCAAACTACTGTAATTGTTAGGTTGTGCGTCTGAAAATGAGAAGCATAGCAGAACAAATAACAGAAGAGCGAAGATGGTGGAAACGCAAAATAAGGGCATTCAAGCGCATCGGTAATCCCATGTACCTTTGGATAACAAACTATCGCGACTTCTCGTTTCGATATTCGTTCTTTTTTACCCTCCCGGATCCAACCCTGTGAACGATAATTTACGAATCGCTCTTCTACTAACGTGCACGAGTTATGAACCTTCTTCCAAGCACACACTTTCATCTCCACGCCCTAATAACAGTATTGTGAAGGTGTGACGATAGGAATGTTACTAACCTGGCTTAATATCATGGGTTCCAGGAAGCCGCTCTGGTTCTGACTTTTTGACAGGGCGTACTTTCTGAATTCGTCTTGCTCGGCTCTGATTTTGAAGGCCACGGCTTCTTTGTCTTGTGATCGCATGACGCTGCTAGATTCTTCAGTCACGACAGCACCATCACCCCGACCCAAAGTTTCTTCTTCCGCTTGCGCCAACTTTTCGATTACATAGTTGAGCAATTCTGCAGATAGAATATCGCCTCTTCGCAACGCCAGAGCCTGATGCAGCATCGACGCAGCATTCCAAAGTTGCCCTTTCCATGCCATCAAGTAACCCAGTGCAGCGTACGTGGAGGCATTTTTCGGCTTCACAGACAAAGCTCGACAATGAAACTGCGCAGCTTCTTCGAACTTCTCCAGCTTACGACACACGTGACCCAAGTTATTCAGAAGGGGTTCCCACTTTTCCGGAAACGGGGTCGCTCGGTTAGAGCGGTCGACTTGTGCCAAAGCCTTCCGCATGTATTTCTCCGCTTGCACGTACTTTTGCTCTCTGTAGCAAACAACGCCCAGCTCGTGGAGCACGAAAGGATCGTTGGGTGCAATGGCCAGAGCATCAACGAAGAATTCGTTGGCTAAAGCGTAACTTTTGGAATTTTCGTATCCCAGACCAACGTAAAGCAGCGGAAGATGACATCTGGGAAATAAATTTGAGGTTAACGAATAATTCATCAACTGTACTCTGGGAAATACATGCGTCTTTCGAACATAATTTCAAGTAACACGTGACATGTTCTTCAAGGGAGTTCATGAAAATTTCATTATTCGTACAACATACTCCATTTCCTCATGATGCCAAAAAAAATTAAAATCAGAGTGACCTGTTAACTGATAACGTGATCTGGGACACTTGATCCAGCCCAACACCAGTGCTTTAGGCAAGAATCAAAAACTTCACAGACAACAAATCGATAATCTGACCCCATTTACATCAAGCATCTTCTCAACCTTTCGATCATAAATCTGGGATTTCTCCAATACCCGCCTCAACTGTTGCAATTTTGGCTTTGATTTCTTTGAGCTGCATGTGTCCTTCAACACCGTGACATATTCGCAGAAACGCTGTTACTTCCGAAAAAAAAAATTTAAAACAACTGATGGACGCTAACTTGAAGGATACAATACTTTATCTGTTTCCACGATGTTTTCCTCCACTACACGGTTTGGCTTGAAACCGAAAGAATCAAATGAACTGTCCCAATGATCGGGTGAATTTTTAAGCAGTCAAGTTCGTGGGCTCTCGCTCGTTTTCATTTCTCATTTACAAAACAGCCAGACACATTTTGCCTTGGAGGTGATTTGAAAGAGTTTTGATAGAAGATGACGGGAGAAAGTAATTGAAGGAAAAAAATGGGGAAACGCCAACGATTACGGATGACAGCTACGATGAGAGTGGGGGAAATTTATCAATAGATCATCGTATGGTGAACGAAGTACGAACATTATCTATTCGATTTTTCGGACAGCGAATGAAGTGAAGAAAAATAAATTCTGAAGGTCCCTGTCCAGTAGCCAAAATGTTAAATGAGTTAATTTATAATTATAACAATAAATTATTCATTAATATCCAGCTCGTCAATGTTTCATTCCGTTGCCGGGGCAAAAATTTCACAGCGCAAGTCGCACTCTCATCGCATGCCACTCCATTTTTGCTTCCTCACTTCCTCACCCAAGTGATCCGTCAGCTTTTCACTTGAGTTTAAAAACTACGTTTACTACATTACAGAATTTTCAAATAATAAGGAATTTTCAGTAGAACAAACCCTTTCATGATGTGGTGCGCCTTGTAGTAGGCAGACATTGACTGGTCATGTTCAGAGTCCACCGCAAATGCATGACCGAACATGAGCCAAGCAGCTCCATTATTCTTATCGATAGTGGTAGCTTTGAGCAAATACCGCCTCGCGAGATCCAGTTTCTCCGTCACGTAGTAATAACAACCGACGGCAAACCAGCTCAGACTGTCTTCCGGCTTCATATCGACCAACTCATGAGCCACACGGTACAATTCATTGGCTTCCTTCAACTCCACGAGAGATGCCAGGTAAACTGGTATTGCATCCGGATGATGGGGATCACTGTTCAATACTCTGTGAAAGCATCAAGGTAGAATGAAAGATTTTCTCTTGAATACAGTACAGTACAATATTATGATTGGCCTCACAATAACATACTTCACGGACGTCATTCGACAATCCTGAATTTCCAACGAGATTTTCACACAATAACCCGATACTGCATCCAAAAAACGGGTTTTCTTCCGTCGGATTACCGACCAATAGATTCGAAGTACTGTTCAAAATCGAGTTTCCAACGAAAAAATTATCAATGAATAGTTCATACGGAGAATTTTTCTCCGAAGCGATCCATCGGGATCCACTGAAAAAATCTTCATAAAATTTAGAGAATTTTGCTTTACAAGAGGTTTTCATCAATTATGACAGTAGTCACAGAACCAAAAAAAATTCCTCATACAGAGAAAATTCCTGTAGATATACAGTGGAAGCGATCGTATTTAATTAGCTCCAAAAAAATAAGAGAGCCTAGCATCATTTGAAACTACTTGCGCGCATCTTTACAAAAAAGAGAAGAATGTATGCTTACGCTTTGATCAGCTTGAACGCATAGCGATAGTCACAGTCGGCGAAAAGATGCTTGGCCCTCCAAATCATCACGTCGTTGTTACGATCCATAAGCGGCAAAAATACCTCTGGGATCGGAATCACATCTTTCCGCATATCAACACGTTTCGTTGCGAGTGAATACAGACTTTTCACGAAGTTCGCTTCCAGGTCAGTCATGAAATTACTCCAGTTGATGGAGTCCAACAACTGCAATTCTGAATTGGAAGAAATAATCGACTTTCATTAAAACTTCATAACGCGGTATCACAAACAAAAAATTATTAATTAGACAACTACACGAAACCTGCAAGTACAGCACTGTACATGATACAATACTTTTTTTAAATGCACAGCAACGGTAAACGTTCGACTCAAGCTCATGATCCCTCAAATCATTCAGTTCACTCACACGACCCTCTTTCCTTCTCATATAAGTCGAACCTCCGAAACTCGAATTATGTTTATATTCCAATAATTACCAGCCCTAGTTTCCCAAACTCGAAACCTTTCGAGCTTTCTGCTGGTCCCTTCAAATTCAATTTACAGAGGATCGACAGAGATTCGATGATCGCTATCACTGAAACACGTAATCGTAAATTCACATGAGGGTGGAATCTCTTATAGTCACATAATTAATATTTAAAATTTAATGAGAAAGCTCACCTTCAGTCGGATTCAACATATGATTCCGAATTAAAGCCTGGAAAGCTTCCTGGCAAAATGGATCCAAACACAAAGCTTCTTTGTAGTATTCCGCTGCGCCAGTAAGATTTCCAGCCCCTTCGGCAATCTCGGCCCTCAACAAAGCATCCATTGCCTGAGTATTGCCCCAGGCTTCTTCCGCACAGGTAAACGTAGACGCCGGTTTCATTCCTCGTTTGCTCGACGAAATATTCAGCGCTGTATTAGCCTTCGTATGAGGAGTCGCAGCGTCTTTTGGCGTGGAAGACAACAAACGTTTCCCGAAGTTTGGAGACCAACCGGGTATCCCGGAATTGGGCAAAGAGAATCGGGACACCACTGGCGGGAAGCTCGTGAAGGGAGAATTATATTGTACGCTATTTGACTTCGTTCTCGAGCCCGTCAGGCGACTCGCTCGATCGTGGCTTATGAGCTGGTCCGCCACTTCATCGTCCCCGTTTGATAATAGCACAGCTTCGGCTCTTGAAAAGGACTTACAACGGCGAAGCGCATCTGCAGCTAGGCATCGGCACGCGTCATTCTCCTCCAAATGAAAACAAGAACATCAACCGATCTGTTCTTCGGCTCTCTAGTAAACTTTTCGATTAAAACTTCACATGGCTCATTTTAATGGCAGGGTTAGTCGCGACGAAGATACAAGGGACGTGAGTTTGACTTTTCAGTTGTCTTTCCAACGATTTTTCAACATTTCAGCCTTCGCGAACGTCTAGTCTGGGCTATCCGTAATATTGAAAAAGTCCACGCAATTTAATTTTCCATCCAAAATTCCACACGCGTATTCGGTGTTAGTTGTTTACAAAAATTTGAGCGCGGTCAAAAATAAGATAAGCACTGCGTTTGCAAAGATTTCTGCTTCCTTTGAAAATACTTAGGTAACATTTTCGAAGTTCTGCTTCATCCGAAACACTCAAAAGATACGCTCTCAGGATCTGACATTCTGATCTTTCCAGATCACTGCGCGTAAATGCAGTCAAGTCTAGCACCGAAGAAAAAACGCGCTTCTCTCAGAGGAGGCAGACAGCTCGAGGGAGCAACGAGACTCGGAGAAAAAAGCGGAGTGATAACAAATATTTCCAAAAATTAATACTGTACGAAGTGTACATGGATTGAGCACTTCGGTCTGCCGCAGGACGCGGAAAAGCGTCCAAAGCTTCCGAAGAAAATACAAATATTTCGAACGCGGTTTCTTCTGCCCGAGGAAATATTTTCAGGGTCACGGGGAGGATCTAGTTTTCTATCCAAGTTCTCGCTGAGTGTACAAGGAATGCCCAAGAAACGAGTATAAACAGTACTTCATTGAACCTTACCTGATGCAAATTCTTCCGCAAAATGACCTCAGCAGCGCGAGCAAACTGGGTATCCTGATACAAGGCGCGGGCGAACAAGAACAAGTCATCCACGTTACCTACATTGAGCGTGACAACCTTATCCGCCCAAAATATTGAAGATTTGAAAAGATTCTGACGAGAAAAAAGAAGTAATTAAAAGAAGCTTCAGAAAATCATCCAAGATGACGACTCGTTCCAGTACCTTCTCAGCATAGACGCATGCGAGTCGTCGCAATTTTTCGATGATTTCAACGGGACAACGCCGTTCACCACTCTTGTCAACTAGCATTTCGCTGAGCTTATTTCAAACCCATCTGAGATTCTGAGGAAAGAATCAACACCGTCAACCTAAGCAAGTTCAAAAATCATGAAATGCAGATGCTTCGCCAAAAGAACGTCAACAGTCTTTATAGCATTGTGACAGGAATACAGGACGTTCAAAACAAACGAAGACCAATACAAACACCACCAGGCAACAAAAATTGTGTCTCGGGGAAATGAAAAAATAACAGAAAAAACCGATAACGCGCAGGAGATCCTTTCAACATCCATTCTTGAGAACTTCTTCAAAAATTTTAAACCTCTCCGGTATCATGACCAAAGCATGGCTGGAGGAAAAACCGCGAATTTTTTACAAGAGCTATTATTCAGAAAACTTCAAGGGGAAAGAACTGCTGTCGCTTCGTGGATCTCAACGGCTCCAGTGTTGATCGTGGCTTGGAAAAAAAATCTTCCCCGTCAATAATCGTAACCGCCGCTGAAGACCGAGTTTCCACCAGAACCTGCGAAAAGCATTGAATTTGATAGTGATTCAAGTCGGTTAAAAACCGAACCGTTCGTTGCCCGAACTCGTTCGAAGGGAATTAGTTTCTTTTCCCGAAAATCCAAAATGCCAAAACTCGGTCATCAAGTGGTTCAATTCATAAGATAAGGTTTACTCCATCGCTCTCTTTAATATCTAGAAGTGATAGAAAATCAAAAAATAGATAACTTGCCATTACCATAGTTTCCATTGGAGCCTCCGCTTCTCCCGCTGTTCATCAAACGCGGAGCACCTCCAGAATTTCCTCCTCCGCCACTTGGTCCATCTCCGACGATGAACAACTCAATGTAGCGATGAGCCATTGTCTCACGGTCCTGAGAAAAGCATACCCCAAAACACACAAGACGTGAGAAGTTCTCATGCCCGATATTTCACCACACAACACGCATTTTATTGCAGAACAGAGGCCAATTTCTTGGAGTTCGAATATACAGTAACACACAACCTGCTACGGGTGGACTCAAAGGTCCCAAAAAAGCAGTCCACCCCAGATAATTTGATCGTAGACGAGCCAATATTCACGTACATTAATGTGAGGTAATGCTATAGCGAGGAAGAAAAAAACTTGTCTCACAAGGATAAAATTACTGAATGAGAAATTTCATCTCTGATTAAATATTCCCACCGCGATGAAAAATAATAACAGAGCAATTCAGTAAGTTTCGTGAGGCAGGTCTAAAACCATGCCAGTGGAACTCGATTATCGAACTCGGACTTAATTATCCATTAATATAATGTGTTCAGTCTTCCAATTAGAGTTACAAGTTCACGAACTACTCTAAAGCCAGATTAGGGCGAATCATATACTTCAAAATGCAGCATTCGGAAGCTGAATAACTTGTTCAAACTGTAAAAACTAAGAGAGCAGAAAAAAGGTTGAAAAAGCCTCGTTGCAGTAAAGTCCAGACGGACCAACAAAGCTCCGCAACGAAGAACGTGAATTATGACTTTACCTTAGTCATAGCTCTGAGCGCGTCTTCGTAAGTCGCGAATTCCACATCAGCTTCTCCAGTCGGCTTTCCGCTATCGTTGTGATCCAAGTGCACGGAAACTGGCAGCAAGGGCTTAAAAAACTAGCAAAAACAGAAATTGGGGACACATTCATAAAAAGAATTCATGGGATCAATTGCGGGAGAGAGAGAGAGATAGGGGCGGGCAGGCAACGATGGTATCCCACACCAACTAAGTTTTCTCGTTCGTTTCTTTCTTTCTTATTTAAAATTCGGAAGAGAAATTGCAGGAGACACCACCTCAACAGACCAACGGAAAGAAAAAGTCGCCCCTTCAAGGCAGCCAATCCAGACAGCGGGCCCGTTCGTCCGCATCAGGCGGCTCACCCGAAAGTTTTCTACTCACATCTTTGATATCCGCGTCGGTCGCACGGAATGGAAGGCCCCGCATGCGGATGACATGACCCGTGGACTTCCAATTAGAGCCACCGCCGCCGCGGGACCCCATCCCTCCGACCCCTCCGTAACCCCCGCTCCCACCAAGGCCCGAGCTGCCACCCCGGGAACCCATCCCGCTGCCCAAACTGTCCACTCGCCCACGACCACCCCATCCGTCATTTCCGTATCCCCAGTCGTTCACTCCCCCTATGAGAGAGACAAGGAAAACATCTTCATACCAACGTCCGCCAGACGAAGCCGCCCGCGGCATAGCCCCGTGGGCAGGCGTCCACTCCATTCAGAAACTACTGTACGTCCAACCAACCATCGCGTGTGAGCAACATCGGCAAGCGTCTCATTTGCGACTCAAGTTACCGGCACAGGAAACGAATCAAGTCTAATCCTCTTCAATGAGGTAAAAAATGTTTCATCCTTGCTAAAGCTGCACCAGCAATGCTTCTGTACTCAAGCACTTGCAGATATTAAAAAAATTTGATCTGATCTGACAAGTTACGACTTCAGGATAATCATGACTTGAAAATCAGATTGATTTCCCCCATAACCTGAATATTCTACTTCGCCAGTTATTGCTTCATAATCTAGTAAGATTGATCGAGTATAATGCGAATGACGAAATTTCGCGTCAAGTCCGCGACTACCACAGTAATAACAAAAACGATGTCATGGGGTAGTTGATCGAGATCATGGACATCATATTTCCGAAGTAAAAAAGGACAACTACGTTCAAAAATTCGTTTGTCCTCAGCCACAACGTCAATTCTTATGCGGAGAATCCTTACACAAACGCAAATTTCCATTCAACCCCCAACATCAATTTCGTTGAGTTACATCTTCGGCTGTTTTCATATGGTCAATCAATCAGAAATCATGCCAGGTTACTTTTTTTCACGTCAGTGCCGTCGACATCGTGGCAGCGGCCATTTCATCAATAATAAAAGACGGTTGCAGCTTTGACAAGGAAGTATAAAAACGCCGAGAACCATAGAAGATTAAATGTTCAAACGCACACCCTTTGTTTCAATTCAGGACGTTACTTAGGCCCAAACAAGAGGAACCATACCATACGATTGAGGTGAACCAACCATTTCAAATAAAATACGCATGAAAAGCATGACCCAAAAAATTACACTGTAAAACAAAATTTGCAGCCACCAGCTATCAAGACACGGCGTTATTATGATGGCTCTTCAGAAAAAGATAGCGACGACACGGATTGATGCGTTCCCTTCTTCTGGGGATCCCGAATCCAAGCTCCATTATCGGTGTTTCCCGCAGAAATCATGATTTTTGTACAGGAAAACCTGCAGCTATTGGAAGAACTTATTCTTCATTTAACATGGCTGAATCTTCATTTATCTTGATTTCCACGATAAGGCTATCTTGTCATTAAATAGTACTCTACGACATTCGGACAGCTCATCTTTTCAGAAGCATTATATGTAACCCGACTTCAATTAACATCCTTTCGAGACCAACGCCTTCTCAAATCTGAACACAGAATTCAGTTTCCAAAACAAAACAGCGATGTCATTGATTGGAACAATTCAATGCGATGAGAGGAAAATCCGATTAGTTGACGACGGATCAATAGAAATTCGAATTACCTCTTTTCCCTCGCATTCCACCGCCACCTCCGCCTGAGCCACCGGACATCCGTCCGCCTCGTCCGCCACCGCCACCGAAACGGTTCGCGCCACCAAAACGGTTTGAAGAGTCGTATGGTGCGGGACGGTTGCTTCCAGAACCCCGCATCTTTGGACTCACCATCGCAGATTTCATTTCTGACAGACTGCTCCGGAATATTTCGATATACCTAATGAATTACACGATTCAGCAAAATGGAGGTCTGGCAGGTGTAAGATCCGCACAGTGCAAATAAATTAGCTTTAAAACAAATCTCAAACCTGTGTCCAATTTTTTCTTTATGTTTCTCAAGAGCTTTCTCAGCAGATTCATCATTTGCAAACTGGACGTAAGCTTCTCCAGTAGATCTGCCGCTGAAATCCGCGACCAAGTTGATGCCATTGGGAACAATCTCCAATCCTTCATTAAACGAGAGCAAATTTTATCCAGATTACTCTGAAGAAATAGAATAAAAAATTCAACGTGTGACCAATTTACCTGTGAAAAAATTTGCGACCTCTTCTTTTGTACAACCGAAAGGTAGACCACGTAGTCGAACACAACCATCCTGTGGACTTTCTGGACCACCGTACTGGCGCTTGAGAACCCATTCCATTTCCGATCGAGTGGCTCTGAACAACTCAATGTATCTATGCCCCATATTTTGATTGTTCTTCTTCAATGCGCGTTCCATGTCGTCAAGATTTTCCAATTCCAGATACGCTTCGCCACTCGCTCTTCCCTCGCGAGAAAGAACCATGTTCACGCCTTCCGTACCTCCACGAACCGTGATATCTGGCGAAAATTTTCCAAAATATCATCGTGCGTTAAGTAGGTGCTTCGCAATCCGAAACAGTGCAAAAAATCTGATCCATCACTACTACTCTGTATTATGCCTCGGAGTATTTCAGGGTCAATTTTCCATGAAAATTACAGAATACACAGAACTTCGCATTTCCTTGTCTTAATTGATGATCAACTCCGCACCATTCTTCCCTCGTTACGGAATACTGCAATGGATACTTCTGCACTTCCAACAACTAATGAATTTAATTCTAAATGAACGGAGATACAATTCGTTGAAAAAAAGGCGCTGAGCTTTCCTTCCGATCATAGTACTAGTCTACAACATATAAACCGTATCGCAAAATGAAAATGTCCTAAAAATAGAAATACGTGCACATTCATGCGAACTACACTCACCTCCGAAGAATTTTACCACATCTTTTTCCGTCGCTGACCAAGGCATTCCTCGGATCCGGATGATGGGTTCGTTGGATTCTTCCGCATCCTGACTAGGCGATTTCTGTTCATTAATTTCACCTTCGAACGACATTTCCGATCAAAATGTATGTGCGCGACCGTTCGACGAAATAGATAGCGTTTCAAGCAGCGTCACCTTAATCCTTGAAGAGAATAAGAAAATGATTACAGCAAAACTAAGAAAGACTTGAGCCAAAAAATAACGAGAGAATATCGAGGTCGCAACCCGGAAGAAATCCAGGATACGATCAAAATTTAATGTTTTTCTCTCAACTTCTCTTTCCGTCCCACCATACCCAAAACAAAAAAAACGTAAGAAGATTTCATCCAGCATTCGGTAGAACCGAAGTTCACCGGCGCCGATAATCGGGAACGGAACTTTAACGCACTTCTGACACCGCAACATCCCCAGGTCTAATTTCAAATCGTCAGAGGACTTCCACAACGAGGGAATCGCCTTAACGTCGCGCAAGAAAGCAAAATTTCGGGCAACAGCTGAAACGAAGCCCTCACCCCCCGCCATTTTCAACCCACCTCGATTTCACCCGACCCTTCCAGCCACTACGAAAAAATATATCAACTTTCCGATCCATTACGTATCCGAGAAGGCAAGATAAGTTTCGCGGCATTAAATGCATCGTAAGTTAAACAGTGATAACTAAATGGATTGGACAAATACAGAGGAGCTGAAGAAAACAAAACAAAAACCTCCCACATCTCCAGAAATTGTACACGAAGATCGAACTCATGCCGAAGACCCCCCTTAACACGTAACCACCATCCGAAAAGCGTTCCCTTCCTTCAACAAAAACATTCTTTACAGGTTCACGGAAAATTCTGGATGAGCAAGGAGACGGGTGGCCCATAACTCTTTCACTCATCGTCAGACGGGACTGAAGGAACGCAAAACAAGGGACAATCATTCAACAAATTTCACGCATGCGACTTTTAATACGCAAGGAATCTTCGCCTCTCAATTGAACTTAAATCAGGAACTTGGCAACAAAGGCCGATCAGAGAGCTCCTGACGGATGTATAACAAGAAAAAAAAACAGGAACAGATAGACGATATCAGTCTCAGAATTTCTTCTCCAATCTTCTTCACGAGGGTCATCTTCAGATGAACTCCACTCGAAGCCAATTGCGCATCCTCCTATGAACACAAAAAATTCGCACACAATTATCAATAAGGATCTTACTCATAAAAAATAGGCTTGACTTGTCAATGTTAAGGAACACTTTACTGAAGTGAAGAACTGACCAGTGAATCTTCAATTAAGCACGAATTCCTTGTCGTTTAGCTGGCTCGTCTGTGCACCGTCGAGTGAATCAACTGCGGCAGGTGCGGGCCATGTGCCCCTTTTCGTTGCACCTATCGATTGAAGAAAATTCAGAAAATGATGAGAAGGGGCTTGGTCTACAGGGATACCTGTAGCAACGCAGATCATCCTGATCCCCGTTGCGAGCAGCAGACGTACAGTCACGAGACAAGTGAGACGAAGATCCGCAATTGTAGCACTTCTTTCCGTCACGATCGTCGTAGCTGCAATCTCGGGAAATGTGCCCGTATTTCCCGCATGCGTAGCACTTCATACGAAAAAGTCATAACCATTACGTCCATTCCAGCATCTGGGACCCGCGAATCATGCAATCTCACCTTGCTGGCTTGCGCAGCACGGCGCTCGTCCATCTGACAGTCGCGGCTTACATGTCCTGATCTTCCACATGAGTAGCACGTCTTGTTAGGTTCCGGACAGTCACGAGCGATGTGTCCTATTTTGTCGCAATTGTAGCAAAGCGCTACGAACAACGTTACAGGTGAAGACTAGTAACGCGAGAAAACAGAAGAGTTACTCACGGTCGTCCGGGCTTTTATCACAGTCACGCGCTATGTGACCAACGCCATCACAGCGGTAACAATGGTCCTGGTCCTCGCGGCATTCTCGAGCGAAGTGACCCATGCGGTTGCACTTGTAGCATTTCTCTGAAAGGATACATTAGTAGCGTCAGTCGATTGATACTTGAAGGAAAAGAAAGATGGATTCACAACGGCACGAAAGTTCCACGAATTCCCTCGATTCATAGCAACATTACGAGAGATCCAGAAAAAATGCTTCAACCTGGTGCTTATTCAAAACGGTAAAAATGAAAACTTCACAAACCAGCTCGACTGCCGCCACGAAATCCTGCACTGCTACCACGTCCTCCGGCGCCGCCACCACCACCGCCGCCGCCACCGCCTCCTCCTCCTCCTCCGCTACTTCCGCCAGAATACGAAGGACATTCTCGAGCGAAGTGCCCAGAACGATTGCACCGATAGCAAACACTATTCATAACTAATTTTACGCGTTCCGACCAAGTATTTCAGCCACAAACAATCAGAATGGACGAATGCTCTGCTCAAACGATGATCTTCAGCCCCCCTACTTCTCCTCACACACCGGGCACCACGCGGGACGCCACATCAAATCAACTGCGTCTTTAACTTCAGGCTGGTCATTGGGTACGAAATACCGTATAAGAGGGACCTCTCTGCTGAATACTGTACCCCCTTCCACTCCATGAAAACAACGAATACACAAATGCGGCTTTCGCGCCACAAATGGCTGTGGATACTTGTTCAACATTTTTTAATAGGTGTCACTGTTACCTCACAATGTTAAAACGTGCATTTTTGAACACGAATAACTTAGTGTACAACCTCTTGCGGAATTTATTGCTTCAAATACCCTTAGAGATAAAGCATTCAGAACCACCCTAACTTGAAGGCTTCACCCTCAAACCCCCATCATAATTCCAAGTTTCTGGAGACATTTTGGCTTGTATTTTACTCACACAGCAGGAGAAGTTTATAGAAGCAAAAAAACAGATTATAAACGCGAAGTCAGTTTCATTCAACCACACTTATAAATACATGTTAACATGCATGTTCATTATTATATGTCTTGTGTATATCACACCACCAGCATACAATATATTATTATACAATAATAAAGACCAAAATGAAATGCATTTCCTCGTCCCAGCAGAAATGAAATATTCAAGAAATAAAACCAGTCAAATAATAATTCAGCAGCTTTCAAGACATAAATAACTTACAGTATTTCTTGAAAGAAGTGATTTAATTTTCTTATTATTTAATTTGATTATATAGTTCAAGAAAATTATATATATATATACTGTATTACAGTATATATAACTGAATTGCTGACACTGCTGGAGTTAAACACTGCTGGTGGGATTGCTTTGACTTGGGGAATATTTTTCTTTCTCTTTCATATTCTGAAAACTTTCCTTCTATTCAGTTCATCTTCAGAGCCTGTGAGACAATATAATGTGTCATGCATACAGCAGGTTCTTACAGAAAATCGTCAGGTGTGATTTACCCTAAATAAGCTGCCTGTATATATCCCCTAATACTGTACACTGTACAGTATTCGGTAATCTCTGTCATTTTCCTATATATAAGTGCTGGATTTTTTGCTTATTACTAAACGGGTGTATTTTTCAAATCAGTATTTTTAAAGGTGTACAAAAAAATCACAATACACAAAGTTTGATGTGCATCAGCAGATGCATATAAATTAAGAACATGAGAAGATCTTAAGAATAGAAAATTCAGCATCTTTTATTTTCTTTCAATTTCCACGTAGTAGGTGTCTGTTGGAAAGCTGGAAGTTTGTTTATTTTGTTTACTCACAGGTGTCGCTTGTAACAGCTGCATGAGCCCCCTCCCTCCTTAGATCTTGCGTTCTGACGAAAATCTAGTGGAAGTTGTTAACAGTCCACACATCTGCTGCTGTTATCGCCGGACTTTCTGTGTGGTAACGACCCAGTTTGTGAATGCTTTTCGGTGCTTGCTCCCCTTTTTTCTGCTTTGTTGAAAGATTCTTGAGTTGATATCGCATAGGAGTTGGGCTTTACGAAAGGTCTGACGGGAAAAAATTAGTTACGTGTTTCATTCCTTGAATTCGCGAAGAAGTGAAAAATAGCCTGTTCTGATCCTCGCGGACGGGGAAGAACGTTGCAGATTCTGTGTCACTTCAAGTAAAAGCTAAACTTCATGTTTTACAGATGGTACCGTGAAGAAATGGCGGGTAGTAGTGCTGAAAATTTGGACGACTCGAAGATTTGGGTGGTTGAGAATGTAGATAGCAGTAAGCCGTTCGACGAGGAGTCATCTCGTGTTAACGACGGAGTGAGCTTCCCCTCACAGTCATTCCGTTTATCCAATCCTCCTAGAAATCGTTATGCGTTGATGCAGTGCGTATCGTTGGAATCTAACGACGAAGCTTTTCTGAATGCAGCCAATGGGCTCCAGGATCGCTCGGTTACACCCCTTTCGGGGAACTCTTTCACAAGTGTTGCCTCAAATGTTAAAAGACTGGAATGGGACCCGGAAGCTGATCTGGCCTGTCAGTTGCTACTAGCGCCCATCAGCAATCCTACTCAAGCAGATGTTGCGTCTCGGCAAAGATTCTTTCAGGAACGTGGTGGTGTACAAAGCTTTGATGATCCTCGGAAAGTGGTTCTTTCTCGAGAGACAAAGCGATTCGTCGAACAGAGACGAGCTAACTCCTTAGCAGAGCTGAACTATTCTTCGATGGGCGAAAAACGTGATCTTACCGATGGCCACGCTTATTTAAATCCTGTGAAATCTTCAAGTCAGGTTACAGTGAGTACACAGCCACCGGAAGCTCTGCATTCATCTGTTCGACATGGCTGCAAGAGTTCTCCTGAAAAAATCAAGCAACAATCGTTGAAGTTGGCCAGCAGCGTTTACTCCAGCGCATCTGTCGTCACTGTCGTAGATCATCCAGCCCGAAAACCAATATTTGCGGAAGACGATCGTTCAGGCGAAGTAATTGATTCTACGTCTGATGATCCTTCAAATCCCTGTCATGAGAAATCGGTAAAGTTTCCTAGTTTAAATTGTTGATCGTGACCATTTATTGATTGAATATATTGTTTTGCAGGACCGATTGGAAGCACAAGAAGTGCGCAAAATGCTCAAGATTAGTGATGATCAACGTTCAAGTGCAGAGAGCACCTCAGCTGATGGAAGTTTCCTTAAATATATGCCCCGAGAAACAACTGATTACCCCGGTAACCTCAGTGAAGACGAAGTGCTAGTTGTGGCAAGCTCAAGCCCTGTACCTAAATCTTATGATGTTCAATCTCCCTCAGGTCACCCTCAGCAGTATGAGAATGGAATCGAAAATGTAAAATTTCAAAACAGAGTTCGGGAGTCACAGTCTCAGTGGTCGGATGAAGGATCTTTCTCGGGTTCTGAAGGAAATTCTACTGGTGGGATCTCGAATTTTGAGTGGTGGAGGTCCGTTACCTGTCAGCGTCGTGCTGCAGTGACTCGAATCTTAGATGATTTGGCTCGCTTGGACGATCTGGAAAGACTTCTTCTGGACTGTGATGCGAGTAGTCCGTTTGTTCGAACATCCCGCCGCATCCCGGCATCTTGGAATTTACTGTGCACAAGGACGCGTGGAAGTCAACGATGCCACCAAAGGATAATAGATTCAAGATTGATCAAGCCGATCGTGGCCTCAACTCCAAAAACAGACGAGAATACCCTGCATGTGCGCCAAGTAGCCAAATCTGATAGCTCGCATCCTTTGCATTCTGAATCCAGTGATGAAAAGCGAGTCTTACAGATAAATCGAAAGGAGAACTTGTCCGATGAATCCTGCAGTACTGCAGTATCTAGCATATATTTTGCTGCGAAGCGTCCACAAGATAGGGCACGACATTGCTTCGAAACTATGACAAAACGAATGCATCATCAAAATCGCCGCTCTACATCAGGTCGGAAACGTCAGTTATCGTCTGAAAGAGCAGTTTCTCCGCAACTGGGGAATCGTTCGGAACTGGTCACAAATTATCTAACAGGTTCGGGAAGTCTTTTTACTCGTCGCGTTAGGCCGAAGACAAATTCGTCGAAATCTAAACAAAATTGCTTTCCTGAAGAGCGAAGGGCGAAGAAAGTGGATTCAGTGAGTGATGTAAGACGATCAATGGCGAGGTTGTCTGTTTCGAGTTCAGATAGTGCCAAGGAAAATCCGCATCCAACTTACAAGCGAGTTTCCTCATCCTTGCTGAATGTGAGGAAATCCGTTGTTGCGGGTAGATCAATTGGTGTTCAGGTTTCCGAACGATCTATGACGGATAGTCTGGATGAGGTTGGCATTCATCGAAAACGGAAATCTCTGGATCAGAAAATGAGCGGAAGTAATGACACCGAACCTGAAAGTGACGAGAACACCCCTCTCGATCCTCAGTGCCAGCGAGCTCTTCAACTTGAAAGCACAACAGCTAATAAAATCGTTACTATTGGTTCGAAGGGGGCTCTAAATAATGTGAGATCTCATGCGACGTTACCAGCAAAGCCAAAAGCAGTTGCTTTCTTCGTTCCTTTTGGACACTCGAACGAACCATCAAGATTGCTTTCAGAGCCCCGAACAAAGATGCAGAATGATGGAGCAAATCAGAATTTACAAGACGCGTTGATTTTGAAGCACCGGAGATTTGTTATGCGGTCCAATAAAAGACAGGATGTACTCGCGGTTCGGGCATTTTTGAGGGAGAAACGGGCTGCTGAAAAACGTGAAGAATTGTGGACGAAAGATGCTTCGGCGAAAATCTTTTCATCTCAAAGAAGCTGCTGCATTTGTGTGACGGATTCTAGAAAAGGTATGTTAACTGTCGAATGCTGTATTCTATTGAAAATGGTCATCCTCAGTGAAAAGCCGAGGTATATCTCCTTGAACTACATCCACAGGAATGCCGTTGCCTCCGCCACCTGTGCCCATTCGTGAGATGAAGCAGCGATCAAAAGATAAATATCTGAAGCTTCCAGAGGTTCAATCTCGAGCTGCAATGCAGATTTTGCAACGAGAGCGGGAAATCAATCGATTAATGGCTCGGTTGTACAAAGAGGTTTGTATCGAATGCTGTGATTTATCCCACCGTAAGCTTAATCCTTAAAAATCCAATTCCGTGTGGATTCATTTCCATTGAATCTCGTAATTCAGTATCGTGATTTTCCGTGCCATATGATGAGAATGCTGATGAGAAATTCCTGTATCAACTAGCCACTGTATTCACACAGTTGTTTCTTCCACAGCGTCTTCTCCGAAACGTGCTGAAAGGACGAGTGAACCTTTCGTACTCGACGAAAATCGTCTGACAAAATGTTTTTCAATGTATTCCTCGAACTCATGTGAAATAATTGTCTGTGACTACCTGTGATGTCTCGCCCGTTCATTTGCTTAAAGAGACGGATTTCCCTTCGAAGTTGCACTACGATGTTGTTGAATTGACGTATATTTTCTGTGTGTTTTTTCATGTTTTTAAGAGTTATTTTTATGTGATGAGGTCAATCCCGGCCTTCGGCATTTTCTCGAAACAATACGACATTCTGGATGGGTTTTGTTCGCGTTAGAATAAGTTATACTCTCTTCTGACTTATCATTGTTGATTCAGTTGATAATTTATTCCACCTTTCCAGTTGAAGCATGAATTATATTGAAACAATTTTGTGGTGCATTTTCGGGGAGACCTTCGCGCAATGCTTGATGCCTGCCATCGTTCATTTATGTTTCAGATTACTATTATTCTTCTTACTCCTAAATTACTTTTTCACTTACTCGACGTAACTTCTGTGTGAGGAACCTTTCTGGGTTTCTTCCTTACGATCGTGGAGTTGATGATCAGTTGATGCAGTGAGAAAATATGTCTGTACGAACGGTTGGCGCTCGGGTGAATCGCAAGTTTTTGTTTGTGAGCGGAAGGAAGTTGTCAAAGCGCCAGGCGTCAGCTCTTCCGAGTAAGTAATTTTCGAATTCTTCCATTGTGGATTGATTTCTCCTTCGCATTGAAACTTGTGTTTTGCAAGACGTTACAGTAGGATTGTGAATGAAGCCCATCATAGGTTTTTTTTGCTTGCTTGCGTGACTGATATTGATCAAATTTTTACTTCTCCGAAGTTCTGGTTCTAGTGTTCCGCACAAAGCAATGCATGCTTGAATTTATTTTAAATATATTTTTTTAAACTTCAGGTTTCTTGAAAGTCGAAAACGTCTTTGTGAATGAGTCTGCGTTGTCGCAATCTTGGTCACGAGCGTTTGGTTCATCCACGTCGTTCAAGACACGGGGAGGATCTTCTTTGCCGCCGAGTGGCGGAAATGGTGGTCCAGACGACCCTGATAACCCACATCCGCAGCGTCCGCGCAGTGGCGGCCCTCGGCGGCCCGTTACTCCCGGAGGCAGCAGTAGCAGTGGTGGGACGGTGCAATTGAATTGTCCGAAATGCGGAGATCCATGTACTCACGTCGAGACGTTTGTCTGTGAGTTCTCTCCTCAAAACTACGCGTTTTGACAATTAATTTGAGGTTATTCGCTGGAATTGACGACGTAATTCCGTTTGTACAGCATCCACGAGGTTCGTTAAATGTGATAGTTGTAACCACTTTTTCGTCGTGCTGAGTGATGTGGACGCCAGGAAGTCGAGGGAGAAAACCGAAACTGCGTCGAATCCAGCAGAAGGCCAGCCCATGGTTCACAAGCCTCCCCCGCCTCCTAGGAAAGTGGGTGTTTTCGATCGGCTTTTTGGTTTTGTTTTGGAGGGTAAAAGGGATCTTTTCCAAACAGATATACGAGTATCTTGACAAGTACGTTGTTGGTCAAGAACGAGCCAAGAAAGTTCTTAGCGTGGCTGTGTATAACCACTATAAAAGGATCTGCAACAACCTGCCGAAATCTGCCATGACTGAGGGACAACAGGCTTCGTCTGATCCAGCCATGTCGAACAGAGGTGCGTGAAATGTGTATCCCCCGTGGTTTCAAAAGGCAGCGAACAATTCGGTACGGGAATGCTGAAATCCGGTCGGTCTTCGTATTGTATCTGGTGTAGATCTGCTTCACATAAGCAGCATGGGGCCCGGAAACTACAGTTCCGCTCTGGGGATCACGATGTCACCGCAGCACGGTGACGGAGGTGCAGTCGCTGATGGCCCAGCATCCCGGGCTGGTTCTCGGCAAACGTCTGCCGCCAACCAGGGTTCACTTCAGCAGTTTCCACTGGGCAGCGATGTGCTCGATGCTACCTCCCAGGAAATTAAACTGGAGAAAAGTAACATCCTTCTTTTAGGACCGACTGGATCAGGTCAGTGATATTAATTTAGGTCTCGGTTGAACGAAAAGCTTTTTATTATTATATCTTACGCGCTCGACAGATGTAATTAGTATGTTTCGTTTTCGGAATCTCTGAAAAAGAGCGGATTCGGGACATGGCCCTCAGCTTACCGCATTTTCGCGAATACCACGCGCCCCTCTCTCTCAAAGTTAAAAAGGGAAAAAGAGGATGCAGTTATACAATTTGGAAAATTTAAGTTCATGTGCGTTTCATACTTGATATTGTCGAGAAATCGCAACAAACTTGAAAAACAATTTAAAGAAATGAAAACTCATCAATTTTCTCTTGAATTTCCAAAATATTGAATCTCTTCTTTAACTGAAAAGGGGTGCACATCTTACTTGGGGAAAGATTTTATCCAAATTTTAGGAATCAGAAAAACAGAAGCTTGTAATACACTACTTAAGTAAATGAGGTACTGTACTTCACGTGTTTTTAGGTAAAACGCTGTTGGCGCAGACGGTGGCGATGTGCTTGGATGTACCGTTCGCAATTTGTGATTGCACCACGCTCACACAAGCTGGTTACGTTGGAGAAGACATCGAGTCTGTGATTGCCAAGCTACTCCAAGATGCCAACTACAATGTGGAAAAAGCACAGACTGGTACAGTTTCTTTTCCTTATCCTGTGCAATACGCTCATTTTTCGAGCGTTGTATTTCCAACGTCAGTGTTGATATTTTATTCGTTTTACAAGGCATTGTATTCTTGGATGAGGTGGACAAAATTGGTGCCGTGCCAGGGATCCATCAACTGAGAGACGTTGGTGGTGAAGGTGTTCAACAGGGCATGCTCAAGGTACGTCTTTCATCTCTTGAGCTCTTTCAGGACATTGTTGAGTAACACCCCTTACAATCTTGAAATAAGTTAAATTATTTCGAAACAAATCTAGCATATTCGAAGATTCCTTCTAAGGATGAATTTCCGTAGATGGTTGATAAAACTACGGTTGAACGTCGATAACACGAACCTCCGCAAGTCGAATTTTTTCCATTCCAGGTCTGAATTCTCTCAGAAGCAGTGCGTTCAAAAACATCACTAACACTGAAGGCTTTCAAAACCCCATGACTCGAATTTTCTGTAGGCCTTTAGTCTTTTATTTTACTGACTCAGGAAAGAGAAAAGCCATAAAAATGTTGCGTGATGCATTTTGAAAGGAAGAGAAGAACTATTTTGGCAAATTAACCCTTGCCTCTAAGTTCAGCATCCAGTCAACTCATTTTAGGAGCAATTTAAGACCTTGAATATCACCAATGCATTGCACTTCAATCATCATGTCTATCCCACGACACAAATGCCTCGACTTGAGAGGTTCGGCTGTAATCCCATTGCACTGATGAACGTCACGACGTTTCGTGAAACGTAATTCCGAATAATCGTGTGCATTGGTTTGTTTCAGATGTTGGAAGGAACTGTGGTAAATGTACCGGAACGAAACTCTCCGAGAAAACTTCGTGGTGAGACTATTCAGGTGGATACCACGAACATCTTATTTGTCGCCTCTGGAGCGTACAATGGACTTGATCGGCTAGTCAGTCGACGAAATAATGAAAAAGTGAGCGTCTTGCCTGTGTGCCGCATCTTTGACGTAAATACGACTTGAACCTGTCCGCATTCAGTATCTTGGGTTTGGAGCTCCCACGAACTCCAGCCCTGGCCGACGTGCAGCTTCTCAGGCTGACGTAGCTGAAATGAGCAACACTTCGTCCATCGAAGACGACAATGCAGAGAAGGACATGCTCCTGGAGAAAGTCGAAGCCCGGGACCTGATCGAATTCGGGATGATTCCAGTTAGTAGACTGCGTGTTGAAAATATTCCAGATATTTTCAAAAAGTTTCTACGTATGCTGCCTGAAAGTGTCTGCCTTTTTTTTCTAGTCAGACTGGTAACATGATTCTTGTATTTATCTATATCTTTATGCTGCTTAACTTGATTTAATTTCTTGTTTCCTCAGATATGTACGGGGATTTGCAATTATGAAATAATTAATTACTGTTACACTAAATTTGTGCTATTGGTCCCACCATTCACTGGCATTTTCATGTCGGGGTCACCTCGGAAAAGGAAGTCTCCACCTAAAAGTAATAACGATCTTTTTCTGAAGCTTTGTTTTCAACTTCTTTTTTTTCAAAATTTTTCATTGGCACGTTTCTGTCGAGCAGGTATTGAACGCATTTGGGGAGTACATTTTTTTTGTGGCCCCGATTTGAATTCTTAGAACGCATATCGTGACCCTATCTAAATAAAGTTACCAACAACAGTAAGTTTCACGTTCACCGTGATGGATTTTATTCATTATTTTTAGTTCAGTTGGGAGACAATTTTCATGGTTGAGCATTGGAATTTTTCTTTCACAGTGGTCACTGTAAACTTGGGTTGGATTTTGCAACACATTTTTTTTTCGAATGCTCTTACCCTTTGGAAACTCATGAAATCTCACAGTTCCCAAAAGACTTCTGCGAAATTCGGTTGAATAACTGAAATCCAAAAATATTTATTATTTCTAGTCCCTTTTGAAACACAGTGTGAAACAAATCAGATCAATAGGTTTAGATTCAGGAATTTGCAGGTTATTTGTAGAAATTATGAAAATGATCTTGTATCTGATCTGACAATGTATGTTGGCTTCTCGTGCCTTTGCGTTCTGTTGAATCGTCAGCAGCAATTACTGTTTCGATTCCTGTTTATTGCGGTCCTTCACGTTTCTTCGAAGCTTGATTCTATATGATTTTAGTCCTTTTTCTTGCTTCACTGACAAGTACGGATCATTTGCCAAGTTCAAAACTCATCGTATTGTATTAGGAATTCGTTGGCCGATTTCCAGTCGTGGTTTCCTTCCACTCTCTGAGCAAGGACATGCTTGTGAGGATCTTGACAGAACCACGGAATGCCTTGGTACCTCAATACCAAATGTTACTTGGTATGGATAAAGTTGAGCTTTCGTTCTCTTCCGATGCCATGGACGCGATTGCCAGATTGGCCATTGAAAAGAAAACTGGAGCTCGGGGACTTCGTTCGATAATGGTTAGTTGAATGACTTACTTTCTTCGTTATCTTTTAAAGTGCACGAAAAATTTGTCAATCTTCCGCATTTGAAGAATAAAGATCACGGAGAAGTTTTTTTTTTCAAAACAACTGTTCAATTTCTGGTGCGATACCTCTTTTTTTATACTGTACTGTAATTTGTAAATCATCATGTAAAGAATGAAGATCCCGCAAGACGTTTGTTTTAAAATACTGTACATGTAATTGTTTAATTGCTGATGGGATTCTTCATATTTTCTCACTCAAACCTCTCTTGAGTCGAATTTAATAAACAAGGAAAAAATTCGAGTCAGGGAGACATGCATTTTTGGTGTTCGAAAGATAGAAGAATTGCAGGAAATCGTAAATAATTTTATTCTGGGCCTGAAATTGCTTCTCAAATGAGTTGACTGGATGCTAAGCTTGGAGAGAAGGGCTAATTTACCAAGTTAGTCTTTCACTTCCTTCTGAAACACATCAAGATATTTTTTATTGATTTTCTCTTTCATACGAGGGTTCTAACAAAAGTTCTCGGAATGAAAATGGCGTCTAAAAGAGCTGAAAAAAATTATTCTCTATGGCAAACATATTCTTCGGCACCAAAAAAAAAATCAGCCCTGTTCGACAATTTTTTTCAATGTTGTGCAAAATTTACCCTGGCAGAGTTTTGCTATCCACTCAACAGATGAGGCGCCCTTTCTGCAGTTTTTTTTTTGCAGCCCAGCTTTCCCCTCAGAATTCTTGAAATCAATGTGGCAGTAATTCCAAGGGTTGCCTCCAGGTCTTCCAAGACAATTCCGCCATTTTCATCGACAGCCGCCAAAGTGGCCGCCACTTTTGAGCTGAAAAAAAGTGGCCGCCACTTTGGCGGCTGTGAAGGCGGCTGTCGATTTTAAATTTTGCAAAACATTCAAAAAACTTGTGGAACAGGGCTGATTTTTTTTGTGCCGAAGAATATGTTGGCCGTAAAGAATAATTTTTTTCCAGCTCTTTTAGACGCCATTTTCATTTTTATTCCGAGAACTTTTGTTAGAACCCTCGTATGTAAAGAGAATAATAGTCAGGAGGCCTCAGAACATTTGAGTTGCAGAGGTTTGAGAGGAAAAGCTTTCGAGTTACGGAGGTTTTTAATGCGGTGTTTCTGAGGGGATTCAGACGGGAACTTGACAAAAATTGCATTAAAGAGGTGTTTTTCTTGGGGAGGTTCGAGTTATCGAGGTTCAACTGCAATTTCAGTAATTTGTAAGTCCTCCGCTTTTGAAGTATGATGATCCCGTGAGAAGTTTGTTTTTAAATACATCAACTTAAATTAAATTAATTGCTGGTGAAATTCCTGTTTTTGTTCGTTATTGAAATAGGAGAGTTTGCTGTTGGACGCAATGTTCGAAGTCCCGGGAACAGATATAGTTGGCGTTGATGTGTCCGGGGATTCTGTTCTGGGCAAAGCTCCACTGACGTATGTGAGGAGGCCAAAGCGAGATGCTTCCTCTGACGGTGCATCAGTGGGGGACGAGACAGACCGAGCTGGTGAATCCGCCGAACGGAACGTGGGACGTGGCTGAAATTCTTTCCATGCGAGAAAGAATTCGTAACCTGATTCTTTAAAATTTGTTCTTGGCCCGTTCTTACAGCCGGTGATTCGGGGAAATGGAGATATTGCGATATTATTTCCTCGAGAAAAAGACCGTTTTTGTGTTTTGGGAAACTACGCGGCTGCTCTCCTTCGAGCTCGTCTTTCTTTTTTTTTTTTTTTTTTTTTTTTTTTTAATTTTATTTTTTTTTTTTTTCTTGAGTGAGAAAATATGAAGAATCCCATCAGCAATTAAACAATTACATGTACAGTATTTTAAAACAAACGTCTTGCGGGATCTTCATTCTTTACATGATGATTTACAAATTACAGTACAGTATAAAAAAGAGGTGTGGCTTTTTCATGATTCTTCTTTATTCGGATACATTTTTCCGTACTCTGAATGTTCACGGAAGTAATTTTTCTATTATTTCAGCAGTTGATGGTAAAATAGGCAAACCTATTTCAAGTAATGTGCCACTCAAGTTCGCTTCCTGGTTGAAGTATTGACCAAGAATCTTGCATTGCGTTCTGGGTAAAATGATTTTCTTCTTTCAGACATTCGCTGAAAATTTTTTTTTTCAATATGATTCTGTTGGTGAAGTGTGCTGCTCGTGACGTAATGAGAAATCGTCGATAGGGAGTGTTCGTACGACATCGATTCTTGAGTAAAACTGTTCAGCCAAGTCAATAGTCGAGTTGAACAGGCTCGCTAACATGAAGCGCGCAGGTTTCTTAGACATGGGTTGAACGAAATCCTCTGCTTCCTGGCATTGATGAGGGAACTATTTTCGCTTTTTCAAAGCTGGCGGGACTTGATCCGTGTTTTATTTTTTGGTCATGTGAGACGTCCGCGGAGTTTTTTTTTTTTTTTTTTTTGTGTGCGTGTTGCGGTTTTAGTTCCGTCCCATGACTTACAGATGAGCCCTGTTGTGCATATTTGGACGGATCCGTGATATCGGATGCGTATCGAACCGAGGCAAATTATGCACGCGGACCGAATTGTCAGTTACTGGACTCCCCCGTCGGCTTGTTTTCCTCCCTCTTTGCAAGGATGTATGATTCGGGAAGTGATGGGAACTTGAGAAAGTGTCGATTTCGTGTTCACTTTTCGTTTCGTTTGCTCTGCGTACTTATTTTATGTTCTTTTACTGTCCTATTCACAGACTTTTTGTTTGACCCGGTGTTTCTCGCGTTGGGAAGGTGTCGAGTTCTCTTTTTGAGCTAAGGTCTGATTGCAAGGCGACTGACACTCCAAACCCGTGACGTAGAAACATGTCGTCGAAGGCTGAACTCGCTTGTGTCTATGCTTCTCTCATCTTGCGGGATGACGACGTCGCGATTACAGTAAGTCTCTGTGTTCATCGTCTTTCCTTGAGAACGAAATTCACCCCAATTTTTTCGCGAGAAATTCGCCCAAGAACCTGTCCTTATGTAAGACCCGCGCCCAAGTTTTTGTTTATTTTTTTTCCTGAAAATCAAGAATTGTGAAATCTTTCCACGTGTGGATTCATTCGTCCACATTCATATGTGGTCTTACCTGTTTTTTAGTGTCCGCAAGAGCAGTTGAAATCTGCATGCAGTATATGGCAGCTTTTTCGATTGCATGAATATTTTCCCCTTCTTTCACTATATATTGCCAATCTTATGAATTCCTGAACTTGTTATTGCTTGAACCATTATTTACGGTGGACGAGGAGACTTAGCGCCACACATTTCCTCTTTTTTCCTTCTTAGATATCCAGTACATTCTGTGTGTAAGAGGCACTGGTTTTGGGGATTTTTCTTTGAAAATTGTATCCCCCAATACCACGCGCACCCCATTTTTCCGCCTCAATTTCTGAAAAGAAACATGTGCGTGGTACTCGAGTAAATACGAGTATGTATGAAATTTAATGTGCAAAGTTTGAAACGAACTATCTTTTTCGCTTCAGGGAGACAAGATCTCTACGATCCTGAAGGCGGCCGGCGTAACGGTGGAGCCGTACTGGCCGAGTTTGTTCGCCAAGGCGCTTGAGGGCGTCGATGTGAAATCTCTTTTGTCCAACGTCGGCGCTGGAGTTGGCGCCGCCCCGGCAGCGAGCCCGAGTGTCGCCGCTCCAGTTAGTGGCGGTGGGGACGCCAAGCCTGCTGCGGAAGAAAAGGCCAAGAAGGAAGAACCCGCTGAAGAATCTGACGATGACATGGGCTTTGGCCTCTTCGACTAACTATGTATCCGTGTTGATTGAAAACGTTGCTCTGAAGTGTTTGCGGATGTTCTGCCGTAAATGTGATGACCAACAAGAGAACGTTTGCTGAGTATTTTCCTCTTTTTTGACGAGAGAGCTGGACAACATATACCCTCTTTGATTCAAAGCGAAATTTGAAAATTATATCAACCGGTACTCCGTTGTTGGATACGATGCCAAAAAATGCCACGTTTTTCCAATTCCTAAATTCATGCAGATCTCCATTCCTCGAGGTATGGTGTTCAACATAATTGGGAAGTTATGCGATCTGTTGTATCGTAGCAGACGCGACAGATGTTCGCATGTCTGTCAAACGGAACAAAAATTGTTTGTAATATAGTACCTGTATTCATCTGAATTTAAAGTATTGGTTGAAGCTCTCTCGTCGTGAAGAAAAGCACGATTCATGTTCGACGTTCAGTCCCCCGTTCGACAAGATGCTCAGTTTGATTTGCTTTCGTTTCAGGTGTATTTGAAGTGCAATTTTTTGCAAAAGGTGGCAGTAGTAGTGCAAGACAAGGCAGTGGACAGGAACACGATGATGTCTGCACAAGATGAGACCGGCAACCTCGGCCAGGCGCAGGAGCCGCTGCTCGGGATGCCAAAGAACGGCGAAATGGACGAAGTGGAGCTCAAAAACATAGAAATCCAGCTACCCACCGCCAGAATCTTGTCCAAGGAAGGCTGGCCAGGCATGGAGGAAATGATAATCGAGACTTCTCGAGGGAACGTGGTGGTTGGCGTGCAGGGACGAGGACGACGACATACCATGCTCACTTATCATGACATCGGCATGAACTACATCTCCAACTTCCAGACCTTTTTCAACTACATCGACATGCGCATCGCGATGGAGACGTTCACGGTGTACCACGTGACAGCTCCCGGGCAGGAGGAGAATGCAACTTCGCTGTCGGAAACCTTCGTGTATCCAACGATGGACGAACTCGCCGCTCAGCTTGAAGAGGTGTGTCAGAAGCTAAGTCTGAAGAACTTTATCGGACTCGGCGTGGGATTTGGTGCCAACATTTTGGCGCGATTCGGTATCAATCACCCGGGATCGTTGGACGCGTTGTGCCTCGTCAACTGCGTGTCCACGCAGTCCGGCTGGATTGAATGGGGTTATCAGAAGATGAACATTCGATCGCTGCGGAATGCTGGCTCGTTGACGGCCAATGCCCTCGAGTACCTGCTGTGGCACCACTTTGGGAAGGCGCAAGAGACTCGCAACCACGACTTGGTGCAAGTTTATCGCCAGTACTTTGCTGACAAAATGAATCCGCACAACTTGTCGCTGCTCTTGGAGACGTACATCACGCGATCGGATCTCGGGATCCAGCGACTGAACGTGCAGTGTGGTGCCCCACCCGGGAAGGGTACACTGGCCATGCCTGTGTTACTCATTACTGGACACTATTCCCCGCACGTTGAAGACACAGTCACACTCAATAGCCGCCTCGACCCGTCCAAGTCGTCGTGGCTCAAGTTATCCGATTGCGGGATGCCGCTTGAAGAGCGACCGGAAAAGGTGTGCGAGGCATTGCGGCTGTTTTTGCAGGGAGCCGGGTTCATCCCGACCCTTTCCCAGCGGAAGTTGAGCAGGTCGAGGTCGATTGAGTCTGGAGATGTGCCGCATGTGCCGACGAAGGACTTGAATTTGCCCGTCGGCGAGGCAATTAAGGAAGAAGCTGGCGAGTCACCGACTTCGGCCACACCCACTGCTGTGTGCTGAACGGAAAAAACGAATCTTGATTTGACTTCTTTCGAATTTTCTTCGTGCGTGATATGTGTTCAGTTTTCTGCTTTATTTGATTTTGTGTTGCGATCCTTAATTATTATACTGTAATCTTTTCTTAAGTTTTTCTCCCTGATTTCAGCCGTTTGGAGAACGTTGCAAATTTTCAATACCGCAGTTTGTTCCGAAAAGATGAGTGATCATGGATCTACGTTAACGCACGGCTTCATTTCTGCGATTTCTTCCACTCGATCTTTCGCTTTAACTTGAGAGTATTCAGGATTTGTATGCCGAATTCATGTACCTATTTTCTGAGTGCCATGTTTTGGGAATGGTTGCGGTAGATTTCTTCTCGTGGTCTAGCGGCTGCGTCAGTCTATGATGCGATGAAGTTTTCCTTTCGTGTTGGATCTAAAATTGACTTGCAAAAAAAAAATTACGGATGTGGTTTCCCCCCTGGGAAAAAAACAAATTTTTTTCTGGAGAGGACGTAACGCAATTCTGAAAGGATGACATCTAATGTTCCGAATGTTTTTTATTACTTTGACTCAGTAAAAGTTCAAGGTTGCTATTGAAGTGGAGATTAATTTCAAATCGATGATCATGTGTCCACATGATATATCTCAGTAAAGAGAAATATCATGTATATGATATGAGCTCTGCAATGATGAGAAATAATCTATTTGAGCGCTTTAAATGGTGCCATCAAGATTTGGTGAATTCCGTCTAAACTCTAAACCAAAGAAAATAAATAAATAGGAATTCAGGGCCCTTGAAAATAGTCTCGCAAAGTCTATTTCGTTGCATTATTATTACTATACCCAGAAGATCAGGTGGGTATTTTATGTATGGTTCCACGTTCGTTTAAGTACTCACGGATTCGATATCTGAAGTTCATTCTGTCTCTTCATAAGCCGAGGAAAGGTGAAGTTGTTTCGCGCGGAACTGTACTCTTGACAGTATCAAAGCCATCGTGTTTGTGTTTAAAAAAAAATAGACAAACTAAGATCCGGAAAAAAAGATGGTGGGGAATGTTCAATTCGGATATTTTTTGCATCGTTGATGACGAATTTCTTGTACCTGCTTTTATACGGCGTGTTTCGTGACTCGCCGAACCGCGCACACGATTTATTTTCGATGCAGCATTTGTTCCGCGTTTGCTCTTTCAGTTTCTTCTGGACGGCATAGTGCTGAAGCCGTTCTCGTTTTGGAAAGGAAAAAAAAAAACCGTCTTTCGATGCCAACGAACGGAAGTTTACGAGTCTTTCGCGGTTCCTTTGGGAATTTTGCTTTGTGTGCGTCAGCCTTCCACGTGACGTGAGGGATCGGGTATAGTGCAAGTTTAGATGACTGCTCCGCAACGGAGCGCCTTTTATGAGGTCAATAGCTGATTCTGAAATTCTGTGATCGCTTTTTCAAGACTTGTGGGTGACGAGTGGAGTATGATAACGTGCTGTCACTTTTTCCTGTTCCGTTTTTACCCGGATTGGTTGTTTTTTTTTTCTAATCTGTCCTTTGAGTTTCTCTCGACGAGGAATTCGAGACAGTCGTGTGGACAAAAATACCATCTCAGCCTTTGCAAAAATCGCTTGGCGAATTTCTTACGCATGTTCGGTCGATTCATAAAATTGTAGTCAATCTTGTCCATGTTCTCTGGTTGCCTTGCGCTATACCCGATGAGGTGCTTTTGAAACAAAAGCCAAGATTTTTTTGTTTCGTTTTACTTCGGGTATGGGGAAGATCTGTTTAAAAGCAAAATTAAGCTCACGAAGAAGGAAAAAAATAGAAAAGGAGCGCAGTGAGTGAAAAAATAAAAAAAGTGTATAGCTGCTTCTTAGAGCCGCATTCCCAGTCATGATATTCATGGGACGGATAGGGTGCGGTAGGAAATCGTGGGTACGAGATCAAGGGTAACACGTGGGCGTTTTTTGTCGTACGTGGGTCGGCCGATTATACGTTCGTTACTGCGCAAGTCATCGCTCATTACATGCCGACGCAATTCTTGTGAGTGGATGCGGAAATCGTTCCGACAGCTTTTTTTGTGTGCCATATTTTCCTTTTTGCTGACATCCTGTGTCTCTTTTTTTTCAAGTGCATGAGGATTCAACTTCGACACTGTGGTGATAAGTTCTCGAGTTTTAATTTCGTTTTTTTTTTTCTGAATTCGGAGCGCTGTTGAGTTGCGGTGCTGATCTCGTTCTGTAGTCACATGGATCGATCACTATTCATGCATTGGATATTCTGGTTTCGTGGTGCTTCGGGATTCACTCATGGTTTAAATCCAATTGTAGATCGTATAGAGAAAAAAATTTATCGGATCTTTAGTGCGTTCAAAAAGTAGGTCGGTTTTATTTCTGTCACAAATCTCAAAAGATATTGATTGCAGCTTTTAGGTGAAGGATTCTGTCTTAACGCAGACGTGTCATCACGCGACATGCTTTGAGAGGCTGGCGTTGATTGAGTTTATATGATGTCCGCATTTTCGCGTCAAATGTGAATCCCATTTCCGAAGTGACTTCTTGGTTTTTTCAAATTGATGGAATCTGAAACGCGCTCGTTGTCCACTCAGCGGGCCGCGTCGTTTGAACAAAGATATTTCGTTGTTGTACGTGTTCAATTGATAGTCATGCCGTGTTCCGTGTGCTGATTTCGTTGGGGAAATAATGATCCACTTTATTTTCAGGAAAAACCGTCGATACATGCTCCATTTGCGAAATTGTTAACCAAATCGTAGATTTGAAACCCATAATTGTGCTTAGTTTGGGAATAAATGGTTCAAAAGCCGGGTTGGCTGCTTCTTTTTTTTTGCGTCGGATTTTGCAGTAATGCGAAACTGAATATCCGAAGTTACTCGCCGCTGCTTTGATTTTCCTGCAGACAACGGTCTCGGCGTCTCGTATGGACATTGTATTAACCTAGAGATGCTCTTAGCAATAAGCGGAGTCATGATTTGATTCTGAAATAGCAGAAGGCCTAAGTGAATTCGTAAGATTACTTACGAGGGTTGTCGGAGTTGTACGCTGCCCCTGATATTTTTGGATTGAGTGTGATGGTGAAAAAAAACTTAAATATCAGGTTCGTGACATAGCCCACAATGTTCTAATGTTGTGGGATTTTTAAAGGAGTTTTTCAATTTACAGTGCTGCGTGGTGATAAGTGAAAATTTCTGAGTTACAGTTGAAGTTCTCCACCCATGCCGCAGATAGCTAAAAATGTGTCAGGCAACCCAAATAAAAGTGCCTTTATTTTTTGTTTTACCCATTATCTTTTCTACATCTTAGGTAATGGTTAAACAATGAAAAATTTTTATTTAGGTCTGACAAAATTTGTGTACCCCTCAGGAGTTGGAGAACTATGGCTCTAACTGAAAATGTTTCGCTTATGAAGTAGATTAAAAAAAAATTTTGCAAATCCGAGAAAAGATCTCTGAAATTTTGAAAATCATAGGCTATGCCATGATTTTTTTTACGATTGCACCTACTCCATAAATATCAGAGGCCGCGTCCAAGTGGAACAACCCACGTAGAGATTTCTGTTGAATCAAAGCAGTTTCGATAAAGGCGGCTCGTTATGAGTGAAACATTTTCGCGATGCTAATCGTCTGTACGAATTTGCTCTTGTTTGTTCTAGACGGATCGTGAAGTAGTGTTCTCAAGAAAAAAGAAAATCCAGATGTAAGGATGTGAGGAAAGACGTCGTGCTCTGGTGAGCAGTGTTTGGTGGGGCCTGCGGGTCTCGCCGCGATGAGTGCCTCGGAAAAGGGATCTCTGATGGAAATCCCTGGGATTCTACACCTGGAGCAGACGAAACGCGCCCGTCATGCCGCCGTGGTGAAGGCTGCCGAACGCAATGGCTGGAAGTTGACCGAAGCCAACACCAAGGGTCATATCCTGTGGGCCGATACGTCATGGACGCTGTCCATCGTGTACCATCCCCTCCAGGCAAGTTTTTTTTTTCGATTTCGGGTGTTGCTGGGAAACCAATTAAAGGAACGCGATATCAAGTACTCTTTTAGTAAGGTAGTAAATCAAATTGTTAAGCTTGAAATGTTAGTGTTTATTTTTCTTGCGAGCCTTTTCGTATTCAACCTCGCTGGAAAACGAACTTACACAATACGATCCTGTAAGTTTAGAAACACCTGGATTCATTATTCTTCTTGATCGATGCCACGTGATCTTCTCTCCGTACAATACTGAACTTAATTGTGTATCAATTTTTCTTGCAAGCCTTTTCGTGTTCAACGTCGTAAAATCCTCGCCGGAAAACGGCACTTTTCATCGCAGCACGATCCTCCATTTTGAAAACATTTGGCTTCATTGTTATTCATTGGTTTCATGTTTGTTTGATGCCCCCTTGATTTTTCTCTCAGCGTTTCAATCACTTTCCTGGGATGAACGAATTGAGTCGGAAGGATTTTTTTGCCAAGAATCTGAGGAGGATGAAGGAGCAATTTCCTGCTGATTATGATATTTTCCCGGATTCTTGGATTCTGCCGATGGAATCCGACGAGTGGCGGAAGCATTCCGAAGAGAACGGCAACAATCAGGTTTACATCGTTAAACCCTGGAATGGATCAGAAGGTCAAGGTATCACGTTGACTCAGGTCCCTCACGTGGTGGCTTCTCATCTCAGTCCGCAAGTGGCTCAAGTTTACGTCCAGGATCCGCTCACCATTGATGGGTTAGTTGAAGAGCGCGTTTTTCTGCTTGATATATCCCGATAACAGTGATGATTGGCTTTTTTTTTTTTCTCTTTACTTAGGTACAAATTGGATTTGCGGATTTACGTGCTGGTCACCTCAGTTTGCCCGCTGCGATTGTACATGTATTCGGAGGGTCTGACAAGATTCGCTACCATTCCGTATGCCAAGGCTGATAGAGAGAATCTCTCAAACCACTTCTTGCACTTGACCAATTACACCATCAATAAGACGAGCTCAGCGTATTCTCGGGATGAATTGCTTGGTTCCAAGGTATTTATCTCGTTTACTTCGCATGCCTTGCATTGAATGGTTAATTTTTGGGTCAGTACTTTTTTCTGTGAGACTACTTATGAAACGAGATGGAGTAGAGAAATTTCTGCTTCTTCCAATGCGTTTAGTTTGATCTGACGCACGCAAAATTTGAAAGAAGGATACTTCAGGCAAAGACGCGGAGCAAGAACATTTTGTAATCGCCTAATATTTACGCGAATCGATTTTAGCTCATTCCTGGGAACTTCAGGATTGTTTTTTGTCCGATTTTAATTGTTACCGTATTTATTCCTTGTGCAATTCGTTCTAGCGTCGCTTTTCAACCTTGAATAAGCAATTGGAGACAAGAGGGATAAACGTGGCTGCCCTGTGGCGCCGGATAGACGGAGCTGTGGTAAAATGCATAATCGCTGCTTTACCGAAATTGCAAGCGCATTATGACAGGAAGCACAAGGCAGGATATCCGGTGGTTCCAGCGTGCTTCGAGCTTCTAGGCTTTGACGTGTTGCTGACGCGTGACCTCCGTCCTCTGGTCCTGGAGGTCAACTTTTTGCCGAGCATGCACGTGAACACATCAGTGGACCAGGCCGTCAAGGTACCGATGATGATAGACGTGCTCAATATGGTAAATCCGAATGCGCCAACCTTGCGGCGGTTGATTCGGGATACGCAGAAATTCAGCTTCCAGCTTTTTCAATCTCGGTGAGACCATTTTTACGCATATTGTATCTTTGTAGTTCGCAAATATCGTTAGGGAATTTGTATGCGCGTGTATGAGAGATATCTGGATTTAGACCCTGTTTTGCTTGCCAAAAATGACTCCTGATTTCTCACGGGTAATACAGATGGACTTTTCGCAACAGAATTCAAGGGGCCAGTAAAATGTTGCTGTAGAGAACCTCTATAATAAGGGTAGAGGCTATTATCGGACCAAAAAATATTCGTTATACAGAGAAGATCTTTATAGACACCATCGTTGTGGAGCGAGTCTACCTGTATATACAGTACTGTACTGACATGATCGTACAGTATGCAGCATTTGTAGAACCTTCGAATAAAGTACTGAAGTCAATTCCCACATTAATGAGCGAATGGACTTCAAATACTGTACTGTCTCTAACGTGGGGAAAAAACTTCCTTACGTGCTGAATAAGCTTTTATTTGAGAAACCTGACTCCTTTTGCAATAATGTGTGCATATTCCGCGCCAGACTCCATAATCTCATATTTGGAAATTTTCCTTAATTTTTTTCAATTATGCGCAGATTTGCAAGCAAGAAAGCGCCGAACTCGGCAGAATCTGAGAGCATTCGAGAATTGTGGGATACTTACTGTGAGGAGAAAGTGAAGGAGGTAGCCGACTTCGAGATGTCCCAGCGAGGAAAATTTCGCCGAATTTATCCTCCCGTTTTTGAAGCGATCGAATTCAATTCAGAGATTTCTGCGCATAAAGTGGCAGAATTCTTGACACACGCTGCAAACACTCCGCTTGGCAGCTCTACCAATTCTGTTGGGGAATCGCGAGCCGCTTTGGCGAGTTCTGGATCTCTTGTGAGACTCCGATCGTCTGTTTCCTCAGAGATGAAGGTGAAATCTTATTTTTTTAATCTACATTGATTCTCTTGTGCTTCACGATATCCTCGTGCATTTAAGAATCCGAAGTTGGGCCAATTTGCGTCAAAGTTGAGCAGGTCAGCGAGCAGAAGTGCGAAATTAGAGCGAAACGAATCCATGCCGGATGTTACCGATCCGTTACCAAATTTCAACTGTAGGACTTCGATGCGTCATTCCTTGCGCCGTGCGACAATGGTCAAGCAGGTGCTTAGAAGAGACTACATTTTTACTTTTTTTTTAAATTTTCAAGTATCGACTTTGGTTGATGATGCTGAAAATTTTTAAGCTGACCATGAAAAAAAATCCTGATCGGATCGTTTAATCCCCTTTTCTCTCTGTCAGACTTCTCTACCGGCAATGCCCGGAAGGACGAACAGCTGTTGCTCTGCAAGCACATGCAGTTTGAGCAGCTGCAGCTCCTCTTGTTCGTCGTGTCTTCTCTTGAATGCTTCGCAAGGATTCTCTCCATTGCCCATTTCTGAAGTGGAAGAGAGAGCGAGGCTGGATGCGCTAGTGCAACGGAACAACCTCCTGACTGGCATGAAAGTCCGAGAAAGAGTGAGTACCAGGAATTCTCGATCACTATGTCTATTGATTTATCAAAATACTGCAGTGCGTCTTACACTTGATGATTCTTCCTAGGTTCGACAATTGAAGCGGGAATTGGAAAAGCCAATGCTCAGAGTACCTTTAAGTTATATGGAGCTGAAAAGTAAACTGCCACAGGCGAAGGAGCCATCCAGGATTCCATGCCTGGTGAGAACGTTGGAAAATTATTTTTTTCGCGCTGATACGAAACGAGGTGTAATATTCAAAGTGTCAACGCAAGGTCTGGTCGACTATTAATTATACTTATCGTGATCGATAGGCTGCTTCATCTTCTACATTTTTGTATTGCTTCGATTGAATGGCATTTTTGACGAGGAAATTATGTCAAAGACAATTGAAAATAACGTAGTTATTTCTTCATTTCGGTTTGGCTTATTTTTCAATAAATGGGATGAAAATGAGATTTTTCCCGATATTGTGTGCAGCATTTTATTTATTTTTTTTGCGAGGGACTCTTTTTAAAATTATTGATATGATTCTAATTTGTATTGAAGTTTAAGGAAGAAAGTCGAGCATTGTAAGAAATTTATAGTTATATATCTTATAGTTATTGTGTTATTCATCTATCTTGAAATATGTTTAGATCAGAATGTACAGTAGTAACTTCTAAACTAATAAAAAAATGAATGATTCGGTGTGTTTCATGATATTCGATCAAAACTAATGCATAGTCCATTAAAAAATATACCGATTCTTATTGTTCCCGTGAAAGATAATTTGTTTTTCCATTCAGTTTTATAAACGGCCGACCCTGCTCAAAAACTTTTGTCCTGTACATTACTCGTGGATGTTTTCCTGATTTATTTTCTTTAAAACAATGCGGCATCAGAGTAAGAAAAGTCTTTTTTTTAAAGTAATAATGTAACAGATGTTGCTGCTGAGGTATTGCTATTGCTCATCAAACGTTTCATTTTCCGCGTAAATAGTGGTAAATGACATGTGTACAAGTGTGTGACGTAATCGTTTAGTTGGACTCGAATCGAACTTGAATTTATTTTCTACTTCCAGATAGGTATCCAGGGTATGAAACTGGTATCGAGACCTGCTCCGGAATCTCTTGAAAAGAAGAAACGCGCTGCTGCCATCACGAGATCAGGAAATTCTGTAATGCAAGTTGTTGATCAGCGTAGCTTGGTTGCTAAACCTCCGAAACACACGCTTAGATCTGCTGCTCCTCGCCGGGCATAAAACGTTTGATTCGTTTTGCTTTCGTCGCTGTACGTTCTTCTTTGTTATTCATCTTCGGTTTTCGTGTTTCCTTTTGCGTACAAAAGTCGGCGTATGGGTTAGTCTGAGCGAGAAACAAGGCAAAAAAATATATTGGTTGATTTTTCTACGAGGATGGCACACTTTTAAAGGTGTGATTGAGGAGATAAGTCTTTCGTACACGGCAATAAGGAGGAGTAATTTTTTTTCTTTTTCTAGTCGTTGCAATTTGTGAATAAGGTGTGATGTACACTCGATTGTTTATTCCAAGTTTTCGGCGGTGATTGGTGAGCACTTCTCGGAATACCAGCCGTCTACCTTACTTACATACTCGCTTTTCCAACCTCGTCTGTTATTTCGTATTAAAAACCTGTGTTTGCCGTTTCAAAGATGCTCAACGTCTTGTTCCCGTGTTGTTCTGGTTGCGCGAGTTCGTCTTATGGTCGGTGCCTCGACGGTCGGTTTGCCTTTTGCTAGCTATCCAAAAGCGTTTATTCAGACGTCCTGTTGCGCAAGTTCTTCTGCATAACAAGTGCGGTATGTTGAGAGCTTGTCTAGTGATTTGCTGTTGATTGCTTCGTGAGGCAGTTGCAATATTTGTCTTCGACTGCGAGGTTATGTGTTGAAAAATGAGAAAAAGTGGCTAGAGATTGCCAGTTGAGCAGCATGCCAAAGAATAACGGTGTCAACTTCGCGTTCGGATAGAGGAATGGAAAATGAAAGATTTATGCTTGTATCTGAATTTGTTGGTTTTTGTGCGACTCGGTTTGACATAGATTTTCCTTTAGTCTATCAGGAATCCTGGATTTTTTTTTTGTGAAATGAGGCGTAAGTCGTGAGATCTGAGTGATTGTTGTTTGTAAAAGGAGTGTTATCAAGGGTCTCTGCTTATATTAAATCTTATTTATCATGGATTTATGTCCAAAAACTCCATAATGGAGCTATATACTGTATATATACATAGTAGACACTATGTAACATGGCCTTTTCAGCTTATGGAGCATGTTCTGCGCAACAAGGGTTTCAATTTTCACTGCGTAAAGCACTGCATTGCACGGCTATCAAGCCTGAACCTGAAAAAATATATCTTTAAAATACACCAAGCTGCAATAACTCATAATTTTCAGAATATTTGTAGCACTGCTGCTGCATGCTTCAGCTCTCTCATTTGAAGATTTTGAGCACATCAATGCCAAAGCCTACATGAGTAAAAAATAAGCAAGTCAAAATATACATTTGGAAGGGGAACAATTCCACGATAACAAGGAATGAAACCATTTCAGTTCTGGAGAAGCCTTCTTTAAATTTTATAATTTAAATGTTCATTTAAATAAAACAGATGAACTTCTCTCTATCACCAAAAATTCTGGAGCATATTATATGCCCCAGAATACTGTATATCTACATACATGTGTATACAGAATCTATGTACTGTATTATGGAGACCCCATATACAGGTGTCCCCTCCATATACAGGAGTCTCCAATTTCTCCATAATTACGCAATATGCATATACAGTATGTATACAGTATAATTATGCACGAAAAAAAATAAACGTAGAATAATAGTTGAAGTTCTATCACCAAAAATTCTGGAGCATATTATATGCCCCAGAATACTGTATATCTACATACATGTGTATACAGAATCTATGTACTGTATTATGGAGACCCCATATACAGGTGTCCCCTCCATATACAGGTGTCCCCTCCATATACAGGAGTCTCCAATTTCTCCATAATTACGCAATATGCATATACAGTATGTATACAGTATAATTATGCACGAAAAAAAATAAACTTAGAATAATAGTTGAAGATATATTCAGAGAATATACAGAGCTTAACATTTGTTAAAATATATTGCACATCCCTTCTACATTTTCAATTATTTCAAAACGAATTCAATTAAAATGAATAATTAATCCCTTTTATATACATATGCAAAATCATATTGGAAATTGTGGGAATTTGTTTTATAATCGTCCATGCAAAAGGAAATGCAGCAAATATTCCGAATGAGAGCATGTCTTACTTGACCACCTTAATTGAGGTACAATAGTTTTTATTCTGGTACGTAAAAACCCTACTTCACTGCAATCACTCAAAAGGGCATAGCTTTTATGTGTAAGTTTCACTTTTAATGGAAATTATTTGATTGCACTGTATTCACTTTGTCTCTTCTTGAATGATTTTGAGACATCCAAGAGGAGACGTTTATTTATTTTTTCTGACATTGTTTTTTTTTCTCGAACTTTTCAAGTACCGTATGTGACCTTTCATGTGGGTGACACAACTCCCATGGTACCACGTGTGATTCAGAGAGTTCTTGAATAGAGTACCGTATCGTGGAATGCAAGCGGTACAGCAGTACTGGATTGCGAGTGATATAGGTAACTGCTGAACTAGGGCAACTTCACATTCGCGTTTTGCGGGTGTGCGGGGATGACAGCGGGAGGAACGATTCCGCTTACAGTATAAAATGCCCAGTTTCAGTTGAGATAGCGCGCATGTTGTGGGGGGCTCTGTTCATTAGTGATGCAGAGTTTAACATCAGATACTGTAAACAATTATTTAATTCAGAAACCTAATAATTAACGAAACGTAGTCGTATTGTACAGGATCACATTGTATCGCAGTGTAATGTTCATGCAATAATCGATCCGTGGATTTCGTGCCCAGATTGTTCTACTCCTTGTCGAATTTTCCGGTTTTTCAAATGGTGTTGCGTTCTGTTATGCTAGTGCGGATCCTTTCGAAAATAATCCGGAGGTATCCTGGTTGGTCGAAGCCTTCCGGAGAATCCTGCTGTATCGTGTTATAAGCAAATGATAATGGATGAAATAATGAGGAATGTTCTGCTTCGCTCTGTACAGAAATCGTTCCCTCAACCTCAGCAAGCAAAGTGAGATTCAGCATGTCATCTGTGCCGCGTGGATTCCTGTTGTCTGTAGCGGTGTTCACGTTGATATACGCGTTTGTTTCATTCTTGTTCTCGTTGCTAATATCGTTCGGCCTTTTCGTAATATTTTGCTCGCTATTTGTCGTGTTCATCTCCTACGCTCGCATCCCTGCACCAAGTCAAAAAGTCGTGGAAGAGATTTTGGGACTTGATTATTACGAAGTCAAATCAGAAGATGCTTCGAACCTTGACAAAGAATGTCCAAGTTCCTCTGGATTCGTAATGCCGATCGTTGCTCACAGAGGAGCTTGCTTGGATGCGCCGGAGAATTCCCTGACAGCGTTTCGTTTGGTCAAACTGCGTGGAGTCCACGGGGTCGAATTGGACGTTTCTTTGACCAAGGATAAAGTTCCCATTGTGTTCCACGACGAAGTCGTGGATCGTGTCACGAACGGGGCCGGTCGAGTGGTTGACCTCACCTATGAAGAGATAAAAGAACTGGATCTTTCAACGAAATTCATTTTTCCGCAAGAATTTTCTTTGGAAAGAATTCCGAAGTTGTCGGAAGCGATTGACCTCTGTCTGGATCTCGACCTGAGAATTATGATCGATGTGAAGGAACCGGATTCCCAGTTGGCTGACGCTGTGTTAGCGGAGTACAAGCGTCGTCCTGAATTGAAAAAACGGGCAATGGTGTCTTCGTTCTTTCCGAATATCATATACCTGGTATGAATAATTCTTCTTTTAGTGTTCCGGAAAAAAAATCGAATGGAACATTAATGAGTTCGCATTTAGGTGAGGCTGGGTGATCCAGACATTGTTTGTTCAATGGCGGTGAGACCGAACTTTTTCGCGTACAAGGATTTCATTCCGGGCTTTGGTCCAAGCCATCCCAGGTTTGACGCATGGTGGAAACATTGGGGCGCTTGTTTCCTGGATCAGCTCTTGGAAATTTCGCAATACTCGTTTACGCCATATTTTCTTGGTCTGTCGGCGATTCTATCGTCGCACGTTGGTGTTGATATGTAAGCAGCATTGTTTCCGGGATACTAAGAAAAGTTCTATGTGAACAAATCTTTTACTGAATCGGATATTCCCTTTTGAAAGCTCTCTCCTGTTTGTTCAAGTATTGAAAAGTATATCGAGTTGATTGAGACGTCCCATTTTCACATCAGGAATATTACTTATGAGAAGAATATTCATCCAATTACCAGTTGCAGATAACACCTTATTCAATCGATCAGAGGGTACAACAATTAGTCATAATATACAGAGCATCCCGGGATTGAAAGATATTTTTTTAAATCTTCCTGTATGAGAAAATGGAGAATTATTTTCTGAAGACACATAATTCTAAAGGTTCTGAATAAGTTTGCTAGATACTTCTGCTTTTCCTTGTCTTATCGATGTTCCATCTTTGGCAAAGCTTTCTGTATTTTATTTCGTTTGAAATTATATCTTTCATCCCTACAGAGTGAAGCTGTCTCATTGGAGAAGTCAGGGACTTAGAGTATTCATCTGGACTCTGAACGACCCTGTTGCAAAGAAGTATTGTCATGAAGTTCTGAGAACGCCTTATTTGACGGACACGTTAGACCTGTGAAATTATTAAGTCGTTCTTATGTCGAGACCGTCATGTCAACTTATATGGCGTTTGTGATTTTTGTGTATTTTGCCCTCCGCTTTGAGGCTGATCATCATTCCGAATTTCTTCAAATCGGCAAGTTTGCTCCGAAGATCTGATATCAATGTGAAAACTAATCCCTTCTCTTTCTTGGCATGGCTTTATCATTTTTTTTCAAGGATTTAATTGCGACGTTCATTAGTGATGAATGATTCTTCAAAGAGACATTTTGAAGCTTTCGCGTACATTCGAATTGCAGCTACGGATTTTGATTGTTGAAAAATTATCTGGGCTCCAGCCATTGGTTCGCAGTTTTCCGTGTCTGATCAATTTGTACGTGTTTTTTTCGCGTTTTTAGGAATACTAATGGATCTATAACCGAAATATTTGTTCAATCGCAAAATGAGCGACGAAGAACTTCGCGTATCCGACGAAAAGTTACAGAATGGTGGCACTTTGTCTCCAACTCTGGTTGACCCATTGTCTCCGGAATCGGATACGGCGTCGATGCGAACATGCGCCTCGAGCTTCGAGGTACTTAATCATAGCTCAGTCGTGACTTATATTATATATAATAAAATACTGTACTTGTGCACAGACTTTGACACCGAATAAGGGTGATGTGTCCGGTTCAAGTACTGGGGAAATGATGACGGCTGCCAGTAAAACTCTGCAAGATGCAAGCTCTGTCAGCTCGCGACTAAAAACTGCTTCTGCAGGTGAAACACCTCACGCTGACGGATCCAGCAGCCAGGAATACAAGCCTGAGCAAAGTGAGTGGTCCATTCTTTCTGCTATTACCATCGCATTTCGTTTTTTGGAACTTGTGAAAGACGCAGCCAGAAGGATTTCAAGTTTAAATTTCATGCAAGCTTGGTTTCCGTTTTCATGAAATCTCTGAACGTGGCATTTAGTTCATCATGGAGAATAAATTATATTTATTTATCTCTCATTGTTCATGGCTAGATACGAAGTTTTTTGTTTTGTTTCGACGGCGTGATTAATGAGTTTACGCTGACGTGACTTCTGAATGTATTGAATGTCTCTGAACCGAGGTAGGATTAGTTCAAAAGAAAAAGTATGGAAACAGGGAACTAACGAAAGAGAAACTGGTGTGTAAAAGCATCGAGAAATTATCTTGTCTTGAATCTCTCAATACGCATATTTTTAAAATATTCACATGATTTAGTATTCATGCAACTGTCGTGGTCAGGAACTGAGAAAATATTTTAGTCCGTAGTCAATCACGGAAAGGTTCGGAATGAAGGATAGCTGATAAACTTAGTTTTTATTCATCCCTGTTGGTTTTTTCTGCTTTTTCGTTCTAGTGGAATTCTTCGATAGCCCAAGAATGCTGAAATTGGCGGCTCAAGAAGGAAGAGTGCCTTTTATTGTGCGTACTTCATCCAGCGGATCCTCTTTGCATTCCGACGAAGAAGTCGACAAAGAGGCAAACGGAAACCACGTGATAAACGGCGTCGAAAACGGCTCCGACGACGAGGACACGTTTACCTACAAAGCGGATGTGACGCCCGGGTTAAACGATGTCCGTGTCACCAAGCAAGTTACCTCAGAACGTCCATCGTCATTGTCCGTCAACCATGTGTCTACGAAAAATAAGCGGAAGAAAATCAGCGTCGCCGAGGATATTCTCAACACGGCCGATGATGTTTCCTCAATTCTAGATCAGACGGAAGAGATGTTCACGGCGCCGTTAGGTGATGAGGATGCCACAGAAAACTTGGGTATTCCCGATGATCTTGAAACCCCTGATGAAATAGACGACTCCATCATGGAGAGTGAGTTGATACATATTGATGAAATTTGTGGTGTTGGTCAACTGCGTGAATGCAATTCATCGTGAATTTCTTCCCTATTGAACCTGTCCCCTAGAGTGCATCTCAATTTACATTCAATCTAAATTATAAAATAGTCTTTAAGCTCAAATTCGCGTAGCAAAGGTTAGGCCAAGTAAGTAGGGGAAGGTTAAATTAATCAGGGCTGAAAAAGTACATCAGCCCTAACTGAATGTTTTTTATTTTTTTTGAAGTTAGCTGCTAGGTTTGATTACTCAAGTGTGAGGTTAGGCCAGGGTTTTATTGGTTTTGAAATCTGGTTTCAAGATTCTTTTTTTTTTACGAAAGAGCAGGTTATTTCAGTGTGAAATTATTTTTTAGCACGGTTGAAATGGTTATTGCCAATTTCATGATTTTTAAAAATCTTAAATGGTGGTTTGTGAATCTCTGAGAAGGAATTAAACATTATTTTCTGGTTCATGTGTTACCAACACCGAAATTTGGAAAATCGATCGATATGCGTTGAAAGCTTGAAACATACTTTTTCAGAATTGAGTGAACTGGAGTTTGATGAAGATAGAACCCCAACCCCGGAGGATTTGAGACTTGAGCTGGGATTCGATGTGGACGAAGTATTGGAACAAAACGAGCGAAATGCCCCAGAACCGATTCCCACGCTTACTGCCATCGAAGAGCACGAAGAAGCCCGGAATTGGCGCCAGGTCGTAATCTCGGGCATCGAACGTCGCATCGACATGAAAGCGATCGAGCCGTATAAAAAAGTGATATCCCACGGTGGCTACATGGAAGAATCTTCTCAAGCAATCATCGTGTTCACCGCTTGCTACTTGCCAGATCACAGTCGAAGAGATTACGAGTACGTTATGGATAATCTCTTTTTATACTGCTTGACCACATTGGATGCCCTGATTGCGGAGGATTACGTGTTGGTCTACCTGCATGGAGCCACGCACCGAAGTCGCATTCCATCTTTCAAGTGGATTCGTCGTTGTTACCAAATGATCGACCGCAGACTGAGGAAAAATCTCAAAGGACTCTTCGTCGTGCATCCTACCTTTCTTGTGAAAACTTTGGTTACTTTGACGCGTCCTTTTATTAGGTAAGAAATTGTTTGTTCGGTGGCCTTTTAAAATAAATTCCTACATTTCCATGGAGGCAATGCGATAAAAAGTCTGCAAGACGATGCGATTTGGCTTTGAAGAATAATTTTGGGTTACAATTTTCAATTTAGAAGATTTATGCGTTACTGGATGTTGGACATAGGAAACATATTTTATGTTATTCAGAATCCTATGGCTATTCCCTGCATCATAGTCGATTTCGACATCATATTTGCTGATATTGAATCTCATACTACTAAGCACGATAAAATCGAATTTAATGTTTATAAAATATAAATTGGATCACGAGAACTTGAAATATCGTGGCCTACATCTTATCAATCGCGATCAGATGGGATGGAACCATTTACCACGTATTCGAATCCTAAGTTTGATGGTTGAATTAAAAAGGGAACATCGTGTTGAAAAGCATCATCCTGAAGCCCTCTCGCTTTTCAAGAGGCAAGTTTCGATTACGTACTATTTTTCATGATTTCGTGATCTGTGCGATTTTCTTATTCTTGTCCATTTTTCACTGCTATAAGACTTATAACTTTTCTTGAGTCCAGTTTCCAAGCACTGAATCATCTAAAGAAGCTGAACTTTATTGATTGGGAGGATCTTCGTTTTTGTTGCTAATCATTTTATTAGAATGAAGGATGTATAGGCTAAGGTGCCTGACGCATTTTTTTGTGAATTGACACCATGTTCAACTAGGAAGCATACTTTTCTGAAGTATCTAAAACAACCTTTTCATATTTATTTACGGAGCTTTTCTGACTTACAGTACTAATATAATAAACGATAAAAACTGGGGATCGGAACAAACATTCGAAGACTAAAGGAGCTGGCGATAGTTGTGGTATTCGAATTTCTCTGATCATGTGTGAAGTCAATTTTTTCCTTGAATTTCTCCTCAGTACAAAATTCTCGAGAAAATTGCGTTTCGTGGGAAGCCTAGATGAGCTGTCCAAACTTGTTCCGATGGGACAAGTCGTGATTCCTGAGAAAGTTCGCACGTGAGTATTCTTTGCCAAGGGCGTTTTTTCTGGATGGAACAAATCCTTGGTGAGGTGCGGTTTTGTACTAATGTTACGATTTGATGGTTGTAACACGAATACTGAGTTTTTGGAAGTCTTTCCTAATGAGTTCAATGCATTGCGATCTGTGCTCTTCGAACATGTTCTGGTTTCTTGAATGTTCTCATCCTCGAACTCATTCATTTGAACGCTTTCAATTGCCATGGGAAAAAAATTTGGTAGATAATTTTTTCTGCTGCATTGAAGTTAGAGTAAATAAAAAAATATTATTGAATCGAACGAACGTGAAGGATTTGAGTGCTATTCAACTTCTCAATTATATGAGTATCCGAGTGATATTTTGAAAGTACAGTACTGTTTGTACATAGTTTGTGAACTTCATGTCCAATAAATCTGAGACAGTGCAAAGAAGAAAAATTCTGGCATGATCCTGACAACTGCTAGCGTTTCTCGCCTTTGAGATAAAGTGACATTTTTGGGCTTCTTCTGGGCTGAGACTCTCAACTGGTGCCTGGGAAATGGAGGAAATCATTAATCACATTATTGCCTCTTCAGCGGTCTCTAAATTATTGAATCTTAACGAAGTGTCCTTACTTCTCAGGCACCAAACACTGGATTTCGAGATAACGCTGAGGTATTTTCCCCTTCTTTCTCTGTCCCATCTTTTTTCGACGCAAATTTCATAATTTATCGTTCAAAACTTTCTGAAACATTAATATTTTTTGTGGGACTAGAAGCGTGTGAATCGCTCTATGAAGTGTATTCCGTTGAAGTAATTGCTACGTTCATCCGTTCATTGGGTTTGCACGTAGTATTGGGAACCGGTTTTGAACTTGATACAATCTGAGGTGAGATCCAGTATTAACATGCACGCCCTGTCTTCTTTCCATGTGGACCTCGGGTATTCTCTTCTCCCTCTTCTGCGCACAGTTACGACGAAATCAAGAAGAATTTGGAGTTGCACAACGCGTGAGGGTGTAGGTGACGGTTGATATTCCTTTATTCTTTGCTAATCCAAGTCTTCACTCTTCCTCTCCTTCCTGGTGCGTTTATGATTCTGCGGTGGCTTTTTGTTGTTGTGCTGAAGCTTATCGTGTGTGTGATTGGGTGTACGCAGGTATGATGAAGAATACTATGCCCCAGATCGGCACTTGAGGAATCGACTGGTGAATGATGGCGAAACAATGATCAAACCCGGGATTCGGTTGAACAACTCCAACGTGTTTGGTTTTGACGGCGATGAAACGACTGGGACCAGTGATTGCTGAAGACTTGCGGTTATTCATCACCAGTTCCAGAACAAGAGCGAGAAATTATGTGCGAGGATTTAAGAGAGAAAGAGAGAAAAGGTGCGATCAGCTTGATGAGTTCGGATGATCGATTGAAGGTGCGGGTTTACGTTTTAGCGAAGTGAGAAAAATAGGGAAAATTAAATTTTTTCTGCGCGCAGCCGACGTGCCCTTGCATTTCATCTAGAAACGGCACATCTTTCGGAGAATTATTTTGTGGGCAATATCCACATCTTGACTTCGTTTGTCATATGAAACATTTTGATACCGATGTGAAGGTACGTTTAGCTTACCAATGAAGAATTATATCAGGGATAACGGTAGTGTTGAAGGAAAGCTGTTACAATTGTGTGCGATTTTCTGTAAAAGAAGAGGTCCTGGTTTTTATTTTCCTTTCCGTGCCCACTTTCTGATGTGATTGCTGCGCTCATGCACCGTGCACTTTGTCTGATGTGCATGGTGAAACAAGGGAATATTTCAGCCCAGTTTAAGCATGAAATCGATCTGGGGGTTTGATTTTGTGCGATGTTCAGTATCCGGAATCCCTGGCCAAAGACGAATTAGGTTTAATTGAAACGGAATATCCCACCCGAATCGGAAGGCTTGGTTAGTTTTTTGTGCGACATGCGTAGGAAACTTGTACGTTCCCTTCTCAGCCGTGATCAGAGCATAAAATGCTTTGGAGAAATAGAGAAACTCGAAAGGATGTCAGATGAGCAGAAATATTTGGATTGAATAATAGAATCTTTCGAGTATTGGAGGAGAAATTACCAAGGGTAGCTCTTTTATATACAGTAATGCGATGAGAGAACGAACGAACGGAAGCATTCCGCGTTTGCATCCAAGGAAGAAAAACGCTCATGCCTCTTTTGCGTGCTGTGTGCTCGGCTCCTGTGCTGCTTCGGAACTAATCAGCAATACTGTAATAGAGAAAGTATGCTTACCGAAGCGATGCTACTGATTCGATTCTACTTTGCGGGAATTTTCCTGTTGAAGGAGCGGAACTCCTGATCTCCGGCTGGGAGACGATTCGTGAACGTTTCTCGGCTCCACTCGCTTACTTTTTCTACGTGGATTTGAAAAAATGTGTATGGCGAGAATGGTTCGAATAACTGTGCATACCGAGTGAGAACTTGAAAAAAAATAAATAAATAATATTCTCACTTCATCGCCCGACGTCCTAATCTTTGGGAATTTCTTCGCCGTAACGTAGGTGTCGCTTGGAAAATGTTCTGTTCAAATTATTCTGACTGACTGATGATGAGGAGAAAATTTTGATGGATCAGGTTACAATGTTTACTCATGCGCTGTAATTCGCGACCCTATCTGAGAAGTAAACTGTGAAACTCCTCGTTGCAACACCCTCACAAATTATTCGTGAACCCACTAGAATTCATGCATGTGCATGACGCGTCCTGCTTTTATTTTGCAATACATTATCTGAGATGAAGGTGCGTGTGGTACAGAGTGAACAGTGGGGTTGAATGCTTGATTAGATGAACGGTGCTCAATCAATGTTGTCAGAAGCCTGAAAGGTTTCAGTTGTTCGGAATTCCAAGTTTCCCTTCTGCTGCTCCAAGCAAATTCTGTGCAAGAAAATTATCGTGAGAATGTTGGGATGACAAGAAGTAGAATTCATTGATATTTATGCATGATGTTCACTACCATACTTACTCAAGTACCACATGCATTTTTTTTTCGAATTCAAGAGTGAGAAAACGGGTGGGGGTGGGCATTTTAAGTAGGTTTACATTTTTCAAAAAGTTTAAAAATTCAGGTATGCATTATACTTGATTCTAATAGGGAATTTTGGACAAGTTTAATATAAAAACTTCTTTGAATGGAAACAACTGGAAATTAGCTAATTTCACACTTAATTCATGTCTAAATTCAAATTTGGTTTTTCTTATTTTTTCTTTTTATTTCGATTAGAGTCCGAAATGGTGTGCGCATCTTACTCGGGGATGCAATTTTATTAACATTTTCCATTGAAAAACCTGGGTGATGCGTCTTGGTCAAAGGCACATGGTATTGGAGTAAATATGGTATCATGGGCTCAAGTGGCGCAGACATTGAGAAAAGTAGATGCATTTCTCTGTGGCTCGAGGCAAAGAATGTTAGAAATACTTGGCTTCATGATTGGCTAAGCAAAATAAAATAGTGTCTCAGAAGAATTTAACGAGCTGAACGAATGAACTGGATTATATTATTAGCTTACTGATTGAGGCGATACCTGCGTGGTGTTCCAGAAAGCCAGGTCAGGCGATGAAGTGAAAACGTGTTTTTCTTTTCTTGGCATTCATGTCCCTCTCCATCTTTTCCAAAAATTCTCACTGTTTTCAATCTCAGTCTCAACTGTTGGTTTTGAGAGATTTGAACTTTCTGTATGGAACACCCACATCTCTTCTGCTTGGCTAAATTGCGATGTACAGTAAATTTAACTGCTGCGTCCCTCTGAACATCCTCAAAGAAATCTGCTCTTATGTTGTTCAAACCGCGTGAAGCGGAGAAAGAAAGTTACTGAGTTCCGTTTGTCCGTCGGAAATACGATTGTGATTCTTTTCTCGGGTGTTCGTTTCATCTCGGGCCGTTGTTCATATCCGGGGAAAAAGGGAAACTTCGGAAGGAAATTTACGTTTGTTTTCGTTGCGGTTTCTTTTCCGCGGAAAAGTAAATCTGCATTCCGGTATTATTTTATTTTGTCATGCTAAGGTTGTTGAGTTTCTCATGGCAGCTCGTGGTAATAAAACAAAAAGGAAGCAAGAATAATATGATACTGTACTCCTGTAATTTTCTTCGGCTTTTTTCCGTGGAACCTTGTTCCCGAAGGTTTTGAAGTATATTCGTCGCAGGAATTACTGATGTTCATGGTGAGAGTATATTTGACGAAATCTTCAAGTTTCATCAAGCGATTTTTTCGTTCAGATGGAATTAACCGGAACTTGTGAGTGATCTTTTACTTAAAGTAGTGTTGTGCTGGTCTTGTGTTCATGAGTGTACTGTATGTTTGGAGTTCGAATGCACTTCTTTGTTTTTGAAATTACAGTTCTGCCCTAGTGTAGATCAAGGGTCCAAAAATTCACTGTGCTCTGCGCGATCGAAAGTTTGAATTGTGCAGTATTTTCCACATGATCTCATTTTCCCTTTCCTTCGCGACCATGAATTGCTTTTTTGTGGGTAGATGTCACTTGAGGGTCACCATTGCACTTTAAATTCCACTTAGCTGGATTCTTCGTCTACACTTGTATACTGAAGGATTCTTGAGTTTGGGTGTCAGGTGAAACAAATCAATCGAGGCCAGTCTTTTTGCTTTTTTTCGCTTAATTCTAACCACTGATGCAAACCTCAATTTATTCACCAACGGTTTGAATGGATTTCTCGGAAATTTAGCGAATATTTGGAACATGTTGGGAATTTTAACTTTTCATTTGCACAGTCACTTCTTGGACACTTTTCGGTTTTTCTATGTTGCACGTTTGGGATTCTCGTTCCTTTCGTATTTCCCCTTTTCCGTCAACTTTTCAATCATACCATGCCATTTTTGCATTTGCAGAGATCGACTGTCTTATTGTTCGTCGGCAGAAAACGAATCGTCCTCCGCAATGTTCGTTTTCGTGTACGGAACTTTGAAGACCGGCGAACCGAATCATCACTGGATGACCAATGACAAGGAAGGATTATGCGTATTCGTGAAGGGAGGGAAAACTAAGACTTCTTTCCCGCTAATAATAGCTTCGAAATATAATATTCCGTTCTTGTTGGATGTACCAGGGAATGGACATGTGAGTAATTACCTCTGAATCACGAATGATGGCATGTTATACTGCTGTATCGAATCAAAGTTATGAGAAAAAATGTTTTCGCGGAAATTATCTCCGAAAAGATCAGAGGGCTTCGAATATTTCCGATTGCGTCTTGTATTCGCAGGGAAATTGCTTGACTGCTTTAGGATCTTAATCTTTTCATGAAAATTATGGCTACTCAAAGAAATGAATAACTCCGGTTGAACATTCATAATTTCTGCTGAACGATGCACGAGTAAGCATCAAATCCTTGCTTCTGTCGGAAATATGGGAAGATATAGCTGTTAACTGCGGCGCAATTCTTGTACAGTATATAATGCCAATTACAGTATTCACAAATATAAGATTTTCAACATTTTTTTCAATTTTAAGGCCGAAAAATACCGTATATGTGTGCCTTACAATCAATTGTGACGTAATTATAGCTGTGCCTTACGATACTCGGGTAAATCCGGTAATAATGGGAGGTTCTGAAAATGAAGAACCCATTATAAATGCATACATTGCTTTTATGTCGATAATGCCATGATCTGCTATAGCTCATAAAAATTGTGTGAAAGGACTAGAAGAGTACGGATAGGCTCAACCCATCATGATTTGCAGAAAAAAAGTAATCCCATAATTCGAAGTGCTAAGATCATCTAGCAAATTTATTTTCATATTTTTTTCATTAAAAATTGAGTCAAATCCTGCGTATCGCTTGCCTGGGTAATTTTACTTTAATCTAACTAATGTCTTGTGCCTTGTGCTATTACGAATAATTTTGTTCGGCGAGATTGTCTTCTATGAAAATTGATGCTCCTCCTGAATCCACTATACAGGAAAAAGCTCGTGAAACCAAAGCCATTGGGACCAGTAAAACAGCCTCACTGTAACAAAACTTATTTCGGAAGTAACTGTAATTCAACGATGTGGCTTTTGGGTATATATAAGGACCTGAAATATTTTGTGTAAGTGATCATTCGTTGTTCCGAGATTCCGCTGTAGTTGCCGTATTTGAAGCTATCGACGTAGTACTTCTTTGATTTACAGCCATATTTTTTTTCGGTTCCATTCGTTGGAAGAACTGGCAAATTAAGATGCATCTCGGAATCAACCGGCGTCTTGTGTTCGTGTAATAGTGTAATTAAAATGGAGTCTTTTTTTGCCGTTGACTTAAATAAAATATCGTGACTGAATCTCGGCTTTCTTAATTATTATAGCGAGTTCGCGGAGAAATTTACGAAATTGACCAGAAGCGGTTGAAGTACCTGGATATTTTGGAGGATTATCCGGTGTTTTACTCGCGTCGGGAGGAGTTGATTGACTCTGATGACGGAGTCGCCAGGAAGTGTTGGACTTACTTCCTTTCGAAGCATAAACCCGAGCTGCTGAGACTTCCGTTTCTGGAAACGTATTCTTCGGCCGGTGACCACGGACTGGAGTATGTAACAAGGTACAGCCGGACCTTGAAGAACTACAATGTTCGGGAAGATGTTCAGCTTTCCTGACGAGACGTCTCTTGTTGAGGTTTATTTGATCTCAAAGTTTTGAGATACTGTACCTACGAACTGGGGCTACTGATGCATGTATCGATAGTTGCGAGGGTTCAATCATTAGTTTTACAATACTTGCTTTGTTCCCTTGTTAGATTAGTGCCATTTTCACGGAATAATGTTGCCTAATATTCAGACTAAACGCGCCATTTTTGCTCACCCTTGTTGAATTAGAGAGGAGACAGAAAGTTGAGAGTCCATCACATCGAAATAAATATGGCTTGCGTGTCATAGTTTTCATAAATATTTAGGTGGTCTGAGTTACGCCAAATGTTTTACCTTATTAAAGTGTTCTTGGTGAAAATCTTATTTAATGACCACTTTCCGAAAATTGAGCGTCCTAATATTGGAAAGTTCCGAAAAATTATATATGCGCAGTACTGAACTACATTAAATTCCTATAGGAACTATAGGAGAGCTTACATAGATGGGGATGTGGCGAGTATTTTTTAAAAGCATTTTCATTGGATTTAATGAGTGTGAGATGGCCTCCTTCGGTTATGAAATATTTTATTTCACTATAGTTTCTTCACTGTGGCTCGATTTTCGTGAAATTTTGTTAAGCATAAATTGTTTCCAAAATTTCGATTTTGTGTCAGTAATGTTGCATGGATTGGCGTGTTAAATTTTTAGCGTGAGTAGCATTTTATGAAATTTATTCATTTTTTTTAGCATGAAACTCGTGTAAAAATTGATTAGCAAAAATTAAAGGATTGAACTTTGCTGGTTTAAAATCTAATGCTTAAACGCCTGAAGATGGTAGAACTGAAAAAAAGTATTTGAGTGCATTTCTGGATATTAAGTTAATTTTCTGGAAAAAAATACTGTACTATAAGAACATACTGTATTGTAATGCTTAATTCATTAAGATTTTATTGTGTACTGTTTCTATTTTAATTAAACTAGTTCTAGTTACGTTGACAATTACTTACTTGGACGCTGCGTTTGATTGGAAGTGAGGCCTGAAAATTGTGTTTTAGCGTATCTTTCACTAGATTATATCTCTTGAGAACAAAGCTCTCCGACAAATTATCGGACTACAGTGAATAAGAGCAATAATATCCATGCTCATTCGATCGAGTTGAAGACGGATACATTTTTAAACGCGTCAATCAGACCAGACAATTGAATTTCCGCGAGGTTTCGATTAGCCGACTGTGTCTTCTCTGTAATGCTTCATTTGACGCGAAGTACCTTTTTTTCCTTCGCAGTGATGATCTCACGGACCCGAACGACATTTGAAAGGCTTTTGAAGCTGCAATCACAGCGTCTTTGATGGTTATTCAAGAAAGCAGAAGCTATCTGTGAAGTCATGCGGGAAGTTGCAGAATCCTCGTCGCGTGGACGAGAATCTTTTCGTTGCGATATGTAGTGCAAAAAAAGAAGAAAAGAAGTTGGAAATGGAAAATTTCCGGTGGCTTTTGAATGCGTCTGATGAAATAATATCTCGGTTGGCCGAACTCGGGTGAGCAATCCACAAACGTCTCTTTGTTCATTCTTGCCACTCCGAATTCGTTTCTCGCTCGTCAGTGACTCAGTTGGGCGTTTCTCGCATTTCTTTTCGCATCGACAACGCATCAGATTAGTTCATGATAAATCGCGCATTTGTTTCCTGGGAGGTCCGGTAATGCTTGTTTTTTTTCAGCCTCATTTGCATGAGTCGCGGCGAGAGAGTCGTTTCCTTCATACAGCAATCTTGGAATTGTCATGATACGTGACTGAAAACAGGTTGACTCTCTCCACAAAGAAATTCGAGGGACCAGTAAAAATGTGTTGCAAGGAACTCCTAATGTCCTAAAACATGATGGGCAAAGAACACTTCAATACAAAAACAGTTCGTCGTACATGAAATTTTTGTAGACGAGTTTGTTGTAGAGAGAATCCAACTGTAAAAAGGAAGTCGAATTTTGAAATAAACGTCCAACTCGGACTGCTGAAATTTTTAGTCAAGAAGCATGAACTCATGCTGAAGTTGAAAATTGCTTCAATATATTTCTACGAATTTGTGTTTGTTATGAATTTCTGCTGTGAATCTGCAATATTTATGGTAGAAGGAATTTTTTTAAACTGTGTAGCAGTTAATCAAGGAAATTTAGTGCCTAGCCTAATCATTTAAGGTGTCCACTACTCATAATGCCCAACCCACCTGCAAAAAATTGCGAAATCTCTGTAGAAAAGGATTGAGATAGTTCTGTAATTTGTATCTGTTTTCTTTATTTTCTGAAACTAGTACAATTTAGAATTTATCCACATTTTAGTAGTACAAAGTCGCTTCAGAATTTGACTGATGGACATTAGAGCCAACATTTGTATTAGGAAAGTTGAAATGCGAAAAGAGCATTGTCCTGGTATTCACTGGGAATCCATGATGTGGAGGTTTTCAACCTTGGCACATATAACAAGGGTACATAGCGAGGTCCACCCCCAAATGCCAATTTTATGTTCTGACTATACAACTTAGTCCTACAACATTTGACTGCCAGGTGATGGTGATTTCTAACATCCAATATTGACTGCATGTGGAATGAAAAAAGGTTTTCAATTTGTCATATTACTGTAATACAACTACAGGACTGTATATATACCAAACCTATAATAAATTTCACTCAATTTTTGACCAACCTGATGTATTTTTCCCAATACAGGTGAACCTTGGTAAGTTGAACCTCCCTAAGCCAAATTCCTCCTTAAGTCAAATTTTTTCAAGTCTCTGTCTGAATTCTCTTAGAATCAATGCATTAAAAACCTCCCCAACTCAAAGATTTTTCTCTAAAACCTCTGGAAGTTGAATTTTCTGAGGGCTTCTGGTTATTATCACCTTTAAATATGAAAGAGAAAATCATAAAAGCAAATAATTTTATGCATCTTGAAAGGAAGTGAAAGACTAATATAGCAAATGAACCCCTGCCTTCAAGTTCAGCAAGGTGTAAACTCATTAAGGAGCAAGTTTAGGCATAGAATATCCTCATTTTCAATTTCCTACACTTTTTTCACTTCTCCTCACAACAAAAGTTTTTGTTTCCTCAACTGGAAACCTCAAAACCCCCCTAAGTCAAATTTTTTTCCTGGTTCCCAGAAATTTGACTTACATAGGCTCAACTGTACCAAGAAATTTGAATGTTTACCTAACAGAAAAACCTGTACAAAAATGGCATTTAGAGGTGGACAAGTTGGGTCTTTCCATATAATGCCAATTAGTGAAGATTTCTGTTATCCATGCACAATGCACTAATATGATCAAGGCAAAAATTCAATATGCAGTTTATTACTGCAATTACAGTAGTTAGTTATAATGACAATCATTATAACATATTGTCCCTACAAAGAAACTGTCCAGGGTCCTTAGACTCCTGGCAAAGAAACTGGTTTAGGTGAAAACAAGTAACACAGCAATCGGCCGTTTGCGGCCTGAGGTTGATCCTCAATTGTTGATGTATATTTTTCAAAGAATAATGATAGAAACTGCTGGGAACATGAGAAAGTTAGTTGAAACGAAAAATTCTTCATTACGAGATTCTTCGTAGCGGGATTTTCCTGTATACAATAAGTTTAGTCGCATGCAAAGATCAAAGCTTTGACTCATTGGTCCCAGTTTTTCCGCTGTCGGTCGCATACTGCAACAGCACCGCAGTCTCCCTGTCAGATCCATCCGACTTATCGGGATAATGTCTCCGGAAACGTCGTGTATTCGATGGATGAAATATCTTAACTGAAATGAGTCTTTCCGAAGGTCGGTGATGGAAGGATGGAGATGTATACTGTACTGCTGTACATTCACGTCTCATGCGGATCACCCTGGCATTATTATTTTGTTGAATCCTTGCCGAAAAAAGGAACCCCTGTAATGGGCGTGTTTCATGCGGAGCTGATCGTAAATCCTGAACTCTTTTTCCATACAGCTCCGATACACAATATAATCTCGTCATCACAGGGTCAATTTCCTCCCGAAACGAAACATAATTTCACTCCCGTCTGCGCACGGGGAGCAGTAAACTTGCCTTCTGTCGGCTGTAACTTTTGAATAAATTGCGTCGTTTTCCTTCGCTTTATGGTCTTCGTGTTAAAGTGTGTATATCCGACAGGAACGAACCAGTCGACACAAAATTTTAGGTCTTCTATTTCCGTCGACGGTATAATATAAGCGAGGCTTTCCTGAGTCTCGTTTTCATCCGACAAAAAACAAAGGTGCTGAATATAATTCGGCTGAACCCGCGGAGAAAAATGGATGATAGACCACCCTGGGGTTTTTATCGGTTTCCGGCCAACTTATAATATTTTCTGCTTGTTGGTTCCAAAGGGATTATAGGTCTGTTATCAGAGTTTTCGAGAATGTTACTCTAATCCTTGTAAATGACCTCAAGCATGCGGAGTCGCGATAATAAAATGCTAACGATGTGTGGACAATAACTTGGACACGCCCCAGCTGCAGTTTGGAGACGGATCGAGGTTCCAAGTTGAATAAATTTATTCTTACAGGGTGTCTGCAGAAAAAAAAAAAATTCCAGTATAGTTTTCATCGGGTTCCTGAGGATGCTGTCTAGAAAGTGGGACTGATTTTTATTTGAATCATGAGCCTTTCCTCTTTATGGATGTTGCAGTCGTTGTTCGAGAATTTTGGTGCGATCTATTGAAGTGAGATACAATTACGGTACTTCTGTGTACAGTGATTACCGTACTGTGATACTCAGAAGGTAGGGATAGACAGAAGATGGTTTCAGGAGCCATTTTCATTCCTAGAATTCTCTAACTTTGGTGCTGTTTCGTCCTTGATTCCCTTTTTTATATAAATTAGAATAAGTAAGTACAGTACTTAAATTTGTATGATATCTCAAAAAGTTATATTGAAGGTCATCCCCTCAAACATTTATGATACAAGAATAAAAGGTTCGAGGATATGAGTCCATGAATTATTCTGTGTGCAATTGTCAAAGTAAGTTTGGTAAAAATGTTGAGTTGAGAATTCTGACTCATTTTGGGACATACACAATATAAAACAATGTCAGGTAAAATAAGATTTAATTTGAAAATCTGCAACATGTCCCACGACTCCCAGCAGTTTGATCCATGACTATTTATTCATTGCTTAATGCAAATCAATCAGTAATTGTTTTCCAGCTGCGTATTTTGCACCAAGCAGACCTATGCAAATTTTGGTGTCGCATCTTCTATGACAAGACTATGCTGAGGCAATAAAAATCATCCATCTTCATAAAGTATTTTCAAATTGTGTCAATTATAATCATATCATTGCCCATTCTGCAGAACATCTTTTTACACTCACATTTTCCTGCAATGGTAATAATTTCATGCTGGTGGATTAAAATGGGAGACACATCTTCATTATATGCGCTGTTCAAGATTCTGAGCCCTTTTCTCCATCACACAATAAGGACTCAAAATGTTTTCAAATTCAAGCTGATCAGTCTTCTATGGTAGCTTTTTGTTTTGGAATGAGAAAAGTTCATACTTTATTTATTGTTCTACCAAAAATTGATGACAGCTAGTTTATTTAAATCATTATTGTTTGAAAATACAAATTGGCGCTCATGCTGCTGGTCATCAGGTAAAAACCGAAAAATTGAAAGGTCATATTTCAGCAAAATAAATCATGAGTTACCATTTGTATGCAGGGTGAATAACGAGTGTTGAATGTATAGTGTAGATGTGTAGTGATAGTTCAATCTGCAGAAAATATAGTGACAAACGAAGTTTACTTGATTATGAATCGTTATAATTATTATGATTGAAATATATAGATGATCTGGCTCACAACGTTTTTTAAATACTGATGGTTTTGGTACTTTTGGTTTTATTTTCGCGAAAAAAGACGCGCGATCTGCGACAGATGTTAAGGACAGCAGCATTCATGTTAAATTGTGCATTTGTTCAATCGAGAATATGCTATAATACCTGTCAAGCTCTGCAAATGTAAATCATGCATGCTGTCATTCATTCAAAATAAGGTACGTACGTATTTTATGTCTGTGTTCATTTTCTAAAACTCCGTCTCTCTATCTCTGAATACTGATTCAGAATTTCTCCCATAGTTTGTATTCATAATTCTTCTCAATTTTTTATGTACTTAAAATTAGTCAAGCCTGCAACTGCTGGTGCTGGAGATATCGTAATTAGTCTTCAGAATGAAAGGAAAAGAGGACGATATCCAATCTGACGTCAGGGACAGCTGGTGAAGAATTTACGATGCATGCGAGCGCTTTGGAAATTTTGCCTGATGTATTCGGCAGGAGAACATCCCTTTTGATGCACATTTCAATGAATTTTTGCACCAGCGCTTTTCTTATTTTTGGGTAAAGATTGACAGGTTATTCGGTTTTCACGCAAAGCATGCGCGGGTGTAAATGATTCACAGGTTTTGGCTCGCTCTTTCAAAGTTATTCGGACGTTTGAAACCGTTATGTTTCAGCAGTTTCGGCGAAGATTTGTGATCGTGGAAATATCGGACAACTTAAGGGATTGCATCATATGCGTGAAGGGTTTTAAATTACAGTACATTGATTTAGAAGCATCTGGCTTGCAAACATGAACGGAGGCACAGGACTGCGATGATGAATGTCAGATGGATCAGTGAGCATTCTGTGAAATGAACGTTTCATTCGACGATAACCCAAAAACCGTCGGCCCTGCTCACGCGTATAACCTTCCGAGGTCGTCAATAAATCCATCAATGAATGATTCAGCGGACATGTACTGCCATCAGTTGATACGATTACAATATGGATGCCCTCATCGAAATAACTCTTCATCCGTTTGGTACTGTATTTCGAGTTCCGACTTGCAGTACAGTATTTGAATCTCTTTTAATTGCGGCTCCAGCATTTTCTATCGATTTGCATTCCTTACGACTGCACTCGAGAATGCAGGGTGTGTCCGTGCCTTTCGAATTTTCTGTTACAGTACTGTATTTTTCAGTGGACCCTGTTCGGCGATTGCGGCGCAGTGGTCACAGTTGGCGAATTGAGCGGCGATGAAATCAGCGCGAGATCGTAGATATGAGTCCTGCTTCCTTGTCTCCCCGTCGTCGTCAATCTCCACACCCATAGGAACAATTTTTCCGCGTTTCGGCATGAACCGCTCACGGGAAATCAGCTAGCTGACCTCCACGAAGCTTATTCGGGCGGAGGAACAATTGAAAATCGTAAGTTTATTCTTTTTTTTTCCGAACATTGTTGCGATTTTAATTGGAGAAACTATCCCTCTTTTTTTTCTCTTCTCTCGAAAGAAAAGTATTTAAGGGTTGCTACCGCAGTCTGTGGCCTTATTCCGCTTTCGGCTTCAGGTTTGAATATCACTGGTTCGTGTCGCTTGTGATATGCGGTTGATTTGCCCTTCAAGTGTTGTGTGTTGTAACAGCACTTCTGCAATGAGTTGGAGTAGTCTTTCTTCATTTGTTCTGCTTTCTCATCAATGCGGTTTTTCGCATAGCTGCGGTGTAATCCAAACCTTAAGGGCTTCAGCGTCTTCAGGTGTTATTTTATTTAGGATAGTGCAGTTGGTCTGATAGAAATTTTTTTTCCAGCGTGAGTCTGTTTATCTAGTGGGTTATTCATCCTTGACGCTCTTCATTCGAAGTCTGAGGTTAGATGATTTCTTGTCATGGAATCGTAATAAACTCGATGTTCTTAACTGACTTGCTTGGTTTAAAAAATGCTTAACCAATCTTTCGTACGTGGTCTTGGACTCTCATCTTGTGCAGTTCCGTGAAATCAAATGAATTCTTTTTTACTGCCCCAATGGTTTCACGTGAAAGGCAAATTGAAAGATGGTTTTTTCAAGGTTAAGGAATAAGTAAGGCGTTAAATGTGCGATATGCAGCCAAAAATCCTCGGACGAATAAAAATTAGAGTCATGCTTTCGATTGCTGATCATTATAATTTTTGCGTTGTAAGTTTCAAATGAGAGATCCTTTCATGCTGGAGAGTACTGTATGTGAAAATTGAAAGAGAAAACCGAGAACGGCATCGAGTCGTAAATTATTTGTACGTCGACGAATATTTCTTGATGGAAAATGGTGGCTGGAATTCGATTGAAAGGCTTTAAAACTTTGAATTGCATCGTCGTTTTTCCTCCTTTTCCAATAGACATGTACGAAGTATAAACCCCGTGAAAACCTATATAGCTCCTCTTATTCTATTCCAGCTCGTATCTGACGAACTATATCTCGAGAATGGGGAAACTCTGGTCGATCTGCCTGTTGGCAGCTTTCATATCAACTGTGTCTGGGGATTACACTGCACCAGTCAGCTACGATACCCCCGTAGAAAGTTACTCAGCACCCACTTCATACAACACCTACGGAGCTCCTGCGGCTGTTGCTGGATATGGACACCAACCGGCTCCTTACAGTGACCAAGGAAAGAGTTCGGTTTCTGTCACTTACACTCCTCTGGCAGCTCCAAGCTACCAGGCACAAGCAGGTGAGAGAAAAATCTTAGGCCTTCTGTCAGATTTCAGTTTTGCAATCGAACATTCTTTGTTGAATATTCATGACTCACTGCCTGCTCGTTATCTAGGACTGATGATGAGAATAGTTTGATAACGCAGATCATTGTTTCACTGGGCAAAAATCTGCTTTTCTCGATTCAAGGCGTTAAAAATTTTTTCCTTCTTGGAAAGCTCTCGAAAGTTGAGGATCGGCTGCAGGTTTGTTAAAAAGAAAATCTGTTTTTTTTCGCACGTGCCTTTTCGAAAAGTACTGAAGATGCGTTATTTTCAGTGAGCACAGAAAAACGTGCGAGAAATCCCTTCTTTTTTGATTCGGTAATTCAATTGCAGAAGGTTGCCCCGTGAACTTTTAAAAATTTATAAGAGCCTGAAAATCTGCCTTGAAATGACAGGAATCGGTTCCCTCATTTGAAATCCAAAGAAATCGTAATTTTTATTTTCTGATTGAACTTTCGCCGACGAAAAGCTTTCAAAATATAAAAATAGTAATTCATTATAGAAATATGCGTTTAATTACTTGTTTCTCGTGGCATTTGAAAAAAAACACCCTCCATGTTGAATTCATAAAATTATTCAGTAATTAATGCCTCGCGCCTGGAGTTGTCAGAAACCCGGAGAAATGGCACGATCATCTTCATGCAAATTTCAAAATCTCGTGATGAGAAAAAATGACTGAATAATTGATACTCCATAAAAAAATTATCGTTTGTGACTAAAATTTATGTGCAATCGTCGAGCCCAGCTTATCCCTGTCAAGAAAAGCCGGAGCATATTTTTGATTGATTGCTGATGCTTCATTGAATTCGTCGAGTAATTTTAGCTTCGCGTTATGACCTTCTACACTCACGTATTCGTTAATTTATTCTAAATTTCTATACAGAGATGAAGAGTAAAAATCGAATCTCCTGAGTGGAAGAAAAGATTATGCATTTGAATCTCCCTAAAAACGCATACATAGTATAAACATGTATGCGTATTTCGAATTTCGAATTATATTTCGAATATTTCGAATTTTTGAAGTTTTTTTCGAATTACCTCAAAAAGAATTAATAAAAAACCGTCATAACTCAGAGGCTTTCTTCTTCATACTTCCAAAACTCTAATTTTCTGGAGACCTTTTGGCTATTATTTTATTGAAGCAGGAAAAAGAAAAGTGACAACAATATATTTTGATTGGTTTGAAAGGAAGTGAAGGACTAATTAAGCGAAAAAACCTTTGCCTCCAAGTTTAGCATCCTGTCAAGTCATGTAAAAACATTTTGAGGTGTATAATATCACCATTTACAATTTCCTGTGATTCTTCCTTCTTTCCCCCCAACACAAATGCTTGTTTATCTAACTGGATGCTGGTCCCTTGAAATTCGACTTCAAGATTTTTGAGTTTAACATGTGAGGCTTCCAAGAAAATAATGTTTCTCTTCTCACAGTTCGTAACACTGTTTCACGCCGTCAGCAGTTCAAAGTCCGTAAACTCGACTTATTCGTCAGAGTAAAACTCACGCTTCTTTTTTTCTCAGCTGGCGGGTACCAAGCACCATCGTCAGCAGCTGGATACGGGCACCAAGCAGCTCCAAGTGTCGGCTACGGATACCAAGCACCATCGCAGCCCAGTTACCACCCTGCAAAGCCTGTCCGCGTGGACACGGACGTGCGGTACTACGCTCCGATTTTCAAGAAGTCCGGCTACGGGTACCAACAACAAGTGCATAAAGTTGGGGAAGCTGCTGTTCACCAGTACTCCTCCAAGACGGACATCCACGGTGGTGGATATGCCGACGATGGCTACGGTTCCCACGGCAACCAAGTGGTGAGTGCTGCCCATAGAGACCAATATACCGCACGATATTTACTCGAGTACCACGCACCTTCGACCTCGAGTAAATAAGCCACGCACCCAGGTTTTTCAGTCTGAAATTATGATTGAATTGCATCCCCGAGTTAGTGCGTCTAATTTTTTTGCGAGTCGAAATCTGCAATATTTTGAACGCACCCAAGTTTGAATTTGGACATTACCGTAATTTAACTACCTTATTGTACTTTTTAATTACAGTATTTCAATCAAATCTAAGTTTTTTTTTATGAAACTGGTCTAAAATTTCCCGCGAGAATCGAATACTGTGTAATGCACACCTACACTTCTAAAACTTGAAAAAAATTATATATATGCCCGCCTATGACGCGCACCCTCTTTATTCTTTTCAATTTTGAGAAAAAGGTACTCGAGTAAATGCGGCGAGATGAACTTTTTCCGTTTAAAATTCATCACAAGCGGAAAAATGTAACTGACTGACGTCAACCTCTGACTTTGATTCGATCCTCTGACTTATTCGTCATTGCTTCCATTTCAATAAATTTTTTCTGTGATGATGCAACGATTTCATTTCGATTATTTCTGCTGATGTTTGAAAGAAGAAGTAAATAAAATGTCGATAAACTAAAAAAAAATATAGTGTATTTCGCCTATGAATATTTTGTGGAAAGGACTCGACGCGTTTCGCCCGGATTGTTCGGATTATTGAGGAATTTCGTAAGATCGCAAAACAATTTGGAATCATGTTCCGATCGAAATGTGGCCTTGGTGTTGTTTTTAATGATGATCATCGAAAATGGACGTACATTTTGGCCTTGACGAGCTCTCTGGTCAGTTATCCCACAGTATTCATGGGATGAGTACTCAAGTTTTAATTTCAGAGTTATTTTCTCAGAAAAAAATATCTCGGAAAAAGATTGTGAACAAATCGAATTTTTATGCTCACGAACGAAACATATTTTTTTTACTATGGATTCACTATAAATAATTATCCATGAGAGGATAATTTTGAGCTCATTTTCCTGTGTTCTTTCCATAATCTGCTGAGCACATAATATAGGAAAAATTGTTTTTGGTCTTTGCTTATTTCGGGCTTCTTTTTGAGTCATGAGATAAGATAAATTGTGATTTTCTTCTGCATTGTAATTTCCTGTATCTTGAAGTTGCGAAAAATTACTTTATTCAATACTCGGGGGACGTTTACCTAATTCTTGATCGATGGGTGAACCATTAAAACATATTCCCATCCCATGTGAAGTCTAAGGGAAAATTCGATCCTACCTGCGGACATTCCGATATATGACAATAATATAAGGTCCAAGCACCAATTATGTCCGCATCTCGGGGCCCCACACCACCGTACAAAATTCGGCAAATTTTCGTTAAAAACTTGATTCCTTCGAAATTCTAAGCGTATATGACGCGTTTTCAAAACGTATTGAGTTATTTTTTCTGCCAAGACGGTATTCGCCAACTAGTCCTACCACGTTACTTTTTTTTTGCGTGATTCTAATATTTTATTCAAACTTTGTCCCGCTGTTTCAGAATTCTCACCCGCAATACAAATACGGCTATGACATCAAGGGCGGCTATGATTTGAACGTGAATGCCCACGAATCTCGAGACGGATACATCACCAAAGGATCTTATTCTTTCAAGCAACCCGACGGTAAAACAAATTTCAATTTCCTAGGTTTTATCGTATTTAGAACCGGAAGAACGCGCTGATTTATTTTTTCTTTACAGGTTTGACGAGAATAGTTGACTATTACGTGGACAAGTGGGGCTTCCATCCGACAGTGAGATACGTTAAGCATTGAACAACAATTTTTTTCTGAGGAGACAAGCGACTTCGGGAACAAATCAGATTGGTCGTCCTTTTTCTGTTGTTGAAAAGACAAGGTAAAATACGTGAGATTTTTGTTGATTTCAAAAGTGCCCGGCAACGCGGAGAAAAGAATAGATTCGTGTTTTTGTCAAAATCGGACAGTGTTCTCGCAAGTGTTTTCTTTTGCCATTTGTGGATATATCATATATGTTCAATAAAAACTCTGTATATTCAGTTTTTTTTATTCACTTATATTTTCACCGTTGTGAGGATTAGGTTGTCTGCGGAACGAGACTGAATTGAAGGAAAAAAATCATGAAATTTCATCGAGGCATTTCTGAAAATTTTGTTTTACGGAAAATGAATGGAAGGAGAGATTGATGAATGATGACGCAATGGTGTTCCTTTTGAATGGCCTCCTAACTGCTGTTTCTGGGATTTCAGACAGGTGTCGATCGCTTGAATCACTGACTCCTGAAAAAAGATATGAAGCTGAATTGTAAAATAACCTGACCTATGTATCCAGCCTGACCTAATATAGTCCTCATGACACTCCCCTGACCAAATCTACCCTAAAGCAATTTAAATCCAGCTTCACACAAATGCCTCAATTAAAATCTTCTCTGCATGAACTCAGGCCAAACCTCAAGTTCTGCTGAACCTTATACCCAAACTTAATATATATAGACTTATTCATCCCATAGATGCATGGATATCTTATGGCCTAACTTAACTGACAGAATATCTTCAATTTGCACACCAGCCTAACTGTATCAGTACTATATATAAGAGGTTAAAAAAACTTGAGACTGCATCTAACTTGACAAAAGGTAGTTAAGCTTTTTAAAAACCTCAGACCGAATACATTACAGTGTATCTAACTTCTCTCACCGTAAACCAAAATGGAGTACAATCTTCTTGAGATAGAGTCATTATTGGGAACATGGTAAAATAGCTTGATTGATACAAAAAACTTGCCACATGAAGTTGCTTGATTAAAATTGAGGCTACAGATATTGGTCATGGGGAACTGAAAAAAAACTTTTTTGAAAGCAATCATTTGTTGGAACAAAATTTGTTGTACAGAGATTCTACTGTATAACAATGGATATTTATGTAACCTTGCTCAGGATCATACTTGACTTTGCGTATTTGACCAAAGCACAGTTTAAAAATAACAACAGCCTATAACTCAACTTGAACCCATAAAACAATTTGGATTCAGGCGACACCTATGCAAAAAAGAAAATGAAATGACGGCAGGGGACGTCGACAGTTGAAGGGACAAACAGCTGTTTTATTTTTGTCCCTTTATTTGGACAGGGACGAATCACTGATCTTGAGAGCTGTATATAGTACAGTACAGTAAGACTGCTGAGACGGGATTATTTTCTCCGGATGAACAAACGGCGTGATTCAATTCCCGCCAAGGCTGTTTTTCCGAGGCTGACGAGAAAATTCGTGCATCACAACAATAAGGAGCTTGATCGAAATATTTCGTGAATGCTAAAATCACCAGCCGCAGCAGCTGCATTCCTTTAAAACTTTTTTTTATGATGCTTAATAAAAAAAAAAATCTGTCCGCTTTTCACTTTTCATTCCGACGCGCTGTTCTCAGCTCACGGATTCATGGTCATACGCAATACTATAAAATAATGCCTCAAGAATTTTAGTGAGTCCGTGAATTATTTTTGTAGTTTCTGAAATCCGTCGAACAAGTTTTGGCAACGGAATGAGCAGAATAAAAGTTTACTGCAGTCGAGAATAATTGGGTGTAGTAGGGCTTCAGGCGGAAAATGACGTCACGCGTCTCAGCCACGATTTCGATCTTCGTTTCTGTCTTTCCGCCATCATTTTATTGTTTTATACATTATACAGCATTTTGATTTGTCCATGCAGCACAGTGGATTATTTAATTAATTGTAATCATGCTCTTTCTTTCCACGTAATTTACCCTTTAATTGACAGGAAGTAATCTGGAATCACTGAGATCACTTGAAAAAAGTTGAAATTTTTTCTTGGTGACTCTCATCATAAAGACTTCTGCTTCTAATAATCTTTTTTCGTGTGAAAAATGGACAAAAAATAAGCAGCATTAATTTTCGAATTCCTTCCGAAGTCGTCAGTATATGGATTTGAAGTTGCCAAACGTCTTCGAAGAAGAATAAAATGACTTTGAAATTCTACTTACCCCCAAAGAAAATTGGCGAAACGGAAGCTTGGTTACGCGAGAGCTTCATTGTTCAAAATATTATCGTTTCTATCAATTATCGAATTATGTATTTATGCATCTGTTGAAAAGCCCCAAATAATACAATCAATAAATTTTCACCATGAATGTAGTTCTCTGTCTCAATCACGAATGAAAGCAGAATTACGATCATGTTCCCTCTCGCTTATAAAATTAATCATCAGATATAATCGATCTTATCTTTTTCGGCGCAGTGAAACAGCCTCATATATATTATAAATCGCAGTAATAAAAATATTATTTATCAGCCGTGTAAGATATGCATCTGTCGCAGGAAAAAAAAACTCGAAACGTATTTAAAAACAAAAACGGTGGGCAAAAATGAGCATCGTTGATATTATTTTTATCATGCGAGGGGTCTAACAAAAGTTCTCGGGATATAAATTTTAATGGCATACATGACTGAGCTGAAAAAAACAATTATTGTTCAGAAAAAAACATTCTTTAGCACAAGAAAAATATAACTGTTTTGCAAAAGTGACGATTCTTCTCCTCAATCAAAAAAATTAGGAACCCAGCTCACAGATTTTTTGGTGTACTGTACCCCAGCTCTTCCTGCAGAATTCTTAAAATTGACAAGTTTTGGTGATAATTTCAAGGGTTGCTGCCATCATGTTATCATTTTTCCTCGGTTTTCATAAATAGCCGTCTTCACAGATGCCACTTATTGGAATGAGAATGTGATGGCGATTGTTACGTGAAGGCACGCGGTTGTTGTTGGAAATGGCGGAATTTACTTGTAAGACTTGGAGCTAGGAAACCCTTGGAATCAATAAGAAGAAAGGTTGATGTATTATCTTTTGTAATTCAATAAAAAAAGTTCCATAAGCTCCAGAAAATTACTTGGATTAACTCACGAAAACATTCTTGTATGAAGCATACACGTTTCTGCGCGGACTCGTTAATGGCGCGGAATTGAAATGATCATCTGAACACCAGGGATTTTTAAAAAACATTTTCGCCTGTTTAATAGTTCCAAAGAGCTACACAGACACCTCCTCAATGTCATTACCACCAATTTGCAAATACACCTCAACCCTTTTGATCCATGTGTTGAAACAGGCCTTATATTGAAAAGTTCAGTTAAATGTTGATGCTTCCCCAGAACAGCAGCAACAAGCTGATCCGCGCAGAACCGTGTATACAGTAACCTAAAAAAACGGGGGATAACAGCTCTCACAAAATTACCTTTTTAATTTACATCATATTTAAAAACGATGTCCAGAAAGTTGAGAGAAAAATCAGAAATAAAATTAGAAAAAACAAAAGTTTTTCTTATTCGTCAAGAAAACGAATACCGTATTCGTTATTGTTTTACAGCAAAAATCACGCGCCGCTTCAATTTCTATTCCTAGAAAAATTTGTTAGACACCCGCCGTTCGCACATGAAAAAGAGAAGAGAATCCCTCGAGATGAGGCGATAAGAATCACGGTGCAAAAATCTTGGCGCGATTCCCTGCCACAAGGACAGAAGAGACAGCAAAACAATGAGCCTTCAATAATTCGGGGCGTGGCGCTGAACCGCGAACACCATCACTTTATGGAACCAATGTCGAGGTCACTATCATCGTCGCTATACTGTTATATACGATTCTCAAATTTTTAATTTCGGCCTCACTGCATACACAGAACATATATATTGTAATCACAAGGAAGACGAACTGCAAAATTTCACGCTTTTCCCATCGCACACCATTTTAATTTCACGCACTCGTAGGTGGTGTTTCGCAAGACAAGAGTATATGATGCGAGCGAGAGAAGATTCAAGTCCGGTTTTCATGCAAAATCCGTGTAAAAGAAAGAGCAGTATTTCATCTTTGAAAATATACTGTGAAGTTCTGCTGCTGCCTAATTTCAGTCAAGTTTCAAGTAACACACGCGCAGAGCGAGTGGAATTTACGATCAGTCTGAAATTCTATTCGTTTCGTTCTTCTGCATAAATTGCGTCCTTGGAAGAAGTTTCAAAGTTTATCGAATACAGTGAATGTTTTTTTTTCTGGGAAGCTGGAAATATTCGACATTTTTTTAATTCATGGGTTTTCCGTATATGGTAGTCTTGAATTCGTTTTTCTTCAATATATGTGTCTCAATTTTCACCACAAAAAAACACAGCAGCAATAGCAAAGATTTGAATACAGCACTGGTTTTGAGAAATTGCTTTAACCTCATACCACAGGTTTACTTTGGATACCATGTTTTTCTAAATCAAGGTAATTATATTAAACCTTCCAAAGTTTCCAAGAGCCTCCTTTGAGTTAGGATGAAGGTTTTGACTTAGGGAGGTTTTGACTTAGGGAGGTTTTGAGTTAGGGAGGTTTTGAGTTAGGGAGGTTTTGAGTTAGGGAGGTTTTGAGTTAGGGAGGTTTTGAGTTAGGGAGGTTTTGAGTTAGGGAGCTTTTGAGTTAGAAAGGGTTTCAGTTAGGGAAATAAGCATTTTTGTTGTGCTTGGGGAAAAACAAAAAAATTCCAGAAATTTTAAATGGTGAAACATGGGGCCTTGAATTTATTCTTAAATGAGTTGACAGGGTGCTGAACTTGGAGACAAGTCATCATTTTACCCAATCAATCTTTTTCTTCATTTCAAAACACATCAAGTTACACTTTAATTGCTTTTTTCTTGTGTGTTACTAGTGATTAAATACAAAATTGATCTGCCTATGTGAGCATGTGTTACACATGTGGTCCTTTTCCTGTTGCTCATTGAAAGTTGCCTGGCCCTGATAAATATGACAAATATATTTTTTAATGGCCGCATTTGAATCTGGATAGTCATGTGATTGTTTCATGGCAAATAAAATTGTTCTTTTTATGGCTTTGAAGTTGTTTTTACTTGTGTTTTTAGTAAAGTCATTGAGATTCTAATCTGATTGTATGCTGATGTACCATGCGCAGAAAACTAGTTGAATGATTTTATCCATTGTGGAATCTACTATTGTTTCATGACAAATTAATTTGGTGAATTCCAAATTTGTGTGCATTGAAATACACCAGTCTCACTATAAAAATGGCACAGAAGCTTAATGTCTTTAATGCTCTTTAACAAGTAGTAGAGCGTCCGCAGTGTGGACAAAAAAACCAAAAAAAAAAATGAGAAAAGGATTGCAGAAGTGGGATTTGAACCCATGCCTCCACAACCAGAC